ATCGTGCCCACCAAGTGAAATCAAACGACAGAAGCGAGGAGGTTCAAAGATATATTTGATAGGCTATCAATATATCATGGATCGACTGATATAATCTGGTTAGCGATTGCATGGGTTGTTGAGTACAGCCTTTTCTACTCGTTATGTGGTGCGGATGGATAACCCAGTGCCATCAACTCGATTTGTCCATTAGGAATAATGTGGTCAGCATCCAATGTTGAAAGGTTACAAAGCCATTTATTTAGGGTATTTATTTACCTCTACATAGTGAACGAGAACAAATTAAACATGAGTTTTACTTGAAGAGTGAAGAAACGTCGAAACAGAATAACGCAAGTGCTTAGTTGCAGACCAGCCGTTGATTGTTTAATGCCTATCCGCAAGTGACTCTAGTGAATAAAGACCGTTTCACAACAAGTGTCTGGGAAATCTAAACAAAAACAGGATATCTAGACATAGTCTTTTTAATACAGAACAGCAAGAATTGTAACTACACTTCTTGAGATGATCACTGGATTTAGTCAGTCATTCAGTTCACCGAGTTGTGAGTTAGTAGCTAGTATTTTCTTACATTTCAATGATTGTTTTTTAGCTGTATATAGTTCTTCACGATGTCATTAACAGATAAGAATAAGGGCGGTGACAACGGTGGGGTAGCAATTGTGATGTACACTCAACAAGCCGTCGTGAAACTATTCCCACAGTCATTCAGTTCAAGTAATGTAGAACTTGGTAAAGACATTTATTAGCTCGCTACTATACCAGAATAAAAATACGAAATGAAAATGAAAGATATGGATAATTTAATGACAACAATGGTCGGGAGGGCTGGCATTGCAGAACTTGATCCAGAACAATGAAGCAGCAGGCCACGTATGAAGTCACACTGCGATTTAAGGCAATGGAGAAGAGAATTAGTGAATGTATCTGAGCTATTCCAAGCAAAATAACTCAAAAAAACTCTTTTCGTGGCCATGAAGCTGTACAGCTCTACTGATGAGTTGTTCGGACATAAGAAGGCAAATGGATAGTGCAATTATGTAACCCAATTGTTTTTAGACCGCCGTCGAAAGCCTGGAAGCACAAGACGGTCATTTCGCCCTATTGTGAAGCTTTTCAGCAGTACGCATCCACAGGTCCACTCGTGGGGTTCGAACACAGGGCCTTCAGTCTCGCGCGAGAACGCTTAACATCTACACTGTTGGATACCGGCTCAGTAGTACAGTTTTCGTCAAGAGACTTAAACAACTCTTTCCGAATGACTTTTTATAAAATCCCAACAACCACGTTCATTATGCTCACTAGTCACTAGTTCTCAGGTTTATGCTTTATACCCCTTTCGAAGATAGGACTTACTAAATCATTCTTCAATCCTTTCGATAGTCGACTCAAATTCTAGGATTATTTCAACCATATGGAAGTAGTTTTAACTCAACTGTCGAACTAATGTTCGCAAAACTAACCTCAGATATTTTGTGGACATAGAAGATACCTGTAGTGGTCAATAAATCCCCAAAGTCAATAGGTTTGTACGTTCTCATTATTTGACGCTGACTGCACCAGTTTTAATCGACTCACTTAGCTAAAGGCGCTCAATCACGCACCACAACCAGATCACGCGTGAAAACGCTATGATGAACCTCTCCTGCAACCGCTAGCCAGTTTAGATTAGTCAATTCTCGTTATATTCAAATGGTTCAAAATATTTTGAATGAAATAGAAAAAGCTTTCACTTAACAGGCTTCTGTGTCTAACAGCAGTGGATCACCATTGCCTTCAGGAAGGGACCCAGATATAATATCAATAATAGAGAAAAACAGAAATTGGTAAATCATAATAGGATGTTATCCTTTGCCCATAAAAATAGGTCAAGTTGCCTCTTAAATGACTCTTGGTAAGTCTCTTGGAATAGCTCACCGGGCAGAGAATTCCAGCATTTGACAAATCTTAAGGAGTAGAAGTTGTGTCTACAGTCCGTTCTGCTGTATCGTGTCTCCAGTCTCTGGGTTTTACCCCTTTTGGTTTGTGTTTGAGCTTAACTTAAGTAAATGTTTAAGGTAATGTGCAGAGGTGTTAAGGATAATGCAAGCCATTAGGTACGTCGTATAATAACAGTTTATTGGTTAAATTAGAGCTTATAATAAGAACGACGTGAATATGAACAGTTTAGTTGCATAACAATTATACGATAAAAATATACTCATAGTATTGGTCCATAAATGGATCCCAAAAATTACCATTCATTATTCTTATCGGGATATAACAGTGAAGAAATACTATGTACCCGTACTCTAAATGAGGACAAATGAAACTGTCGAAGATTATGTGGATAGTTCTTCCTTCAAACTGGCCGAAAATGCGCTTCAATTTCACCAGTGCAAGGTTTGCTCGAAAAGCATTTTTGTCACAGTTAGCTAAAGACTTCAAATCGTATGGTTTCAGCACTCCTAGATCTCTTTCAACTTAGGATATCTATACAGGGGCGTTACATAAGTTGTAGTTGTAATCTGCAACATGTCATAGATGAACTAACTTACACTTTGAAGTGTTAAAATAGAAGGAAACATGAGAAACTTGTATGATACAATCAAGAAGCTCGCTGGAACGACCAGTGAAAAGCAAGGAAGACAACGTTATCACCTATAATGAAGAACAACGAAACAGGTGGGTAGAACATTTCAAAGAACTCGTGAATCGACCAGCTCCACTGAACTCATCCAACACTGAAGTAGCACCCACAAACCTCCAAACAGGTGTTTGCCCACCGACAATTGAAGAGACTAGTATGGCCATCAGACAAATCAAGAGTGGTAAAGCAGCAGGACCAGACAACATTCCAGCAGAGGCACAGAAATCAGATGCATCAGGTGCATCACTTTTCTCTCAATAACAGGGAAAGTCTTCAACAAGGTATTGTTAAACAGGATGAAGGACTCCAAAGACGCTCAACTTCGAGACCAACAGGCTGGATTCCGTAAGGATCGATCGTGTACAGACCGAATCGCAACTCTACGGATCATTATGTAACAATCAATTGAATTGAGTTCATCACTCTACATCAACTTCATTGACTACGAAAAGGAATTTGATAGTGTGGATAGAACAACATTATGGAAGCTTCACCGACGCTACGGCGTGCCTCAGAAAATAGTCAATATCATACAGAGTTCATATGATGGATTACACTGCAAAATCGTGCATGGAGGACAGTTGACAAAGTCGTTCGAGGTAAAGACTGATGTCAGGCAAGGTTGCTTATTCTCGCCCTTTCTCTTTCTCCTGGTGGTTGACTGGATCATGAAGACATCAACATCTGAAGGGAAACACGGGATACAATGGACATCTAGGATGCAGTTGGATGATCTAGACTTCGCAGACGATCTGGCCCTCCTATCGAAAACGCAACAGTCAATGCAAGAGAATACGACCAGGATAGCAGAAGCCTCAGCTGTAGCATGAGGGTATTTCGAATTACTTGAATTATAGCACGAACTAAGAATCCCCGATATAACGCAATTGAATCAAGAAGTACTAGATGAGAACAAACGAATGTATTGTATTTAGAATTCGAAATCAAGCATTCAACAAGTACAATGGTACCAAGGACGTACACTAAGGTTTATTGAAGCCTTACCTATACAGAAATTGAAACCCCACTGTATGTGTTGAAAAATAATTTGCCGTTACACTTAACTTACCATGTTAATATTAATTTATTATCTAGAATGGTAATCACATTATTTTTGTTATGACTTACATTTATTGTCTAGTTCACCTTTTAATTTTCATATATAAATGTTCTTAACAAGTACATAATGTGTGATCAGGTTGATTTGGAAATGTAAATATACCATCACATAATTCTGATAAACTTCGTTTTAATATCAGAAGGGGTTTTGTGGAGATTGTAGTAATTTTAACAGTTGAGATCATGGAAAACCTGGAAGCACTGGACGGCCATTTCGTCCTATTGTGGGACTCCTCAGCAGTGCGCATCCACGAAACCGCCTCGCGGGATTCGAACCCAAGACCTTTCACTCTCGCGCCAGGCGCTTAACCAACTAGACCACTGAGCCAGCACCCAACGGTGTTAATGTCTACCTTCAACTAGTGACTGGCTTTAAGATATATATCCTGGAGTTCTAGTGAGAAGCAGTGACCAATGGAGTTCAACCGGGCCAGTTGTGAGGTAGTAAGTCACTGATGACAATGGTGGATGTGTTGCGCCTGGCGCGACTGATAGGTCCTGGGTTCGAACCTCGCGAGGCGGAACCATGGATACGCACTACTGAAAAGTCCCAGAATATGACGAAACGGCCGTCCAGTACTTCCAGGTTTTCTATAGTGATCTAGCTTCGATTGACTCATGATCTCAATTGTTTAAACTTCGTTTTCTTTGTCTTGCATTATGGAAATTTATCAAAGGGACTAATTGTTTTACATTATTGAAATAATCTATTTATACACATATCACAGTATGTTTAATAAATATAAAAAAAGAAAAAAAATACCATAGAAAATAAGACAAGAAAGTACTACTACTATTACTAACAACAACAACAACAAGAACAAAAACGACACTGAAATTGTAAAAGAAAATCTATGAAAATCAAATGATTTTACATTAACTCTGATAAAAATGAAATGAATGATAGAAATAAGTTTCAATGTATGATAATATAATACATACATATGTATATACATATATGGGATAGATGTATACATATGTGTATTGTATATATAGTATACAATGATGTAATGCATAGATTGTGAGTTCGGCTCCTTAGGAGATGAATGTGAACACATATATATTAGAAAGAAGTTTGATGATATCGAATAAATAAATGAAAAGAAAAGAGAGAAATATGAAAATGTTTTCCATAAGTAAACAGGAAATGGTTACTGTGCAAGAAAAAAAATTTAAAAAAAAGAAAGAAAAAAAAATTGAATAGGAAAAAGATACAAACGAGATTGAATGAATAAAATTTATTATTAGAAATTTATGATGGAAATAAAAATTGATCAGAGAATAATTTAACTAGATAAAATTTCTCTTGATTTAAACATTCAATTATATGATTATTATTATAATCATCAATATTATTGTTGTTATTGGACATTGTTAATTCAACGAAATCCCTCTTAAAAGATGTAGAATCAGTAGGAGAACAAGAAGCTGATGATGAAACATGATGATTGATCCAATTTAAAGGATCTAAATAACCTTTACTTATAGTGATAATACGTTTTGGAAAATGTTTCACATTTGTCTGATATAATGATGATATTGATGATGTTAATGGAGTAATTAAAGAGAAATCTTTATTTGAAAATAATCCATGATAGTGAAATAACTGACAAAATGATCGTGATGATGGAGATGTAGAAGAGGAAAATGTTTGTGCTGATGTTCTTGTTGTTGTTGCTCTCAACATCTTAGTATCATAGGTAGTTGTCATTGAATTACCATCAACATTAGTAACACAGTTAGTATTCATTACGTTAATATGAATCAAATAACCATGGGTTGTTAATAAAAGAATACTTGATGATAAATTAAGCCATTCCATTGTATTAACTGATCCAATAATTTCTTAATGATTAAAAAATAAAAGACAAAATGAATAAAGGAATGTAATTAACAGGGCCTAATAAAAGGTAATAATACATTGCATTTGTTGGGGACGTTAGATCCATAGAGCTCATTTAAGAAAGGACCTAATTTTGTAATTTTATTCAGAAAATTTGAATTTCTTTGTTTTCGTGCCAAAGGTGCTCTTGTCACCTTCATGTCGTACTTCCCACTGGGAAATATCTGAAATGCTATTGGTCCGTTGAGTCTTTTACTATGCTATTTGGTAACTCTCCCCAAGGACGGTTTTGTACTGTATATATACGTTTTGAATTGTGTTTGTTGTTATCGCTCGTTTCTGGCTGTTTGAAGAATATACTTCCCCATTCCAAGTTTGGACTTCTCCCTCTAGTTAGTGGGGCTGGGACGCACCAATAGCTAGCTTACTGATCTTTGGTCACCGAGTCTTGTTTCTCATTCGCAGATTAGGTGAACTCGTGATAGCTTCAACCCTAGCAACATTGATATATTAGTATGATTTGAATGAACAAATTAATTTGAATAGAAAAAGGTTGATGATCTAAACCAATAGATTTTAATTCGATGAAGTTCAATGGTTAAGAGTCCATTATGAGATCAGAAGGCCATCACAGAGTCGGAGTTGGACATTATTTAGGAGAATCCTATAATAAAACAGATGTCTAGTGATAATTTTTTACCATAAATGTTACTACTTCAACTGATATCATTTACAACTTCTATGGGGAGTAGAGGTTGATGAACTTATTATGGACAATGAAAGCTCTACAACTATTCAGTAAAGATAATTCAGTATCAACAAAAGCATTCACATGAGCTGCAAACCTACATTATCTCAGTCTTTTAATTATTCATATTCAAACTAGAATGATACTACTACTACTACTAATCCCTGATTGGTTTATTCAATAGCTCTCTATTGGATATTAATTTAGACAGAATATCACCTACCTATAATTATAATTATCGGTATAGGGTTGTGGAGATTGTTGAGTTCTTATTGAGATCATCAACTGATTAATGTCAGATTACCATTTAAAACCTGAAAGCACTAGACGACCGTTTCGTCCCAATATGGGGCTCTTCAGCGATGTGCATCCACGACCCAGCACGTGGGACTCGAATCTAGGACATTCGCTTTCATGTAAACGCTTAGACTCTGTGATAAGTCTTGTTAATTTGAACACTTTATTCGGTTCGTAAGCTATTCTGGTAATCCGCAAGCTAGAACTACACAGCGACCTGAACGCGAGAGAAAAGGAGCAAAATAAGCGAAAAGCACTTTACTCCAAAGGTTCATTTTTGTACAGAAAAACACGGGTATTTAAAAATGTTAACATTTATTAAATCAACATCATATTTTGGCGAATCCGCTAAAAGACATATTATGCTACTGACCAATAGTAGCCCGCCATGTTGATAATCTAGAAAGCTCTATCATGCTCTGAAATACATATGCGCCATACAAGTTACTCGATTTGTGTGTGGACTGTGTTACTTCTCGGGTGCCCAAACCGAGACAGGTGGTTTTCTTAGGAAGCCACACCCAGAGCCTTCGACCTAAAGGTCTAATCTACAAGGCAGTGGGGCAACGTAAAGAGGTGCAGTACCGTGGTAGCCGGTGACCAACAATAGATTGATACGTTATTTGTTTCCTTAGGATCCTGTAGCCCATGTGTACCATTGGTTTGTAAGCAAAGTTTTCCAAATCGCTTAGGTGGACTCTCTGTGTCCATCGACCCGGTTAAAGCGCTGACCATTCGCTTTTCGTCTTCTCAATTTTGTAAACAAAACCCCCGCAGCGAGAAGACAGTGAGTAGGACTTCCTTAGAAGTGGCTGTATACGTGTGGCCATGTGAGGGCATTTCGAGAGGAAGAGCGGATTCTCCCCCACCCTCGACTGTACCAGAGCATTTTCGGGCTTGTGTCGACTCAAAGACAACAGTGTAGGTCAGATGTGTAATTGTTAAGTCTAGGACAGTAGACTACAAAAGAAATAGTAGATAGGGAATAGAAGAGAACTTAGTTATAATTTCGATTAGTAACTTTAACATGTGATAACGACGATGGGTCTCAAGCCATAACATTATTATCAATATTATTATTATTATTATTATTATTATTATTATTATTATTATTATTATTATTATTATTGATCTTACCGAATGTTGAAAGGTTCTCTGTGAACAGATCATTATCCAATTGATGTATTAAACTGATACTTCTCAATAGAGTTTGTGAAAAAGCTGACCAACAGTCAAGTTTTCCATCTAATCATTAAAGAGAAAATCTGGTTAGTTTGTCTCTTTTTTTAAACGAGGCGGAAATAAATTATGCTTTCAATTGTGGACATGATAACTAATTGATGCATAACACTTTCACTTGGGATTATGATATAAAATACACCAAATAATTTATTAATTGAATGATCAAGAGAGTTTTGATCAGCTTCTTGTTGTGCTGTAGAGGTACAATGCTAAAGAAATGTGTGTACTACCTTATCCAGGTGTTTATTTTTTCTGTTTAAATTCCTTTTTAGTGATCCATCAGCGCTCCTAGTTAAGAGAACGTCCAAAAAGGCTATACGATTATCACTCTCTTCTTCAGATGTAAACTCAATTGCTGGATGTACTTTAGTAAACTGTCTAAAAACCTCTTACTGTGATGCATTATCTTTACAGAGGAAGAACGTATCATCCATATGTCGACAGTAAAATGTGAATTTTCGAATAATCTTTTTGATTGGACCATCTTCTAGTTTGACTAGGAAAATGTCAACTAGTATAAGGCTCAATGATGAACTCATTGCAACTCTATCTGTTTGCCTATAGATTTCTCCTTTGAATTTGAAATTTACATTCATGGTGAATTTCAGTAATAACTCTTTAACGACATTGATAGGAATAGTAGTTTTAATTTCATTTTCACTCAATTCTTCACCGATATATATATTCTATTGTGTCTATGAGTGGAACATTTGTGAAAATTGATGTTACTTAACACTAAGTTTTACAAGTTTTTCGTAGAGAGGTTTCAATATAATTACCAACCATTTAGCTATAGAAGAGTTATACATATTTAAAATTGGTCTTAATGGGATCCATGGTTTGTGTACCTTTGGCAATCGATACAATCTTGGCAAATAGGTTCCGACCGGTTTAATCATTTCTTATAAAAACGAAAAAATAATCAGTTGATCCCTGAGCTTTTTCAAAGATCTGATTAGCTTTTATATCTTCGTTTGTAGTATAATTGCAAATTCTGATCAAGAAGTAGAACATTTTAAATCAACTCTATTAGATTATTGTTACCAGTATAAGAACAATAAATTTAATTACGAAAGCTATTGAATGACCTAATTTGACTATTTCACTTAAGACTTTTTGTAGTCATATGTAATTGTCTCTGTCATCTTTATTCACAAATATTTGTATTATTATTATTGTTTAATATCTGAAGGGGTTAATACTGTTATTACTATTGCTTTAACATCATCATTAATCTTTCCAGTACATGATTCGTCTACTTCTCATTCATTCCACCTTATTATGTCTTACTAATCATTTTTTTACACAATATAGTCGGAAGACTGTACACATTTGATGGAACTGTAATTGTACTATTATTTTCTTCACCCTATCTGACCCATATTTATTCGGATCATGGATCTAAACATTTTCACTTAACATATAAGTTGATTCAAATTAACATTCGACATGAGTCAAATCAACATTAACTATTTTAAATTCACATGGTGCTGTTTTACTTGTATCTTCCCATTGTTATCTAGGACTGCAATTGATCAGTCTATTCTTGGCATATGTGTACACAGTGCGGACTGCGTCTATATTGTTTGAAGTCACAAGCCTTATAAGCAAAGATGGATGGTGGCTAGCAGTGGAATCCAGAACGCGCGTTTTCTCCTGTTTGGGAAAATACAAGTAAAACAATACCAAGTGAATTTAAACTTCACCACATTGCACAAGCAGGTGGCTATCAGGACTCAGTAGCCAAGTAGATAACGCGATGTCGCTTGAGATGAACGGTATTGAGTTCGAGTCCCAGAGTGAACATCAAATCTGAGATGCAGGTACATCCAACTGACGAGTCCAAAAAAGGACGAAACGTGCGTGTTGGATTCCACTGCTAGCCACTATCCATCTTTGCTTATTAACTATTTTGTTCTATTTTGTTTGACAAGCCTATATTCACATACTTAAACTTTAAACAATGCACTTTGCCCTTGACCTGGCCATTTTCCGTATTAATAATTTGGATCACATAATTGTAGAACCTGAAGACAACTTATCGAAAAGAATATTCTTTGTTCAAACATTAGTCTTTTATAGACGGAGCATTAAATCTCTGATGACTGCAAGTACGATTTATTGGCAAGTGACAAATAGCACGAAACCTAGAGGAAGTAAGGTTTCACGTTGATTACAGATAACCACTACTAATTAAAATGAACTAACATAAAAACCTTAGTTAAAAACTTTCTACCATCCCCTTCCGATTAAATAACGTCGATAAAGTATAGTGGTATGTCGAATGATTTAACATAATACCAATATCACTAAATCAAATAATTCTAAGGATTAGGACTAGATATTCATTACACTTCAGTGACTGATTGGAGTAAAAGTTTTTCAGATTAAATGATAATGATGATAGAAGGGAATGAAAATATGTTCAACATAAATAAATATAAGTTTTTATCAACATTCACCTGGTTCCAAATATGTCCAAACACAAACGTGTTTACTTGTATCAACATCTTCCACCAAAGGTTCTGGACGATTACTAGTTAGTTTTGAATTTTCAATCAAAAAGTGAGTTACTAGAGATGCTTCTGAATTGAACAATGAAGGGACAAACCAGGATGAATAAAATTTTAGATAACTTGATGATGATGATGATAATGGTGTAGAGGAGGATTGAATTTCACACTTTGAATCATTCCATGCATAACATACTAATTTACTGCCAGTTTGACTAAGCCAAATATTAGAACCACTAAATATTGAAAAAAGGAGATAATAGAACTATATATATATATATATATATATATATATATATATATATAATGGTTGAGATTATGAGTCAATTGAAGCTAGACAACGATGGAAAACCTGGAAACACTGGATGGCCGAGGGACTCCTCGGGAGTATCACAATAAGACGAAACGACTGTCCAGTGCTTCCAGGTATTCTATGGTGGTCTAGCTTCAATTGACTCATTATCTCAACTATTAAGAATTACTATACTATCCACAAAACCCCTTCTGATATATATATATATATGCATGCTTAAAACTTACCAAATTTCTGGAAGAATAATCCCTGAATGAACAGGTTGATCTATATCGATAAAAATAAGTCGATCAAATTTCAACATTAAACCAGAATGAATATTAATTTTTATAATACAAATTTGTGGAAATGATAAGCATAATATGAAGTGAATACATTTGTTAGATAATGCTGTTGCCGTTGCTGCTGATGATGATACTGTTGGTGACAAGGATGAATTGTAATCTTGATCATTCATTTTATGTTGATTATAATCATACATTATACAACTAAGCATCATATTAATTTCTTGAAAAAGATTTTCACATCTATTGTCATTATCATTACTAGTCGATGTGAAATTTCGATTCAATGTAGAACAACATTGTGACAGTTGCACTTTTAAAAGACAAATATACTTTAAAGAATTTTGATTATTTGATCTAAAAAGAGAGAAAAAATAAACGACAATAGTAAGAATTTTCAAATGAAAGTGACCTATAATGGATCTAAAATGATTGGTTGGTTTTAGAGAAGTAGTCTTTTACTTTATCAGCTGATTGGTATGATATAATGTATAACCAGAATTTAACAACAAAATAAACGAATTTTTTAACAGTTAAATTCATGAGACAATCTAAGCTAGACCACCATTGAAAGGCCGTCTTGTCCTAATGTCGGACTCCTCAGCGGTACGCATACACGATCCCACACGTGGGACTGGAACCCAGGACCTTCGGTCTTAAACGTGAGCGCCGGACCTCTAGACCACTGAGCCGCCATCCAACTCTCCTCATGACTAACTTCAATCGATCAATGATCTTACGCAACTTTTCATCCATTATCTGATGTGGATAATTGTCTTACACTCGACACAGATTGCACTCCACTGGTGACGGCTTCTTAACAGAACTCCATGAAAACCATCTTGAAGCTGATCATTAATGAGCATATGATTTTTGCTCTTGTAGGAAATTCGAAATTTTATTATGTCTGTCAATTAGAATTGTGGTTTGATAAGATTAACGGATAGAACTTATGGATGATATACTAGGATAAGCTTAAAATAATCGTGATAATTTTTCACCCCATTTCTTAGACAATAACAAATTAACTTTTGTGAATGAATAGTTTATGGCAAAAGAACTAATCATAATACAAAGTGTAAGCAGATTTGATATAGTTTATAAATTGATTAAAGTATTTTATAATTTAGTTTGCTCGTAAATCACAAAAAAGACAACGACATATATATTCGTTCTTTGGACATAGATTATCTGTATTCTTACAACTTAATAATAACCTAAATGAATTCTTAAGAGTTCCTACACTGTATTATTATTATCGAATATACAAACATTGATCCAAGCGGGCATAAAATACATATGCACCACACAATAACAATGAGGTTGTGAAAAGATCGAGAATGTAAATATAGGGCGGCCTGCTTGAGCATCTGGGCTACCTGTTCCTGCCATCTAGACATTTCAACAAGTTATCTATTTTTGTTTGTTTTAATATATCATTATGTTTATTAATCGCATAACCTATTCTGCTGCGTTTCTGAAAAGTGTACAACCTTTCGTTGTCAAAGTTACAAAAAACTCAATAAGAAACAATATGGTTGCTGGTAATTATACAACGAAAAGAATGTACATTATTCAGATGTTCATTTAGTGAACTGCTAACATCTAACTGGCGATCACTCGATATTTATCGCCAGGACCGATCAAGAAGAAAGAAACGGAAACTTGTTGAAATACTTTACGCTGAGAATTCTATATTGTACCAAAAATATAATATTGAATAAAGTTGATAATAATAACAATAATAATAATAAAGTGCATATAATAAAAAAAGGACGACAACGAACAGAGATTAGTGTATGAGAGTGAAATAATAATGGGGAGTAACAGTGCAGTTAGGAGAAATACAATCAGAAATAATTCTTTCGGTTAAAGAAATTACTTTCACAACTGGATCGCCACTGGCTTCTATTCTGAGCCATGTATGTTAACGTCTCTAGCCACTGTGTTGTACCATCTCTAGGACCCCAACCACGTAGTCGTGAAGGACCAACACAAGCCAGTCCTGTACATCTGTCTTTCATACTAAGAAAGCATTTCATACAGTAACCATCTCTCCAATTATTCCAACCAGTCTCAGCGTCGGCAAATAATGCACGACGTGGAAATCTCTGGGATGACATTCGTAGAACATGTCCAAGCCACTGAAGTTGATGTTTCGAGATAGTGACATCAATTGAATTATCGTCTCTGCGATCGAACACAGTATCCCAAAACTCTCGTTGTATTACTAACATGGTGTTGCCATTGGATGTCAGCAATCCTTCGGAGATAACGATGATCAAACACAGACAGTCATCTAACATCTTCAACTCGGAGACGCCAGGTTTCACAGGCATAGAGTAAAACTGCTGCCACCGGCGCGTTCGAGATCCAACGTTTTACAACCAGACTGACATCACGAAGGCGCCAAAGATGGTCTAGATTAGCATAAGCCGCTCTGACTTTTACTGTACTTGACTTGATCTTGTCACTCACGCCACCACTACCACTTAAGCGACTACCCAGATACACGAAGTTCTCGACTACTTCTATTTGCTCACCACCCAGGGTGAGTACAGGATCAGGGTCCTGCCAGTCTTGTAAAAGTACTTTGCACTTAGAAGGTGAGAAGCACATACCATACCTACGGACACTAATTACCAACTGATTAAGTGCGGGTTGCTAACCTGTAAGACAATAATACTCAAGCCATGCAATCTTGACATTTTTCTTTGTTAGGTTTGGGTAATTAACCTTAATGTTAGGGTTTTCATTACAAATTGACATCAGCTATAGAACTAAAATGCTCTTTAGCTAAACAGATCGATGAATTTGTTAAAAAATATGCAGAAAGCGTTGTCCAATTAGCTTGTCGGCAAAATATAGTACTACCGTATTAAGATTTGTTCCAGAATTAGGATTCAAAGTTAAGATCTAGGAACAGTGTAGATTTACCAGTTATAGGCAATCTACAGAGATAGAATCATATTTACTATACCGCTGTAAAAAAGCTTCTTTTGCTGACATTTTGATCAGTGTATAAATGTGTTTCAAATGCTTATTATACATAATATTTAAATTTCGGTTAAAAACTTAAAAGTCATGTTCTGCACCTCGATTACCTCGCCTCTGTACTATACTTTATTTGATAAGTGTGATTCTTAAACTGATCGACCGATTTTGAAGTCACTTACTTTTCAGCTATTAAGAAGCGAATGTACAAAATCGAAAGCATTTCATAACAGAAGAAATAAAACTGGTTATATTCACTTGGTATTGTTTGCATGTATCTTCCCATTGTTGTTTAGGACTACAATTGATCAGTCTATTCTTATCATATGTGTATACAGTGCGGACTGCGTCGATATTGCTTAAAGTCACAAGTCTTATAAACAAAGATGGATGATAGCTAGCAGTGGAATCAAGGACATGCGTTTTGTCCCATTTGAGACTCGTCAGTTCAAGGCAATATCGAAGCAGTCCGCATAGGATGCCTATATGCCAACAAGAGACTGATCATTCGCAGTCCTAAACAACAATCGGAAGATGCCGTCAAACAATACCAAGTGAATTCAAACTTCATCCCATTACACAAGCAGGTGACTATCAAGACTCAGTAGCTAAGTGGATAACCCGATAGAGTTTAAAGCGAACGGTACTGAGTTCGAGTTCCGAATTGAACATAATCTCTAAAATGCAGGTACATTCGGAACTGGCGAGTTCAAAATAGGACGAAACGCGCGTGTTGGATTCCACTGCTAGCCACTATCCATCTTTGCTAATTATTCAGTTTAACATTCGTTTTTATTGTTGACAGTTTAAGTCAGTATTCATTTCAGTATGTTATTTCGATTTTATTCTGTTAATTTCTATAAATTTATTCATTAAAGCCTCTGTAACGTATTCAGTATAAAATTCATTTTTAAGTTATACCTATTTTAAGGGTGACTATTTATCATTGTAAAGAAAAACCAGGTATATAAAGTAATATCTTTTTTTAGAAAACAATACATAAACATTCTTCGCAATTCCAAGGCGCCAAGCTTATCTTCTTTTGGTCTTCTTAATTGTTTAGGACTAGATCAAAAGTTTTGAGAAGTATGTATTGTTCACACTCATTATGGTATTCTATGAGTTGATTAACTAATATTAAGTCTTATTTACTAATGTTACTTATATTTTGAATGGTGTTAGCAAATGACAAGAAATTTTTAAAAACCATTAAAAAAGTCTACTTCACTCCTACAAATGATTTGTTTGCTTAAATAGACACATTAAGAAATTGTATAAGATGCGTCCAACTTGTACAGTTTTGTAAAGATCATGACTTAGTTAAATGTGTTTCTGTATGGATTGTCGAAGAGATTTAACGAACGATATTGTCATTTAATAATAGACACGCGCCCACAAAAGTAATATGAGCTATTGATTAAGGGGAGTTGTGGAAATCATTGAATTTTAGTTTAGATTACAAACTGAACTTAAACAAACAACGACTGAAAATCAGATAATACTAGAAAGTTGTTTCTTTCTAGCATAAGTTGCCTTAATAGAACATATGAACAGCCTCGTCAAGAATCAAACTTAAGATATTCAGGCATTGTGATAAATGCTTAGTCTTTAGATTTACTGAATCGGCATCAAATATCTTACATGACTAATTACTTAAGAAAAATATTATTAAAAAGCATCTAATAACTGTTAAGCAACGAAAACTGACAATATTAAAAGAAAACTAGTGAATAACTCTGAAGTTCTAGTGAAAAGTTCGGACCAGTGGAATTCAACCGCATCGAGTGTGAACAAGTACCCACCGATGGCATTGAAATACAGTTGAGCAGTATCTCGAGTTGATTGACGTTAGTCATATACATTATTGGATTCAAGCTCAGTAGCCTAAATGTTAAGTGTTCGTGTGCAGGACCGAGAGTCCTGAGTCAGATTTGTTATAGAGTTGTGGATGCACACTGCTGAGGAGTCCCATACCAGTACAGGATAGCTGCTGATCAGAGCTTACAATGGCTGTCTAATTTAAATCTGTTCGTGATCTCAGTTAAATATATTTTAATTACTAACATTTGTACTTACCTATATATTCTTAATTCACCAAAATATGTTAAACAAGTTATTAATAGAGGTGAAATATCAGAATCTTTGCGTCCTATTTTCATCTCTTCATCAACATTGATATTCAATATACATAAATGAATTGGCCAATCGGATAGTTTAATGCATAAGTCACATTCGTTTATAAACCTTTTAAAATATTGTCTTAATATATGAATTTTTGGCCAAGAAGCTAATAACAATGATGAATTTGTGGAGAAATTGTCCAGAGGAATAATGATTAATAAACCTAATTTAATAGAATGTGCATCATTATTCTTCAATGTGAATGATTCATGAATATGATTATAACCGCCAAGCCATAAATTATAATTATTGTCTGAAAGAGAAGAAAATTTGGGTAGAACAGTCAGTAGGTTAGTCAGGTAATTAACCTATAACCAATAAGATTGCTTACTTCAACAATCAGTGATTCTATGGACTGATAGAGAGCATTGATTTGACCACCTCTAGCGTTATCCCGACCTACTCCTACACCAGTAAATATCATGAATAGAGATAGGTAGAAGTTAGGCCTACATAATACATGCCTCAGACAATTCAGTTGATGATAAATCATAGTCACGTCAGTTGACCTGACATTTTTGCAAAAAAAGTCTACGTTTATCCTGTAAGCTGGTGTTAATGTTTACACAAGGATTTAAAACCAATACATTTCTCTTTAAATATCCAATGGGTTATTCACTGAACTACTCAGTCCGGATAGTCACCAGTTTGTAGTACGGAGAATATAAATCCTTACAAATAAAAATTCCTACACACTACACAAGCTAGTAGCCATCTAGACTCAATAAATTCTTCAGTAACGCGTTCATCATCTAAAGCGAAAAGTACCGAGAGAATGCTAACATTGGGTTACAGATAAGTTCAGATGATATGTCCAGCGATTCCATTGCTAACAACATATAAAATACATTAAAACGTGGGACACAACATTAGATTAACGCGATCCGCTCACAATGTACATATGACAACAGAGAGCATCAATTGCGTCCGTGAATATCAACAACAAGGAAATATAAACATTTTTTAATATACCTCTTATGTTTATTTATTTATTTAAACACACAAACATTAGTACAAGAAGACGACAAATATATATGTGCCATACTTTGTTATTATATTTGTGTGAGGGCTGAGATACTGTTCGAGCACCGAATCCAAAGAAGGTGCTTTTCTTAAAGAACCACTCCTCGAACCTTTGACCTAGAGGTTTAATCCACAAGGCAGTGCATCAACGTCAGGAGATGCCGTCCCATGGTAGCCAGTGAAGAACAATAGGTTCATACTCAATTTGTGCCCTCAGGATCCTGGAGCCCATGTGCACCCTTGGTTTAGAATTATGGTTCTCCAATCCCCATAGATGGCTCTTCTGTACCCATCAACCTGATTAAAGCACCGGACATTCGTTTTTCTCTCTCTCAGATTCGTAAACAACACCTCCGCCATGAGAAGGCAGTGAGTAGGACTTCTCCGGAAGTGGCTGTATACTCGTGATCATGTGAGAGCATTTGATGAGGGAGAGTGGAATCTCTGAACCTTCGGTTGTACCAAGGCATTTAGGGGCCCTTATGTTTAGCTTTTCATTACAATTAAGGTTAATGGTTCTGATACTCTGTTTTGAATTTTTGTCTATTTTTTTAATCACTCAACTGATATGAAGTTGAACTAACATGCATTTACATTAAACAATAGTATGCTGTCCATAACAGACTTAATGTACGTATAAGTAACTACATTCACAATTTAAGAAAAGTATTTCAAAAAATAACAGTTGAAAGATCATTAAAAAAAGGTGAAAAGTCTCAGCAAACATGTCATTTCATTTATATAACACTGAAATGTACACAAAATCATTTTAACATGAAATGACTGTACTTTCCACTGAGATTGATTTTTTCTCTTTTTAAAGTTAGTATTACTAGTATTTCTAGGTGTGACAATTTGTCAATAATCTTTTCTTCAAACACATAGTTCCCTTTATTATCTTAAAGAGAGCAAGAACAAAGATTGATGCACCAATCTTTGTTTTTCCTCTCTTTAATCTTTTCTTCCTTATTCATTCAAACCAACTGACAAAAGTAGAAGAATGATAACGGATTTAGAAGAAAAAAATTAACATATTCCTGATAGTTATCAGAAGGAGTTTTGTGGAGATTTTAGAAATTTCAATAGTTGAAATCATGTGTCAATTGAAGCTAGACTATTATGGACAACTTGGAAGCATTAGTGAGATGTCGTGACCAGTGGAGTTCAACCAGGTCTGTTGTGAGATATCAGCTCATTAAAGACAATGGTGTACGGCAGCGCAATTTCGTGGATTGGTTAAAGTTAGACATTAACACCGTTGGATGCTGGCCGGCTCAGTGGCCTAATGGTTAAGCGCTCGCGCGCGAGACTGGTATGTCCTGGGTTCGAATCTCGCTGGGGGCAGAATCGTGGATGCGCACTGCTGAGGAGTCCCATACTAGGACGAAACGGCAATCCAGTGCTTCCAGGTTTTCCATGGTGGTCTAGCTTCAATTGACTCATGATTTCAAATATTGATATTCGTGATAGGTTGAGCGAGTCTAGACAAATAATGGTTAACTTCCAAACGTTAAATGGTTCATATGCCCTTTTAGGGTCGAATGACAGGTAAAAATTTACTAATGAGACATGTTTTTAGAAAACACTGTTTATGTATCAACTCAATTTTCGGCTACATGTGATTATCTGAGTCAGTAGTACAATGGTATATACACCTATGACCGATTTCGCACTTAAACCTTCTTGCTCTTATTTACATTCTGGGATTGGTCAAACGTAGGAACTGTAAAATAATAATAATAATAATAATAATAATAATAATAATAATAATAATAAATGGATCACACTATAGAAAACAGAAGTCCCTCAATTTTCTTTTCTCTAGTCTCATTAAACAATTAGCATGGAAACAAACAAACAAATAAATAAATATCAGAAGGGGTTTTGTGGATATGATAGTAATTTTATTAGTTGAGATCATGAGTCAATTGAAACTAGACCACCATGGAAAACCTGAAAGCACTGAACGGCCATTTCGTCCTATTGTGGGACTCCTCAGCTTCAACTGACTCATGAACTCAACCATTGAAATAAATGAATCAAAATTTTTGAAATAACCATTCATCACTTACCAATTACAGCACAAGTTACAACTTTTAAAAAATCAATTGAATACACCGATTGTATATGACTAAAACAATTATTTTGATAAATTGGTAATGAATTTGATCTATTCTCCTTCTTCTTCCTCTTATTATTATTATTATTATTACAATGATTAGTAATAATTTCATTTGATAATGATAATAATGAAGTAGATAATTGATATGAATTAGTTAAATGTACAATTTGTTCAGCTGATGGTCGTCTATTTGAATTGGATGACCAACAATATGTCATTAAATTGATTAATGCAATAGGACAACATTTAATAAACTGTTATTTGAAGTTGTGATAAAAGAATAAAAGGAAAACGTTGACAAAGTAAACATCCCAATCATCGTTTAAATTCATGACCAAATATTATAATTACTTACATAATATCAGTATAGGGTTGTGGAGATTATTAAGTTTTTGATTGAGATCATGAATTGATTGATGTTAGACCATTATTGAAAACCTGAAAGTCGTAACCAATAGAGCTAGTCCGTATCGGGTAGAGACAGGTATCTACCTCAGTACAATGAAAGATGGTCGTGCAATTTCGTGAATTGGTTGAGGTTAGACATTAACACCGTTGGATACTGACTCAGTGATCTAGAGGTTATGCGTTCGCGTGCGAAACTGAAGGCCCTGGGTTCGAATCCCGCGAGCGGGATCGTGGATGCGCACCGCTGAGAAGTTCCACAATACATACATGATACTCGAGATACTAGATGAGATCAATTATTAATTGTAACCTGTTTATCAAATAGTCTACATTAGTGTAATCAGCAGTTACACTATAACACCAACTTAAATAGACGTGAGTAAAGTCAGATTCGAACTTGTAATCCACTGAAGTAAACATTGGGAACTTAAATAATATTTTGTGATATCTCAATCAGTAGAAAATTGTATTTCTGATGTTTCTTGACTTAATGTAAGTCACTACTTTAAATTAAATAAGTAACCGAGATAAAATTAACACAAGCTCAAATAGTACAAAAGAAATAAAGCAAAATATTTTTAGTAAAATCAAAATCACAACAGGTTTGAACATGTCAATGTCAAGTTATTTTGTGCAAGGTCAGAACTTGAAGTAATAAAACACAGTCGTCAATGTAGAATCTTTTGAATACGAATAAAGTTTCCTAATCTCAAGGTTAAGCAATCAGTATGAGACCTAAATGTTTTATGTCGGATTCCCAAGGAGATTTGGACCCACACTCCTGAAGATTTCTGTAGTGATTTTTGGGTGTCAATGGTTGTCTAACGAGGGTATGCCCATTATATGTTATTAGGTATTGACGAATAATCGAGCAAATTTATTGACAATATTAGATAACATTGAATATTACAAAATATTCTATTGATACCACGAGTCCAGGACGTACATGGATAGAGTATTTTTAATTAAAATATATACTGATTAGTAGTGGAATCCAGGACGCGCGTTTCGTCCTATTTGGGACTCGTCAGCTGGATGTACCTGCATCTCAGAGTTGATGTTCACTCTGGGACTCGAAACCAGTACCATTCGCTTCAAAAGCCATCGCACTATCCACTCAGCTACGGAGTCCTGATAGCCACTTGCTGCTGGGTGTTGGGTTCGAGTCCCAGAGTGAACATCAACTCAGATGCAGGTACATCCAGCTGACGATTCCCAAATAGGACGAAACGTGCGTCCTGGATTCCACTGCTAGCCACTATCCGTCATTGCTTACAAATAGCTTGTGAATTAAGGTAATATCGAGGCATACGCACAGTATGCACATATGCCAATAAGAGACTGATCAATTACAGTCTTAAACCTCAATGAGAAGATACAAGCAAAACAATACCAAGTGTATATGCTGATTAGTTTAAAATAATCGAAATGAAGAAATGAACTGAAGCTTCATCCTTGTACGTAGAATGGAAATAATGAATCCAATATAACAGATCCAATGTTGTATATAACGTATACACAATTTGGTCATTCAGATCACATTCCATCTAAAAGAACTGCACTAACCGATTTTTGAACATTAACCAATATGATGTTTCAAGAAATTGAATGATTTGATGTTCAACTTATCAAATAATGTTGCTATAAGTGATTAACTAAGTTTTTTAAACTTCGTAGTTTACATCAACTATCGATCTTAGACAATTATTGAAAGCTAACAAGCACTAAACCTACAAGTTTCGTAGTGAGCGCTTAATTTGATCTTTTGTGGGGTTTTGAGTCTCATACTAAAATGAAATACATATCCAGTGATTTTAACGATTGTAAACTATTAAATTCATCAAATTAAATGACATTGAAAACCATTATCAATTTATGTATATACTTAAGAATAATAAATGACAATCGATATAAATCACAATAGATGCTCAGTTATCAGAATTGGAACGGGTTATTGAATATCGTTAAGTAACATAGATTAACATACAGAAGGAAGTATATAAAAAAAGAAAACAAGGATAGAAGATGAAAACGAACCTTACTATCATCGAGTTTTATGATTATGGATAAGTACTAGGTGAAATTTTACCGTATTGTGCAGTGGTCGATCCTGTTGCTGATAAGCAAACTTTTTACCTCCGAGTCATACTGAATATTTGAGTGAGAAGGATGTTTTTCACATTCGCATTCCTTAAAAAAGGAATCAACAATTTGATCAGTCCTATGTGCTCATTATTTGGCCAATATCTGATTCGCCTTCTTTCCTCTTTCATGAAGATAGTAACCGTTTAGACTGATGGATTACTAGGAAATAACTAATATCAAATTTATCTAGTCCATTGTTACTGTTGATTAAATCCGACAGACCACGTTTTTCAATGAGCTCATTAATATAAATGACTAAATACAATGCTAACAGTAAAGGTCTATGTTAAATAGTGGAATCAAATAATTACAAGACTGTGCTTAACTTAGGCTTAATATGAATTGATATTCTAGTTTATAAAAATACCAGAATATTAAAAGGTTGTCATCGAGATAGATGTCAGAATGGTGGAAGCAGTAACAATATAAGTGATATTACACATCATTCGGTATAGAAAATATTATTCTAGAAAGAATGGATTTACAGAAAGAGAAAGTAGAAAATCCTTGTAAGATTCAAGATCTAAGGGAAGATACATAAATAATGCAATTGATTCACTTCAACCGATTCTTATGAATGTTACCTTACATATTTAACCAATGGTTACTATAATTGCATCAACCTAGCATCATATAGTCTACACTTATGAATACAAATCAGATGGTTCAACGGCTTATGACTTCATGAACTGATACCAAATCTTGAATTAGCTGCCACTCTTGAAGAAAACTAGTCGAGATTCGACATTATATTATTCGGTGTCAGACTGAAAGATACTACTGATGGATTGATTTGGATCATTCATGAAATCAAAAGAAAAATTCAATTCAATATAAAAAAACATACATGTTGTGGAATATCAGGACGTACACCTGAAATAACTTGTTGAGCTAAACGATAAAATGACGATGATGATTTTTTGTACGGCTGTTCTAACTGAATCATTTCACATAATAAAATTCCCATAGCATAAATATCAATCTATATAGAGTAAAATAAAGGGAAACAAAAACAAGAGAGTAATAATTAAATGAAAAAATCTGACAGTAGGGATTTATTTTGGAGGCAATTTGTATTCCAATCACAATATGCAATAGTGTCTTAGGTTTCTGACTGATTCAAAGGTGAAGGGCAATGAGAGACTGTAAAAGCAGTTATCAGTTTATGAATATATTTAATGCACATTCTAATAACGGATTTATATGTCGCTAGTATACACACTATCACAATGCATTCAGTTAGCCAATTGCAGCGTAGAACGTTGTACGTATGTACATCGGTTCAAGTTGTCATACTATATTAGCATAAAGAGACGAAATTGTCAGGTCAAATCTCAGAGTTTATATAGAATTCAGAAAGCTCAGACTTTGGAGGAAGAAAAATAACAAGTACATCTGCGCCATTGCAAACGATTGTAAGTCATGTCATTGGAAGTATTTAACCATTGGTTACGATCGTTAAATGGACCCCAACCAGGTAGTCAACACCTATGATCATGGCATAGTCAAACTGTGAATAACTTCATGGGCTGGCATAATCTTTTAGTTTGGCCGCCTCTAGCTTTCTTTTAGTCTATTCCTACAACAGATAACATCGCCCATCCAGCTAGATGATGGTTGGGCATACATAGAAAAGGTATAGAGATAATTGGTACGAAAAGTTAAAAGATAATGGTTCCAAGGGCATATCCGTAATCCTGAGGAGAAAAATGCTCTCTGTGAGATTTAAACCCTTGCCATCCATCTGCACAGTTTGATGTTATCACTGTGCTGTTTTCGAGCTGCGACAGATCTTTAGAAGGTAATATGTATAATCTGAAGAGTAACTAATTTTTTGAGATGATTTTTAGATTCATTTGTACTGTATTTTAAACTTCACTTCCCATTTCTAACATGTTATAGAAAGGCCTTTATCTCTTATATGTCTATTCGAATTACTAGGTTCGAAAGGTTTATTTAATGTTTTGATGAAAACTGATGTTATAATAAGTATGAATGAAGGAAACATGAGATAACTGTATGACACGACAAAGAAACTCTCTGAAAATCGCCGCAAACCAGAACGACCAGTGAAAAGTAAGGAAGGCGAGGTGATCACTAACATTGAAAAGCAACAAAACAGGTGGGTAGAGCACTTCAAAGAACTCTTGAATTGACCAGCTTTACTGAACCCACCCACCATCGAAGCAGCAACCACGGACCTCCCAATTAATGTTGGCCCACCAACAATTGAAGAAATCAGCATGGCCATCAGACAAATCAAGAGTGGCAAAGCACCAGGACCAGACGACATTTCAGCAGAGGTACTAAAAGCAGACGTAGCGGCAACTGCAAGGACACTCCACATTCACTTCAATAAGATTTGAGATGAGGAACAAGTACCAAAAGACTGAAAAGAAGGACTCCTGATCAAAATACCGAAGGCGATCTCAGCAACTGTGATAACTACAGAGGCATCACTCTTCTCTCAATACCGGGAAAAGTCTTTAACAAGATATTGTTAAACAGGATGAAAGACTCCGTAGACGCCCAACTTCATGACCGACAGGCAGGATTCCGTAAGGATCGATCATGTACAGACCAAATCGATACAACACAGCATGCACCAATCCAGTCACAATTGACGGAGACGATTTGGAATATGTAAAAACCTTTACATATTTGGGCAGCATCATTGATGAACAGGGTGGATCTGATGCAGATGTGAAGGCGCGGATCGGCGAATCAAGAGCAGCATATTTACAACTGAGGAACATCTGGAACTCAAAGTAACTGTCAACCAACACCAAGGTCAGGATTTTCAATACACATGTCAACACAGTTTTACTGCATGGAGCGGAAACTTCGAGAACTAGGAAAGCTATCAATCACAAAATACAGGTGTTTATTAACAGTTGTCTACGCAAAATACTTCGGATCCGTTGGCCGGACACTATTAGCAACAACGTACTGTGGGAGAGAACAAACCAGATCCCAGCGGAGGAAGAAATCAGGAAGAAGCGCTAGAAGTGGATAGGACACACATTGAGGAAAGCACCCAACTGCGTCACAAGACAAGGCCTCACACGGAATCGTCAAGGCCAAAGGAGGTGAGGAAGACCAAAGAACACATTACGCCGGGAAATGAAGATAGACATGAGAAAAATGAACAAGAATTGGATGGAACTAGAAAAGAAGGCCCAGGACAGAGTGGGTTGGAGAATGCTGGTCGGCGGCCTATGCTCCATTAGAAGTAACAGGCGTAAGTAAGTATGTGAGTAGGAAGTATAATGAAAGGATATATATATATCATTGAGAAAATTTTGGCGTTTTTTTTCTTTAAACAAACCTTTGAAGTATATGTTTGTTCACCTATATAGTCTAAAATTTCAGGGGCCATATAACCAGGTGTACCAACATATCCTCTACATCCATTGCCATCTTCATCATCGTCACGTACACTCATGAATCGACTTACACCATAATCAGTTAGTACAATATGTACTTCGGATGGATTCTGATCATTCGCTTCCGATGTTGATGATGTCGTCATCATCATCATCATTGTAGAAGGAGGTGGTATTGACCAAATTAATATATTTTCCGATTTTACATCACGATGAACAATAGATAAGGAGTGAAGATATGCAAGTCCTTTAGCTATCTAAAATATTCATAATTCGAAAGAAAAAAAAGAATTGTAACATATTACTAATTAGTGTAATTTGACTCGATCATTCAAGTATTGAACTATAAAATAATGAAAGTTTCCAGAAAATTCCGACTGTTTTAATCTGTGTAGCCTAATAAACCAATGTGATAAGTATAAATTGGAAAAACAAATAAGACCGTTACCATGTTTAATGTTGTATAATAATAATGATCAAATTAACTTAAGCTTAAAATATTAATTATCAGATTTCAATTCCTTGATTGAATGATGTTCAATAGAGTAAGTATGATCTAAAATGAATGAGATCTAATAACAGTTGACGTTAGATTTATCCATATAGGATTCTAAAGAGTTCAAATTACAAATAAAAGACTGTTTAACATTGTATTATTTCCATTAATTGTTCTTTACGTTATGTATTTATTGTATACATTACTTTCAGAATGTAAATACAAATTTCTGATCAAATTTTATTCCATTTTTCAATAAGGTTAAAAGTAAGATTTTTTTTATTTTGAAGAAAAAAGAAAAATATTATAAGCAAAGATGGATAGTGGTTAGCAGTGGAATCCAATACGCGCGTTTCGTCTTATTTGGGACTCGTCAGCTGGATGTACCTGAATCTCAGAGTTGATGTTCACACTGGTAATCGAAACCAGTACCATTCGCTTCAAACGCCATCGCGTTGGATTCCACTGCTAGCCACTATCTATTATTGCTTATAATGCTTGTAAATTAAGGCAATATCGAGGCAATACGCACAGTATGAACATATGCCAATAAGAGACTGATCAAATTCAGTCCTAAACATCAATGGAAAGATTCAAGTAAAACATTACCAAGTGAAAGAAAGGTATTTTTTAATTTGCATAGTAACTAACAGTGAAATCTAAGAATCATATGTCATTCTATTTAAGACTCTTCAATTGAAAGTACTTGAACTATATTACTTATCTTAATAATGAAATTAGAACGGATTATAGTGTATATATAACCCAAAAGAGGCTGATGTAAATAACATTACCAATGAGAAAGTAAAAAGCTATTAAAAAATAAAACTAAAATGTATCCTCAGTGGTTAAGATCATGAGTCAGTTGAAGCTAGACCACCATGGAAAACCTGGAAGCACTGAACAGCCGTTTCGTCCTATTGTGGGATTCCCCAGCAGTGCGCACCCACGACCTCGCTCCCCGCGAGATTCAAACCCAGGACCTACTAGTTTCGCGCGCGAGCACTTAACCACTAGACCACTGAGATATATAGCAGCAGAAGGTTAAGAAGATCGAAGAAAGGAGAACAAGAATAGAGAATGATCCCTGTGGATATAAAGGAACAGTAAAGTCTGAGACAATTGATTTACATTTTGCAAATAAAGTAATTATTGTATGGTTCTTAGATTTTACTAAGATGTTCTGTAATTTTGTATTCAAATACATTCTATTGTTCCCGCTTGTGTTCTCGTTCACTACACTAGTAGTTCATATAATCAGTCAGATAAGAACAACATAGAACTTCATATACATATATATGCACAATAGTTCAAGTTGCTACATTATATCTGATACGTCGTGTATGTTGAACGCTATATAGGATTCCTAAGCTATTCCCGTAACCCGCAGACTAGAACTACACAGCGACTTGAACTCCAGAGAGAAGACACAAGTACGAGAGAAAACACTTTATCCCAAGGTTCATTTTAGTACAGAAAATCAAGGGTATTTATAGATGTTGGCGTCTGTTAAATCAACATCATATTTCAGCCAATCCGTTAACGTCATACTATGCTACCGACCAATGGCAGCACGCCACGCTGGAATTCTCGAACGTCCCATCATACTCTGATTGGCTAGGGCCCTTCGGCTCCTTTTTGGGCCTCTGGAGGCTCCGTTGAAGTTCTCCGGAAGCCGACCCAACAATATCATTACACCAAGATAAATTAATCAAAACAAATTATATGAACCTCAAAAATTTTTTGAATCGATTCAATAATTGTCATCATTCAATTCAATCCACATTAGAAGTAGGCATTTTACTTTCTTGATATACGGTTAAAAAGGTCAGATGGTTCTTTACAGAGATATATGTGTAGAAAACCAACCTGGAATGGTCAGTATACATATTTTCATAGCTGGGCCCCATTGAATAGAAAGAGAAACTTAATCCACTCTTTATCCTCAAGTATTAGGCGAATATGTTCGAATAACACAATAGATGACGAACTACTTTAACTTTGACAAATATTCGTCAGAAATCATTATCTACCTGGATTTTTCGTTAGGAACTTAACACCAAGACAACATACTGAAAAAGCACCAATAATTCAGGAGAAAACGTCTTATGAATATCAAATTTAAAATATACTGCTGTCGAACTCTTGAATTAACGGATTTCAAAATCGATGAATAAAACCTATTCAGCTTTATTGTTTTATCAACCCAGCCTACCATTCACGGATGTGTTAAAAATAAACTTCCAGTTCGAACCACATCGATGTGCATCTATAAATTTACTTGTTGCCATGGGGCAGGTTATATCGGCCGCACAAAGCGAACACTTTCCAAACGCATCTCAGAACATTACCCAATGTGACTTTTAAAAAGAGAATGTAAAACAGTCACCAGTCACACAATAAAAAAACTGAATCAAAGGGAGATCTAATCAAAAAGTACACTACTGAAGCGCTGGCCATCCACCATTTCATGCCCGAACTCAGCGTGCAAACACAATACGTCGAACTTCTCATTACTTCTTCTACCTTGATTCCCTTCTGTAGTTGTTAGGTCCCGATAAGCATAATGAATGGTAACTTTTGGGACTCATTTATGAACCAATACTATTTTTATCGTATAATTGTTAAATAACGAAACTATTCATATTCATGTCCCTTTTATTATGAGCTTTAGTTTGACCTATGAATTATTCTTGTACGATTTACCATTCTTAAATTATGCCTAGTCTATCAATTACTAGCTCCCACATTCACCGCCACATTTGACTAACTCTTGTATAAATGTTGTTTCATATTTTATGGTACGGTATGGTCTGTCTGGTTAGTATATAAACCCAATATGTTTGAAATGAATGATTCATATTGCAGAGGCTGAGATTGATGTTCTGGTTTTAACTGGCTGGGCTAGGCAGGAAGCAGGACCGATAAGGACTATAGACTGCTCGTACGGGTTTTTATTCGTCATTGGTCCGATCGATAATTCACTGTTCTCTAATTGGTGGTATCGTTACGTCATACATTAAGAGGGCACTCAGGCTACAAGTTATAACCGTAGTATATTTTGGTTTAATTTTTCTTAGAATTAGTACTTTGTAATTTTAAACCATAATCAGTTATTAGTATTGGACTGATATTAATTGCACGGTGGTTGTTCAACAATCCGATACAATAATAATAAGTATAGGAGAATCTATAACTCATCTAACGACTTTCAAACTATCTACAAGACTAACTATGCAAACAACCAATTATTATCATTCTCACACACATATCCGAAAACAAAAAGTGAAAAGATCTATGGTATAAAGAAAAATCTTTCTTAACTGTTATTCACAACAATCATATTAATATCAACCAATTAGTTTGAACGTAATAACACAATTCAGTTAACTAGTCAAGAACTTCATGGAGTGATATCATATTTTGATTTAACTTCTTTTAGATATATTTCTTACAATATATACAATACAATTTATATTACATAATGCACAAAAATATGCTGATGATTTGCATATTAAACATTAAAAAAAAGATATTTGTATCTATCTAGTCAATAATTTGAAACTGTATACCATTATGATCCAATAATAAAATAAACACAAATAACAAAAAACCAACTCAAAAAAAACAAAACAAAAGAAAAGAAAAAGAACGAAGACACTATCACCATTGGATGTCGGCTCAGTGGTCCAGTAGGTTAAGCGTTCGCGCGCGAGACCGAAGGCCCTGGGTTCGAATCCCGCGAGCGGGAATGTGGATGAGCACTGCTGAAGAGTCCCACAATGGGACGAAACGGCCGTCCAGTGCTGCCAGGTTTCCAAAAGTGGTCTAACATCAATCGGTTCATGATCACAATCAAAAAAGAAAAAATCTTACCTGATTAATTATTAACGTCATAGTGATTGGATGTAATGGATGATTAATAAATAATTCATTATAATTTGTTGTTATGTATGATGTATTCATTGTTGTCTTTAATAAATCTTGATATAATATTAATAATGAATTGAAATAATCAGATAAATTACCTAATGGTAATAATGGCATTAAAAATCCAATAGGATTAGGATAAATAATTCCATAACAAATAAGTAAGTTATTATTATCATTAATACTATTTATCTTATCCATATTATTAAAATCTTTTAATTTATTCTTTTGTAAACATTTATTAAAACAACTTTGATTAGATCGTTTTTCTTTTAAACTATAACTATTACATAATCTGTTAGTACGTCTACTCTTATGATATAATAATAATGATGATGAAGAAGATGATGATGATGATGGTGACCATGATGATAATGATGATGGAAAAGAATATTGATTAGAATACAATGAATTTCTTGTAATTGATAATAGGATATTTAATTCAGCTCGAATTTCCTATATAAAGATTTAAATAAAAGTAAAAGAAGAAGCGCATACTTTGAAAATTAGAATAAGTCGAAAGAAAGTTTTTTCATTGAATTTTTTAAGTAATCAGAAATAAATAAACTATAAATTTATTTTAATAGTTGAGATCACACGAGTCAATTGAAGCTAGAGGACTATTTAAAACCTGGAAGTACTGGATGGCCGTTTCCAGACCGATAGATCTTGGGTTCGAATATCATGAGGCGGGATCTTGGATGTGCACTGCTGAGGAGTCCAATAATGGGACGAAATAGCAGTTCAATACACCCAGGTTTTCTATGGTGGTCTAGCCTCCATTGAAATATGGTCTCAACTACTGAAATTACTATAATATCTACAAAAACCCCAGACCCGGGTTTTGTGCTACTTGGCACTCGTCAGTAAGGTGTACCTGTAATCTTAAGGGAACTGATGCTCCCTGACGGATTCGATCCCGTGTCACTCACACTGCAACTTGGTCGATAGGATTCGATCTGCACTAAGAAAGATCTGACATATATGAACATTGATTACCACCCAGTGATCAATCAATTGTGATTACATCTCAGTCTTACAGGAGGTCGGTCGCGGCCACTATCTATCTTTGCTCAGATTTCAATCCATTTCAAGAATCGCACTCACAAAATCTATACTTGAACAAACACTAGCTAAAGAAAGTAGGTTTCGATTGTACACAACAATGAGCACCCACAACCTCAGCAAAGAAATCAGACGAAGAGAGTTTCAGATTTTGTAGAGACCATTTAACCTTTGGACCACCGACTCGGCATCCAATGGTTTACAAATTTTCTCTTCAGCTACTTCGTGATATGGTACATCCGTCTTTCAAATTTATTGGATGAGGAATCAATAATCAAAAGGTTGATTACTTGCGGAGTAAGACCTAAAGGTTCTAAGTTTGGTCTCCAGGATAGTCTTATACTGGTGAAAACATCTCTTCATTTTTAAATGACAAAATTAATCAAACAACTAATTAATTTATCTAATCAACCAACCTGATAAGCAGTTAAACAGGCTTCAATTGGGTTATGTAACCATCTACGTTGCTCTTGACGATATAAAAACAAAGCATCGGAAAGATTCGACGTAGAACACTTGTGCTGTGATGATGATGATGATAAATTGATACGCTCAGAGTTGATAGAATTAAACATAGGATTACAATTACTTCTATTACTATTTAAATTAGGATAAATAGGTGAACATAGTTTTACAGCTACCTCATGAATGAAATCTGTGGTACGATTGTTATTAAACTAAAATTAATAGAAAAAAAAAGAGAAAAACAGACATACATTTAATAAATAAGAAGTAAACGTCAGTTAACACTAGTAACTAGTGATTATAACTGAAGAAATAATGTTGATTGGACGATACAAATGAGCAACTAACCAGTTTTAAATTAATTTTTTTAAAAAAATGTGAAATTCTGTATTGTTAAATGATGATCTAGTAGTTTTACAGCACACTTGATTTTCATAACTAACAAGTACCAAGTTAAAAAAAAACAGTACAACTTCATCCACTTCGGTTTGCTCAATTTCGGTATTGTGGTGTATATCACTTATGTTGACAGATGTAAGCAGTATGTAATATTAATCGGAAGTGGAAAGACGGTTAGCAAAATATTGAAATGAAGAGAATAAGAATTAAATAGGAGAGCAATCGAAAAAAAAAACAGAATTTCACAAATGATGAAATATGCAAAGGACAATAAAAGGAAAATGTTCAAATGATGTTGTGTTTAACGTATGCTTTTCACACTTTACTAAACCACTGTAATTTTGCATTAAATAATAATTGGATGTTTGAAACTGCCCATTGATGTTTAGGACTGCAATTGATCAGTCTCTTATTGGCATATGTGCATCCTGTGCGTATTACCTCGATATTGCCTTAAACCACAAGCATTATAAGCAGAAATGGACGGTGACTGTCAGTGGAATCCAGGACGTACGTATCGTCCTATTTGGGACTCGTCATCTGAATGTACCTGTAACCCAGAGCTAAGCGGAAAACGCGATGGATTTCGAACTACGAAAGCTATCATCCAGAAGATATAGGTGTTTATTAACAGTTGTCTACGCAAAATACCTCGAATCCGTTGGCCAGACATTATCAGCAACAACCCACTGTGGGAGAAAACAAACCATGTTCCAGCGGAGGAAGAAATCAAGAATGAGCGCTGGAAGTGGATAGGACACACATTGAGTGAAGCACCCAACTGCGTCACAAGACAAGCTTTCAAGTGGGATCTTAAAGGTCAAAGGAGAAGAGGAAGACCAAAGAACACATTAAGCCGAGAAATGGAGACAGATATGAGGAAAATGAACAGAAATTGCATAGAACTAGAAAGGAAGGCTCAGGACAGAGTGGGTTGGAGAATGCTGATCGGCGGCCTATGCTCCATTAGGAGTAACAGGCGTAAGTGAGTAAGTAAGTAAATGTCCACTGTCAAATTGTCCATGATAAATTCTCTTTTTTTCTTTCATGAGTTACAATCTGCTTTATAAGTTACAAAGAAATACATATACACATAATCATCAGTTTACTTGATCGACTGTTTCGAGTGAAATTCTATTTGATAATCGTCCTACTTGTTGTTGTTTGGATGGATTTGAATTATTTACAGAACCTTTAAATATGGAACCAAAAGCTCCACGTCCAAGAAATTCCAATAAATAGACACGATCAGTAGAAAAGAAAAGTGTTGAAGGAATATCTTTAAATTGCTAATTTGAGAAAAGAATAGAAAAAAAGAAGTATAACAAAAAAACAACTCATTATACAACCATTAGTAACACTAATATTCTACAATTCACTAAAACAACTAGTGTTATATGCATAATAAATTATGTGCCTACTAGTGGCTAATTCCCAGGAGTAACTCCCAATTTCAAAGAGAAGATATAACCAATAGAGTCTAACCATGTTGAATATGAGACAGTTACGCACAAATTTCACGAGAAAATGAAAATGGATTAATGAGATTTGAAGAAAGAAATGTAAAGCATCGTATTTGGACACGGAAATCTTAATGTTAAGAGACCATTTCCGGTTGGGGGACAGTGCACAGACTCTGTTAAGAGGTCCCATACTAAAGTAAGACGTCTCAGTGTATTCTTGCTTTTTAATAATTGTTCACTTAATATTAGTCTGCAAAGTAAAATATTTACTTCAATGATCACCGATCCTGGGAAAAATAAATAGAATTTGATCATGTTTGTAAATTAGTTTACGCTTTGTGGTTGTTCTCATAATATATATAAATATATGATATTACTATGAATTCATCTGTTTAACGTGGTGATATAAGTTATATGTATTCGTTTTTGCTATTGTGACGTATAGTAACTCGTCTTGATACACATTTGTAACACACACTACTTTACAACTCACTGTATTCCGCTACGGTGGTTCAAAAGTGATATTACTTCAAACTGAGTCTTCAAGAAAAATATCATAAATTTCTCAACATTAAGAAGATTACAATTAGTATAAAAAAGACTTTGACTTGATCTTCATACTTCTCTGTTTAACTTGATGTCGACACGTGACAAAAATCTTATCTACATTATTTTCATTTTACTTATATAGCATTTCAGTAGTTAGAAAGTTCGAAGTAAATATATAATAATGAAAAAATCATATAGGATTACATGTCTACATACGATGGAACTTACTAAATCTGGAGCCCATAACTGAACAGATGAATGTATAGGACAATATAATTCACCAGGCTGTAATATTTTATTTGAATTTCTCATTACATACCAATGAATATATTCACTAATAGTGATACCATAAACAAACGATGTATAGGTTGTTGATGGATTGGTTAATTTATTTTGATTACCATTATCATTTTTATTACGGTTAGTCATTTTTAATGGATCTGCTGAATGTGCTCTTTTATATCGATTCCTGTTATCACAAAAAACCAGTGAATTGCAAAAAAAGATTATTAAACAGTACTAGAATTAATAATTTAAAGTCTGAAAATTTGCACACAATCTACATTTATTACAACAAAAGAACTCCAAGACGTATCATCCAGTAATGTAAATGTACATTCCGTAAACAAGCAATCTAGAACTTTACTATATATAAATATATTTATCTCAATGATTAATCACTGAGAAGTAATGTTTATCTATTTATTAATGCTGCTTTAGGCCTATCAGTCGAATTGTAATATTTCCACAAGACTAAGTGGCTGAATATCACGAGAAATATATAGGGATGTCAAGTGATTGAAGATAGTTATCAAGTAAACCACAGCCTGAGGTTACGTATTAGATAGAACTCGTCAGCAAGGAGAACCTAAATTTTTGAAAGAACAACCTCAAACTATCTAACGTAAGAAAATTGTACATGAGCCGCCGGGTTATTTAGAATAGAAGAAACATTGTATCTTGATCGACAGAACCTGATCAGCATAGGAGGACTAAACTAACATAACAACGATTAGTATTCACTGATTATTTACACGTAAATAATTCAGTCACACTGAAGTTTAATCACCATTCAAACAGTTGGCTAGTGGATTTTCAGAACATGGACAGAAAAATTTACCTACCGTTTAAAAGGCCACGACCATTTCGAAGAACTGTTTTGGAATGAATGAAAAGTGAAACACAGAGTAAGCGACACTATATAAGAAACGCTTTATATATAAACTAAGTGAAAAATAGTCCTTGGGCTTGTTGCATCAATGAGGAATATGGAATATACAGTAACGAGAATGTTTAGAGGAGAATCTCATTAATAACGACTGAATCAGTAATCAATATTTTAAATCATTGGTAACCAGTGTGGTATAAAATCTTCTATGTCACGTTTACAACTCATGTTGCTTTCTAAGTTGTATTTCAAAGAACCGTATTGGTTAATGTACTGTTAAACAGATCAGTATACCAAATACTTCCTGATCATTTTTCAGTTGTTAGTTCATATTGCTTAAAAATGCACGTAATAAGTGATTTACCGTTTAATCACAAGCTGCAGCCAAGCTTTGTATTCTGATATTCAATGTTTTACTAAAATATAAATACGGTTATAGAAAACGAGTGGTAATTATATTTATTGTTAATTTGCGCTTGATCGATTCAAATCTAATTTGATCATTGTATTAAAATACACTATGTTGAGATAAGATGGTTGAAGAGAGTCAACAAGAAACCCTAGACCTAGGTTTCGTGCTACTTGGCACTCGTCAGTAAGGTGTACCTGTAATCTGGAGGGAACTGATGCTCCCTGACGGATTCGATCCCATGTCACTCACACTGAAACTTAGTCGATAGGATTCGATCTGCACTAAGATAGATCTGACATATATGAACATTGATTACCACCCAATGATCAATCAATTGTATAATACACTCGATCGTAACAGATATAAATGAGTAAACAAGACAGATTATACTTACTTGGACATATTATGATGTGCTAAATATTTCTCTGTGATCATCTTATTATTATCATCGAAATTTTTGATGTCCAAAGAATATTTCATTAATAATTCCTGATTAGTGAATAAATCATTTGGTACAGATAATACAGATGAGCTCAAATAAGAATATTTCAGTTCATTCTCAGCATCATTTAAATATTGAACAGATTTAGATTTCTTATTGTTTGACGATAATTGATTCAAACTAGTGGAAGGAAATAATTAAAAAGAATGATTTTTTTTATTTAAGAAAATTAGGACTTTGTAAAGATTACGTAACAAGTTAAATGTAGTTTTCATTACAACGTTACGTTACGTAAGAAACCAATAATCACTGAGTGAATTCGTTTACCTTGGTTAGAGACTCGTAAGAAGTGTACATTAAAAAAAGAAAGCCTGAAAAAGTTATTTTTACAATTCTATCAGTTAGCACATACACCATCCACTTACTAGGATGCCAATTAAACAAATAGAAAGTGAGACAATACTAAGGTTATCCCTTTTCGAAGACGTTGGTAAATAGTTCAGAATTGATACAAAAAAAATTGATTGCTTGATCCTATTTGATGTTTGATGGTTCAGTCAGTGTTCATAATGAAAATTACATTTAAACTTCATAATAAAAAGCCCTATCAAAAGCATATGATCTAATAAATCAACTTAACAGTAGATGATGGTAGGTAATGTTGCGTAATCTTCTGAAACCATTCAACACAATAGATTTCACTCGTTATCAAATTTACAGTAAATCTTGATGGTGAACTCCATTTATATTCGTAAAACATCCTTTGCACTATCAGTCAGTTTAATTTGTAAGTAGCTTATGTATTTATAACTCACAACGCTAGTATAAAATGTTCGAATTGTTATTAATTGAATGAATTCAAGAAGTCGAAAATTACACTCGAGTACATCTTGAAAGGTGTAGCTAAAGTAGTAGAATACTTAATGTTTACTTTGTCCTATTCAAGGTTCATCAAATGAATGTTACTAATGTACACCCAATATATATTACTTATCATTATTTATAAGGGTTTATACTTTTCCGGTGTTATCCTTCAGGATTATTTGAGTCGGTTACTATCACCCTATACAGGGCTCTTTGAACAGATACACCAACAATACCTGCACAATTGCAATTGTCGGTAACACTGTGAACAGTGGTTAGCAGTGAAATCTAGGATAAACATTCCACTCTTTATAACACATTAACTACATGAAGCTAAATAGTAAAACACCATTTCAACAGATTAAGTTGACCCAAACATACAACCTGTTCACGCTCACATGCTATTCTCAGGTCTGGTAGTAGGTGAAAGATCATAAACCTGATACGCTTCTGAATGAAGCGGAATATGTACTCAGTAAGTATCTCAGGTTACAAGCCATTGTCTAGGTCAGAGTGACAATCGCACATAAAACTGTGATTTGTATGCAGTTTGTTCAGTTCGTCAATTACAGTTTCTTTGTCGATCTTAGTCTTATAACTCGTGCAGCAAGTTAGGCAAACATGCAAAGGAAACGTATATATCTTATAGCGGAATAGAACAATTGAGGAACATATTAAGTTTGAACAACAAGAAAAAGTTACAAAAATACAACATACCAATACTTGTTTCCATTTAAGTTTTTGTCCATTTCCTTATACTGATTAATGATACTATTAGAAGAGGAATTTTTCATCATATTTTGGAGATGGTTATCGGTGGAAAAACTAAGAGACTGTCTTAAAAAATTATTGAGATGACGGCTTGGTGTAGCAAGACAGGCACAACATGGTATAATACGTTCAACTAAATAAACACCTTCATTAGATTGATTTAATTTCGCTCCTAGATCTGGATACCAATCTTCTAATAATGTGTCAATATGGTTGACTAACTGGAGTGTAAAAAGAAAGCAAGTAAAGAGAAAATTAAGGTTACAATTTGAAGGGATTTTAGTTGTAGGAATTTCGTAGAGAATGGTTAAGTTTATATATTGTGCTGCGTCGTAAATGGGCATATCTGAAGAGTGCCGTACTGGAATGAAACCGAAGTTCAATGCTCGCCGGTTCTCAACAGTAACTTAACTGATATAAATTTGTGACAAACAGAGCCTACATACGAAGGAACTACTGAGTCCGAGCCTCAGTGTGCAGAAATCAATGCTAGGGTGTAGGATATATCCAGACTGACGAGTGATAAAACACGATGAACTATGGGGTCAAAGAATCTAGTGATAGAAATTAATGACAAAACTTGTCAGTAAATGCAATATGCTGAGGCATGTTTTCAGGGTTTTCATATTCTATTACATGAAGTGATCAAAATTCAATCCAGGATACTAACAGAATCAAACAACAACAATAAAAAATAATAACAGGATGTACTTTTTAAAGTAATCTATTTCATGATTAATTAACAACAACATGAAGAAATATACAGATTTCATTGATTAGTAGATGGTCCATGACTAGTAAACGAGAAATCAGGTAGGGAAAGCCAATTTATGGTTTAGTGCAAAATTACAGAGTGCCTTCGCAAAATGTGAAAACCATAAATTAAATACATAATTTACAAATCTTCCATCAGCTGTCGTTTACATGCTTCGTAATTCCTTTATTTCTGTTTTTCTAAGAATGACTTTCTGTTTCCTTCAATTGAATCTTCCCAATCATCTGCAGGCATGCATTCCACTTCTGATTGGTACTACATACTACTTATATCCATCAACATAAGTAGCATACACCACATGCGTATTATTACCCTTTTAACTCATATAACATTTATTTCATTTATGGTATTTTTGGTTTGATGTGAACAGGAAAACAAGAAGCCCTGACAAACTATGGAAGCTATTTTGAGGGGTACGTTATTTCATCGAATTCAAACCTTGTAAAATAGTAACATTTATTCTTGTCTCTAGTCTATTCTATAGATTATAAGCTTTCGTTTCATATATAACTCACTGCCATAGTCCTTTTTGTTTCAAACCTATTGTAATTTAAACGTAATATTTTCTACTCTATTTTATACGCTAATCTCCAGTTTTCGACAATTGTATTTTCCTAATTGTTGTGCTTTGTGGTCTGGTTACCCATCTATTTATTCATCATGTATCTTTTTACACTGATCTGAAATCGGGAACCACATCGCAATTGAGAATAAATCGTGTAGTGTTCCAGTTGACTTGTCTTCTCTTACTCATGTGCTCGTCAGCCAATCACGTGATAGTATAGTTTTCGTCTCTCTACTCCACGCAGTTGATCTCACTTCGAACTCACGCATACTAGCCTCAAGATTGAGTCGGTCAACCTATCGCATCAAGGTCTTAATCTAGATTAGCCAAGTTATCCTCTGCACGAAAGTGGGTAGACAGATCAAGGACGTAATATAATTCAAAACATATTAGGTAATTCATGGCTGCTAAGTAAACCCATATATATTTCAATATTTGTTCGAAAAGTAGCTATAACAGTATCCATTTAACCAACAAATACAGATTGGAAACCATAAATGAATAAAACATAAATCTTTACAAATAAATTAATTTAGTGAACTAACTTTTGCTAATAGTTCAGCAACTGCCCGAGAATCTGGACTTAAACTATTTTTTTGTCGAAGTTGAGAATGATTTCGTAGAGAATCAATAACTTCTAAATGATTATGTGTTTGGTTAGAATTGACAGTTGAACATTTGTCAGTTTGTTTATATTCCCAGTAGATATTTAAATTTGGTAAGTAAATTTCAATAAGACATGAGTTTTGGAATGCATCTATAAATAATTTACAAATAGATAGATATAGGAAACTGTTATATCTTAACGAAGATTAAATGAATGATAACTACTATGATCTATTTATGAACAGTTATTATGTACATATTCTTATTGTATAACTGTTGAGTAACTAGATTATACATATACCAGTACTTCTCTTATTATAAGCTTCCATTGGACCTATTGACTACCATTATACGCTTTACTATTCTTGCATTTTTCCCAATCAATTAGTTACAGTCTCTCAAAATCACAGCCACTTTTTGGCTTGATCTTGTGTAATTGTTATTTTTCATTTTATGGTATGATGCAATTTTGGTTGGCTTGTATATAATCTGTTATGGCTTTATGTTGCGGTCGATTTTTACCCTGTGCTAATTGTTGTGTCCTTGACTGGAAAATTAGAGAGCAGTGTACTTATCGATCGACTGCAGTGACACGTAAACACGAACGAACGGCCTACAGTTCTGATTGGTCCTGCTTCCCTGTCTAGCCCAGCCAGTTGAGTCCAGAAGACAAGCCACAGCCTCTGAGTTATGAATCATTATATTTCAAACATACTCTTTATATACTAACCAAGCATACCACATCGTACCATAAAAATAGAAAACAACATTTTGTACAATATTCAACAAGTGAACAGATATCGACCAATAGGAAATGTCCATTTAAAGTCCAAGGACACCATTGGACTTAACATGATAATTATTGGTCTATTCCTCCGCATCCACAACATAAACCATGTATATCTGAAAGATACGGTTTATAAAGTAAAAGCTGTGATTGTGTTTTGGATTCAACGGACAAGGGGTAAGGAAAGAAGAACTAATAAGGACTCAGATTTTATTCCATACTGCTAATGCCGATTAACACATCATTGGATTAGCAAAGTGCCAAGATCGTATAAGTCAGTACTCTGATTGGAGATCATGTCATGTAATACTTTGACAGGTATTCAAACACAATAGAAACCAATTAAACGGGAGATGAAATTTTTTAAATTCAAATCCATTGGAAATGTAGGCTGCACAAAAACAACCCATCATCTGTCCAATAAATACACAACTTAAAATTGAATTTTTCGATTCAAAGAAGGTTATGATATTTCCAAAGAATTAATGAAATCTTAAAAGTTGTATAAAGAAGTAAATTGTTGCAGAAGAAAAAACACATCATCCAACTAATTAAATGTTGCAGTGGGGACTAAAATGAATGTAATTATGGTGTAAAGTCAAGACAATTTGATGAAAATATGGGGAATATGTACTTTATTGAACGTTCCAGACACGGATTGACCATTTAGATGATTGTGAATGAATTGAGTATAAAGAATACTCTTATGCAATGACGATTGTGAAAATGGAGTAGTAAAGGCATATATAAAAAGTGAGTACATCGAAAGAACAAGATCTACAATTAGAGATGGTTACTTACAAATATGATTGACCTGCTATAATCTACTAAACAATCTCACCGTCGAACTTTTCAAAACAAAAGAACTTGACAGTCGCCCGGTACGTGAACTGCTATTGATTCACCGTTGACTTTCCCCGTCACTTCTCTCAGACATTGCATAGGGCCATTTTTTCCTAGTGTGGAAAAACTCAGTAGTGCGTACCTATGGCGCAGCCAGTGGTTGAACCCATGATCTTCAAGTTTACCAATATGAAACTTCACTTTTTATTATGCATATATATATATATATATATATATATATATATATATATATATATATATATTATCGAAGAAAAGTCGAGATACGTTTCTGAACATTCGATTACGGTCAAGTTTAATTAGAGGTGACTGACATAAGTTAATATTATTAATCTTATTTGAAAGGTAATGAGGTTACAAAAACTAAAAAAAATTACTGTACCATGTTCTTGATCAGTTAGGTAACCATGATTACATTGTATTTTAAAATCAGATGCAGTCTTTACAGTACGTTCCTGACAAGCTGTTGTTCTTAACGGTGATGATTCTGTTGTTGTTTTCATCGTCGTAGTATATGGTTGAAATTCTCCATGTTTTTGATCGTCTTGCACTACCCAGTGCATTAACCGTAAACAGCGTCCTTCATAGGAATGTTTAATTGTTTCTACAACACCACTACGATAAACAGTATCATTATTTAGTGGTAAATTCGACAAGATGAAGTTGTTCTCAGTATTGGAAATATTTTGATTAACTATTATTGATTTTTTATTTTGTTTCATAACTTCTTCACCAACTATAGCACATGGTTCATCCCATTCTTCACAATAATAAGACTGAGAAAGAAGTTTTGAAATTAATTCATTTGTTTTTGTAGTAGAAGAAAAAGGCGAAGAACGAGGAGAACAGGAGGAAACCAAAGAACGCAAAGATGATAATTGTCGATTGTTGGTAAAATTCAGAAATGATTGTTTGAAAGGTTGATTCTGAAATAAATGAGGAAATGAAATTATGTATATGTAAATATTTCTCATGTTAATTTTCATAGCTTTTTCTAGATGAAATCAGTTCGTGATGTCATGATGCTAAGAAGAAACGACGAAAAAGAGAAAACCTCCTTCGTATAAATCTCAGCATTGCCATAGATACAATAAAATCCACAGAGAGATTAATTTAAACTTCATAAAAAGTCAACTGAAGTTAAAGATCATTGTAAAATAAAATTTGATTGATACCCTTTATACTAACTTTTTCCATAGTTTTCATTTAGTGAAATTTCAAACGATCCTTAAACAATTATTCATTTCAATCAGATTTCATTCATTTTAATTATTTATTATCATCTACATAACAAGATCCCTTGCATCCTCGATGTTACATGTTAGGAACTCATGTAATTACAACACTGAGTGATACAGGTTAAACTCTCATAATTGTAGTATTAGTTATCGTAAAACAAATTGCACACAAACATGAAAACTAAACTGAGTGACTATTGATTCTGCTATCACTAGTTAACATCGATTAAAGATTGTTTATTTCTAGAACTCATATCAATAAAAAAAAGTTAAGCTCTAGACAATTGAACCGGGATCCAACGCTATCAATGTTTAACTTCAATCAGTCCACGATATTGTGCGATCATCTTTTTTAGACTAGGCCACTGAGTAAGCACGCGGTGCATTACACGCTTACTTCCAATGAATTCGCGATACTGTGTAACTATATTCCATCGCCGTCATTAGGTAAATTACTTACTTCGGTCGCGGATACCCACTGCTAAAGGAGTCTCATATTAAGATGAAACACCTGTCCAACGCTTACTTTTATCATTAATTGATATCAGTCTTTCATGTAAACGAAAAGAATATATATATATATATATATATATATATATATATATATATATATATTCCACCTTAGAAAATAAACTTATATTATATTCAAATAAACATAATAGTAAACATACTCTTAACAATGCACAATTGGCACGTGTCAATTGTTGTAAACGTGCTAAACCGATTTGACCATGACCAAGTGACAAACGCATACCACGTTTCCATACTGTCCATTCAGGCTTTAAATTACATTGTGATGATGTATTATTCATAAATGTATGACAATTGTCAATATTACCATGATCATTATGACTACCGGTGCAACATATATATTGACAACAATTTTTGAAGTTATCATTCTGTTGCAAATTATTGCATAATAATAGTTGAAATAATTCAGAAGGTAATTTTGATAAGTTGTAGATGCGTCTGAAAAAAAATCCAACAAACTAAAATTCAGTTTAAACATTGTAAAGAATAACAGAAATTTATTACATTAGATGGTGGTTGGAGGTAGTCAACAGGAAACTCTGAACCTAGGTTCCGTTTTATTTAGCACTCGTCAGCAAGGTGTACCTGTAATTTTGAGGGAACTGGTGCTTCCTGACTGATTCGATCCCGTGTCAACCGTACTGCAACTTGGTCGATAGGATTCGATCCGCACTAATAAGGACTTGACACACATGATATTGATCAACACCCAGTGGTCAGTCAATTGGGATTACATCCCAGTTCTACAGGAGGTCGGTCACGGCTCGGATAACTCAGTGGTAACCTCTCTGACTGTGAGGCTGAGTGACAAGGGATCGATTCCGTCAGGGAACATCAGTTCCCTCAAGATTACAGGTACACCTTGCTGACGAGTGCCAAGTAGCACGAAACTCGGGTCCAGAATTTCCTGCCAACTACCTACAACCACAATCTAATCTCAACATAGTGCACAGAGTGTCGAGTCACCTAGACTGGTGGCCACATTGCAACATGGTCGATAGCATTTAATTTGCACTAATAAGGACTAGACACGCATGACATTGATCACCACTCAGTGATCAATCAATTGTGAGAAACTTATTACATTATAGATCGAAATCTAACAAAAGTCACCTTTATATACAATCTTTGAAAGATAAGCTGAATAATAAGTATTTACTTCAATTTCGACTACATCTATGATGTATGCTACTTATGTTCACAGATATAAGTAGCATGTAATGCCAATCAGAAGTGAACTGCCTACCAGAAGAAGATTGAGAAAATTGAACTGAAGAGAATAGAAAGAAAAATGGGAAGAAATTGGAATAACAACCGAGTTTGAAGAGTGAAGCAGTATGTACAGGATAAATGAAAGATGTGGAAATGAAAGATTTAATGTATGGTTTCCATAATTTAGGAAGACACCATAAATTTGAGCTAAATAATAAATTGGTCTTCCCAATCTAATTTTTCGTTTATAACAACACTTATACCTTGACGTGGTAGTCCAGCTTGAATATCGTGACGACTGAGTCGAGGAATATAATGCCTGAGTAACTTTTTTCTTGGACTCGTACCATACGACACAGGTTAACTGGAATATAATAAGATTAGAAGCACCAGAATAGTACACCTCAACTTGATCCATATATTTTCATTTTCGGTGGAAGAGTCTCACAGGGATAGAGTTAATCAATCTAAAACTATCTACAGAAAGCGCATGTATAACCGATCTCAAACATTTGTCCTTCATGTACTGAGGTAACAAATCTAGGTCATTTAAGAACACCCATAAATACAGTTTCCTTTTCAGGTATTCTAAGAAGACGTATCTCTTAGCGAGGTAAGCATACAACTTTAACAACACTTCAAATTGATTAAATTTATTAAACTAAATAATCAGTAAGCCTAGTTGCTTATGCTAACAACCTATCACTAAACAGTAACCATCACATTGTAATATATAGCTTGTAGCGTTACTATCGAGTTCTCTTCATCAAACTGCGATAAGGTTATTTTACTAAGTGACTCGGTGTTAGAAATCATTTTAAGGCAATTTTCGTGAAGCCTTGAATAAAAAACTAAAGTAAGTTGGTATTCAACTACAATGAATAGATCAATGACTGATACCCTGTTTCATATTATAGTGAATACACGTTAACGGATACTAATATTTGATTTCTCATATTAACAGTTTACTGTGACCAAGTAAACTGTGAACCTCGTATAATTTTACATTCTCTTATTATACATGTTACATTAGTTTGCTCTTTGTTGTAGAAAATCGACTAATAGCAAAATATACTGACGTTTTCGTGATAGTGTTACTTTGATTTGAGAGAGTAAGCATTGCTTCTATACTGACTTACAGATTACGTCAATACAGGTTACATCTTATTCAGAGTATAATCAAGAACATATTATGTAAGCAATAATCAACATACAATTCTATAAGAGTATAAAGCTACAACTTTATGTGTATTATTCCTTTTAAAGAAATACTTTCCATATAAAAATGTTCATTTCAAGAATATATTAGGAAAACTAATACACAGAAAGAATAAAATATCGAAGTAATAGAGGACTAAGAATTAATACCAAGATTGGTCTTGAATGTTTCAAATAAAATGGGCATTGGGTAATAAGTTAATAATACAAATCTAATCTTTTTTATATCCAAATGAGTAGAAAAATTTTATTTATGACGTTTTGTGACTTAATGTAAGTCACCTCTTCAGAGTAGATAAATCACCGAAGAAGTGGCTAACTTTAAGTTACGAAACGTCAGAAATACAATTTCCTACACATTGGGATATAATAAAAAATATATTGATTATTAACAGTACAATAGTTGATATCCAAATGCTAAACACATGAAATAATCACCATTGCAGTAAACAAATTACTTTGATTAAGACTTCATCTCATATATATATATATATATATATATATATATATATATATATATATATATATATATATATATATATATATATATATATATATATATATATATATATATATATATAAGTTAATTATCGCTAAATAAATAAGCAACATACCCACAAATTTCATGTAGACTTAAATCATTTAATAACCTTGTATTTAATTCTGTCCAAAATCCAAATGGTATATAGGTAACAGCATATAATCGAACAATTTCTTTATTGACCGAAGTTTGAACACGCCAACTTAAAAACTGAGACAATCTAGGATGATTCGTCTTTTCATTGTTATTATTATTATTATTATTATTATTATTATTATTATTATTATTATTATTATTACCACTTTCAACTGTATTCACATTATTTATAGGTCGCGATTTCGACTGCTTTTGGTGTACGGTATACCTCGGTCGATAAGTTGAAACACTAAGTGATTGAGAACGAAGACATGAACCTTGTTTCATAGATATGTAGTTTTCCTGATAATAATAATCAATAACAATAATAGTGGTAATGGGATAAAAACTGGGTTTTGTTCAAAATAAAGTTAAGAAATCACTTATATGCTTTGTATTTAAACCCTTAAACATACACTAATATCTAGTTGCCTCCCGACCACCAGAAGCTTAATAAAATTAGACTGGGAATAAAGAACAAACAATGAGGAAACTAAAGAAGTTCTCTTGGTAGTTTCAGAAGAACGCTAATTAGACAAAATATTTTAAGCAGTTCTCTGCTTTTTAAAAGGACCTCTTCGAGAAATTTATCTAGAAATCTTTAAAATAAAAATACTTTGAAAACAACGTGAATATGAATCAAGAATTTGTGTCAGTTTTGTTAAGTTTGAGCGCAGAATGTTTTATATTCTCTATATCTAGCTAATGTCTAAGTTTCCATCATTTGACAGATGCAATAGGTAGAAACTCTATAACGTAAATGAAACGTTACTTTAAAACTAGCAAACATTTATAATTTTGACTAACTAGCATTGGTTGTGACATAATCAACCGAAAAGAACAAATCTTCTCCTTATATAATGTGTACAAATAAAAATGACTGTCCTCCTCTACGGTTAAGTATAGATAGAATTGATTTTATATTTTATGAAGTAGTGTATCTATACAGTACAATTAAAGATAACATTACGTGATGTAGAGACTTTGAATGAAATCGAAGATATATTTCTTATCATATAAATAAGTTATTTGACAATATGATACAATGAGCCTTTTAACAGGTTCCAATCGTAACCATCCTAAAATTGTGCATCTCTAGTTACTATTTTTTTCAAAGAAGGTATCAACTAAAAAGAAGATACATGAAAACAAAAACAAGCTTTCGCCTCGTAAAAACTAAGGATAACATTAGGAAAAAACAATTTGGGTATTCATCTAACATGTATAAAGTGAAGTAAATAATCCTGTACACTTTAGTGACTGATTTAGAGACAGATTACCAAATTTTTGTAATAAATTGTTATTAGCACATGTGTAACGTGTTGAGAAAACAGCCGTTATCAATTAACAGAACAAGATGTTTGTCGGTTTGAGTAGCGAACTATTAAAAGTCGAAAATGGGTATCTTTGAACTCCATAACTCAGAGGCCGGCAAGACAAGAAGAGAATGTGTTCAGTTCTACGTAGAATCACAAGTGAGCTCTGCTGAAGATTCCTATCCAAGGACGAAATGTACCTTCATTCCTTCGTGGTTTGAGATTATTTTACGAATTATTTTAAAAACAAAACTCTTTACAGAGAAAATTCCATATAACAATCGTAATAGTGACACACTTTATTTATTTGCAAGGGAAAATCTGAACTACTAAAATCATTTGAAAAGTAATATAAGAAACAGTTTAAAATAGCTTGAAAATGATTGTTATTCAGTGTTAGTAACTAAAGTGGACTCCTATGCAGTCTCCACCCAGGACGCTGCATCAGGGGATCGAACTCAAGATTCTTGTTTCTTCACGCAAACGCCTGACACCTAGACCAATAAACCGACATATAAAATTGTTAATTACGAAGTTCAAATGACTCATGATACTGCACGCCTTCCTGCAGTCGATACATCACTCACACTCGACACGGATTGAACTAACCAGTGGTCACGGCTACTTAGTAGGATCCTAGTTGTATCTTGAAGTTATTCAATAATAACCATATACTTATTACTGTGGGGAGATTTATTTACATTGTAGAGGTTTCGTAATTCTAAACACGAACTAATCTTAGCTAGATCACCATTAAAAACATGGACGGCATCTGCGCGCGAAACCGAAGATCCTAGTTTCAATTCTCGGATGCAACATAATGAATGCATACTTCTGAGGACGAAACAGCTGTCCAATGCTTCAATGTTTCCAACTATATTCTAGCTAAAATCAGTTCATGATTCAAACTATGAAACTTTTTCAATTTTCACAAAGCACAGTATACTAAAATAAAATAAGCCATGGGAATTGATCTTTAAAAGAAAAGGATCAAATCAAACAACTTTACCTCATATCTAATCACTGCTGGTTGTAAATAAGAATGTAAACGTCCTGGTTGAAAACAACGCGCAGCTAATAATGATGGTAATAATAACAATTGCTTTCTAGTTTTTCTCATTTTCAAGTTATCAACTTTTTGACATTTTAAATCATCATTACTAATAATGGATACTATTAAACCAAACTGTTTAAATAATCCTAGAAAAATTTCCTCCAATGGTACATCATGAATGTTGGTCATGTGGACATGGCTAGTATTATCATTGATTGTCTTCATAGTTCTCATGAAATAATTAATTAAATCAGTTAAGTAAGACGAACTGATAACAGCTACATAAAAAATATAAGAGAAGTGTAAAAGAGGAAATATGGAATAATTGGATTTTAGTTAAGATATTATCAATAATATATTGTTTGGTTATAATCCATGTTGACCAGATAAATAATACTATTTAAGAATGAGCAAAATACAATCCATCATATCAAAAGTGATTCTATGAATGATATTATTTATTGCATTATTTTATAACCATTAAGAAGGATAATTGCATTGTAACTTCTCCATTGTTATTCTAGAGGCCGATACTTTTATAGATGGACAAATGAAAGCGTTGATATTAAACTATTCGAGTCAAACAGTCCGTTATTATGTAAAGTTAGTCAAATGAATAATAAAACATCTCGTTTATTAATTTATTAACACAACACGAATAACAATTGGAAACCAGGAGACACTGGACAGATGTTCCATCCTAGTATAGGACCCTTTAGAGAAGTCTGAATAAACTACTCCACTAGGAGTCAAATCCAACATCTCCACGTCTCGCGATAAGCGCTTAATCTTTAGGCCACTAAGTCTAATTCATCACAGTAAGATCTAAAAGTTTTGGGTTTGATCTTTGAGAGGATTATGGATGTGGATTATTGAGTTCCATACTAAAATGAACATCAACTCTGGGACGCATGTGCACCCAGCTAACGAGTGTATTTATGTAAACAGGACGAAACGCATGTCCTGAATTCCACTGCCAGCCAGTAACTAACCATCTTTGCTTATAATGATTGTGAATTAAGGTTATATCGAGGCAGTCTGCACACATACCAATAAGAGACTGATCAATTGCAGTCCTAAACATCGATGGGAAGATTTAAATAAATAATACCAAATGAATTTAAAATGTTTTAGATATGAAACTTGTGAGAGTACATAGTATTTTCTGAAAGGAAGGTTTGCAATATTTATCTAATGTCTCAAAACCAATCTGTTAGTATGATCGATAGTTATTTAATAGTCAAACTGTATTGACGAATTGAATAGACATTTATTAATGATGAATTATTAAGCTTTAATTATGATCAAGATTATAAAAAAACATAATACATTTCAACATGGATCATAAACCCGATTTCTTACTGATGATAATGGTGGTGGAGAAGATTTGTAGCTCAGGTGGATGATTTTGGTGGAGTTTTGTTCTCCGAGCTGGATGGTTTGGTCGTGGAGCTTTCATCGTTCTTCTGAACGACATCATCAGTACAAACTTCAGATAGAAGTGAAGTTTGTGCTGATGATGTCGTTCAGAAGAACGATGAAAGCTCCACGACCAAACCATCCAGCTCGGAGAACAAAACTCCACCAAAAGATGATAATGGTCTTTTTCTGATACATTCTACAAAATAACTATTTTATCATATCCAATTAATTTCGACTACTATACAACATATTTATTACAAGTTTATATATTCAAACAACGATATGTATTCATAGATATCATCTAACCACTGTGTTGAGTATTGTGGAATAGCTTTAATAATATGACGAGGAAAGCAGCCATGGAATAACCAAAACAAACCAATTTATACGAATATTCGTCAAGATTAGAACAAATAGTTTGACAGTAATTGAGCGCCGAGTATAGAGAAGTCATTATATGTGAAAATTATATTTGAAATATTCTCAGCGTTTCGTCCAGCTAACTTGTCTGGACTTCTTCAGGGTAATAATCAAAATCAAAAAAACAAACCAATGTTGAGATAAGACAAAAACGGTAAATCGATTTCTCAGATTGTATATCTTCATTAACTGAGGTAATTAAGGTATATGTTAGGCTATGTCTAATCACAACCTATATCAACAGGCGGTTTGTTGGTTTAGAAGTAAATTGGAAGAAAATTAGTAGATAGTTAGAGTTCAAGTGGTAGTAAATACAATTAACAGTTGAATACGTTAGGTAACATGGTTAAGAATCAATCATAATGATTCAGATGTGTTCACTATGTATCTTTCTTTAGATCATAGTTTCAGTATTTCTTCTTACATACCTTTTCATTCTGTTCATTATAAGCTTATTCTTATTATCATTGTTTGTGTATTATTTTAATTGTTTAACCATTCATCAGATTAATTTCATCTTGTCGTAATAATATGAAATGACAATTTGAGCTAACATACATTGTTGCTAATTTTAACGCTGATTATTTTTGACTGACTATTGATTTGGGTCAGTCAGTCAGTCAGTCAGCTACAACGTAGGACCAGGCACATATATGCCTCGGTCCAAGTTGCCATACCGCATTAGCACAGCAAGATGAACACCGGATTCATAGTAGTTAATTCAGAGGTGGTAATATATAAAAGAAAGATTGCATATGAGGATACGATAAAGGAAAAAAGAATAAGTTCGTAGAAAGAAAGATATAAAGTGATTTTAATCTCTTAGTTTAAGTGAAGACAGGGAGTGTATACACCGACGCCATTGTGATCGATTCTGAGCCATGTCACCAAGAGTCTCCAACCATTGGTTACAAAAGTCACGCGGACCCCAACCAAGTAGTCTGCATCTACCAACATGGCTCAGACTAGAAGTTAGTGACTTCAAGCACTGATGCCACGTTTTGGTTTGGCCGACCCTAACTTCCAACCATCCCCAACACCAGTTAGCATTGCACGTCGTGGTAATCGGTGTTCGGGCATACGTAACACGTGGCCCAACCATCTCAGTCGATGAAGATTAACAACCTCATCAACTGACTTACCATCATTCCCTAATACCAGGTTTCTAACCTTACTATCACTTACCCGGTGACCTCAGCAGATGCCAGCAATATTTCTAAGGCATCTGTGGTCAAATACTAGAAGCTTAAGAGTATCTCCTACTCTTAATGGCCATGTTTCGCTGCCGTAAATTAAAACAGAACGGACTGCCGCGCAGTATACTCGTCCTTTTGTTGATAGACGGATTTCTCGCTTTCACCATAGGTGACGTAATTTGGCAAAAGCCAAATGAGCTTTTCGAATCCGTTCTGAGATTTCATCCGATACCAACCCATTAGAGCTGATCAGACTTCCACGATAAGTGAAGTTGTCAACGCGTTCGACTACTTCACTCTCTATCCTTAGTTCAGGTGTTGACCCAGACCAGTCCTGAAGCAACAACTTGCATTTAGAGGGAGAGAAGCGCATTCCAAACATTCTGGCATTGTTGCTTAGTGCTGCAAGAAGACTCCGCATTTTACCAGCGTCTTCACCAAACAGGACTGTGTCGTCTGCGTATTCTAAGTCGATAAGTGGACCTCGATTAGGGTAGGTTACAAACATTTTATCTTAAGATTAATAACAACGATTAGCTATGCTTAAACAAAACTCGTTTTTTTTTTTAATGATTCTAAAAATACAATAAACAATAGATTAAGAGTTAAGACAATCATAAGTAACGTAGGAACTGAGGTAAATTTGCATTATTTACTGTTAGAACATTTAATATCAGTACACCAAGAAAAAGAAATTTTAATACAGTAAAGAATAGACCAGAAGTAATGCATTCAATAACTGTAATTATATTTAACGATGTTGATTTCATGCTAGTTATTGCTAGTGCACTACTTATTATAGGATATAGTAGTATATTTTAATGCATAAAAACTTCAAAAATAAAATGTTTCAAATGAACATACCTGAATTACGTTTCAAATGAATATTAGGAGTATATTTAATAGATTTACTATCATTATCACTGTTAACTTGATATTGTAACCGACTAATATCTGGTGATGATTTTACCGATTCATTACGATATTGTCGTTTTATGTTGTTAGTATTCATCCATTCTGTTTTCAATGTACAATAATTTTTAAACATACCGCATAATTGTTTATTATGTATATTAATCATTAATTTTAATAAAGTATTCAATAACCATTGAGGTGATAAAAATACATAATTTTTTAATAATTTATGATGACTAAAATAAAGGATTGTACCAATATGATTTAAAAATAATAATATGCTTTTTATATCAGAATAAGTATAAAATCCATGTATACAAGAAGTTGCATATAATGAAGATGACGATGGTGATGATGATGACGACGACGATGTGGACAATAACTCAACCGGAGCACTACCATTGTGATTATTACTATTATTAACATTACTCGATGAAAAACAAACTCTTATCGGATGAGGCAGTAAATTAGAAAGACATTTATTCAATTCGAATCTAATGAAAATAATGAAGAAAAACAAAACAATAAAAAGACATTCTCAACTTTTTGAAAGGAAAAAGAAAAGAGAACAAAGAGACAAATAAGTGAGTAAGGTGAATAGACTTCAGTGAAATAATCCTATACACGAGGGATCAAATGATTATGCGACGACTTCTCAATATAGATTATAAAATATGAAAACTGTCATAAGTCTTCTAGATTGATCAATAAGCATGTATGTTTATTTTATTTTATTTGAACACATATATATTGGTACAGGAGTGCGCCAAACATATATGCGCCACACAATTTCAGTTCATTAATTGCGTGTGGGCTGCGTTACTGCCCGGGTGCCCAGACCGAAGCAGGTGGTTCTCTTAGGGGGCCACACCCCGAGCCTTTGACCTAAAGGTCTAACCCACAAGGCAGTGGAGCATCGTAAGGAGATGCAGTCCCATGGTGGCCGGTGACCGACGATTGGTTCATACGCCATTTGTTCCCGCAGGATACTGGTGCCCATATGCACCATTGGTTTGGAATCCGGTTAAAGCGCCGGACATTCGCTTTTCGTCCTCTCATTTTCGTAAACAACACCCCCGCCACGAGAAGGCAGTGAGTAGGACTTCCCTGGCAGAGGCTATATACGCGCGGCCGTGTGAGAGTATTTCGAGAGGAAGGGCGAACCCACCCTGCTCTCAGCCAAACCAGGGCGTTTGGGGGCATGTATGTACTAAGGATTGATTTCGAGAGATGGTAAACGAAGTTCTAATGAGAAGCTATGACTGGTGGATTTCAATTATATTGAGTGTGAGCATTGCCTACTGACTAAAGTTGAAGAGGTAAACTAACAGTTCCGGGTTCAATGATCTAAAGGTTAAGTGCTCATAGCAAGACTCTATGGTCCTGGATACAATTCCTGATGGAATCGTAGATATGCACTATTCGAAAGTTACCATCTAGAACCAAATAGTAGTTCAACGTAGACGGATTTTCAATTATTATAAAACTAAGATCAGTCCGTAGTGTAGGCTATAAAAATTAATGTCCCTCTCTTCAAATTTAAACCATGATCTAGGACAAATATGTACTTAATGTGTTCAGAAAAAGAATTTCTTGTTATTGATTACGTATTCAAAACAGTACAAAATTATGTAGGGTACACTGGTCTGAAGTTTTTCAAGGGAATAATCAAAATAAAGATTATCAATTTTGAAAGGCAAAACATTGTAATTAATTCAATTTCAATTAGTGAGATTATTTCAAAAAATGATGCCTTTCAAGTAATTGACGTGGAACTTCAATGAAACTGTTTATTCAAATTTACACAAATTTATATTATTAAATATCTAATTTAATCATTAAAAAAATAGACGTTTAAGTCAATAAATAATCAAATAAACAAAGTTCACTTGATATTGTATACTTGAATCTTCCCATTGATGATTAGGACTGCAATCGATCGGTCGCTTATTGGCATATGTGCATACTGTGTGTATCGCCTCGATATTAGCCTTAATTCACAAGCATTACATGCAGAGATGGATAGTGCCTAGCAATGGAATCGAGGAAACGCGTTTCATCCTATTTAGGACACATCAGCTGGATGTACCTACATCTCAGAGTTGATGTTTACTTTGGGACTCGAAATCAAGACCTAAAAATCAATGGGAAGATTGAAACAAACAATGACATGTAAATTTAAACTTCAGCCCATTGCACAAGCAAGTGGCTGTCAGGACTCAATAGCTTAGTAGATAACGCGATGGCGCTTAAAGCGAACGGTACTGGTTTCGAGTCCCAGAGTGAACATCAACTCTTAGATGCAGGTACATTCAGCTGACGATTCTCCAATAAGACGAAACGCGTGTCTTAGTTTTCACTGCTAACCACTATCCATCTTTGCAAATAATGAAAGTATTATTCTTTCAAAGGAAACTTACATAAATTTATCAACTTCCATAATTGGTGATAATTGTGCATTCAACATTTCAATAGTTAATTGCTGCGTTATACTTTCAGCTAAGTGATATAATTTTGGTATTGATAATTGTAAAAATGATTGAGATAAACTTGGAGCAATAGATATATTCGGCAACAATACATCAGCTGTACGATCTATTATTGATTTTATTGAAAGAAAGAAATGATATTATGAAAAATGAATTGAATTAGTCAATCATAATCAACACATACAAACATCGTACAGATCAATAGCCGAAAAATTCATGGACTGATGACATTTTTAAGTTAACCCGTTTCTGTTTTACTATCAATTTATTCCTACACAAGTCAACTGTAAAGTAGGAGTTGACCATGCCTAAGTTTCTCAAGTTCTAATCATATTAATTGATGAAGGTTCACAGTGCAACTATGAACTTTTAAAGTAGTTTGTATTGTTTTGTAAGAACTGAATATAAATTTCATTATGTGTAATGACCCTAATTTAGAACATATTGGTATTATGCATACGCAACATTACTTATTTTTCGTTAAAATTAGCTTCAGGTCATGCAATGAGAATGTTATTTCGATTCCGTTAAACTAGTTTCCCAGTGGTTCAATGGTTCACTAGCTGATATTTTTTAGAAGTGTCGGTCACGTAAAAGTAATGTAGAGCATGGCATATACGTGTGTTAGTCAAAGTTACCATACCATATTAGCACGACAGGATGGAATAATCTACTAGTAATGATAATGAGAAAGACTAAGTAGTGAGAATAAGCTTGAGAGAGAAAGCATGATGAAAAGATATATATAAAGAGATAGTGGAACGAAAAGAAATGAATACATTTTCATTCGATTCTGAGTCATATCATCCAACATCTGCAACCACCGATCGTAGTTATATCGTAAACTCAACCAAGTTGTCTATATCTATCAACATGGTTGATAGCCTCATGGACTGAAGTCACGTTTCGACTTGGCCTCTCCTCGTTTCTTCCAACTTACTATTTATTAAAAAAGCAGAAGCACATTGGTACAAGAAGGCACCAAATACATGTGCGTCACGCAAATGATTCGACTTTAAAAATAACATAAACTTTCAATTACAAATAGATTCTTCTTCTTTAACCGTGGTTGTTGGATATGAGTGATAAAAACACCTTAATCCAAACAAGGAAGTTTATGTCTAATCACTTGCTATAATGTAAGCAGATGGACGTTGTGTCCTTTCAAGAAATGAAATCCCTTGAAAAAGCTTCTACCAAATTGCCAGGTGAAACGTTGGATTTACTTCAAATCATTTCGCTGAGATTTTACAAATATATTGTAGGGCCAGCGAAATGTCACTAAGCCCTAGCCAAATCGTCTGGCAGTTGGGTCATTGAATATCGAGCAGATCATCGATCCTCGTCAAGGTCAAGGACAACCAACGCGCATCAGTTAATCGTATGCCATGGACTGGCCCATGCGGCAGTGGTCTTGCTTTCGCTTGTATCTACTTTAACTAATATATTTCTGTAATAACCTCCTCTGTGTTGTACAGTCTTCAAAGCATCTATGGTACCTTGATACGTCAATGGGTTAGTCCACGTAAGGTGTTGACCACGAGGTGTGACTTCGACGTTAGCTAGTTTGTCACACCATTCACGTCTAACTCGAGTAGGCCTCCAATCATTTCGACATAGATCATCTACGTTGGTGAACTACAATATTCTTCTACACTAATATAATAAATAACAAATCATTAATTCATTATATATATAAACCTACTTGTTATACTGAAATGATAAGCAGCATTATAAATTAATGTAGCTAATTCATAAATACTGTTTTGTAATCTTTCTGAATGGTTCATACTCATATTGGATAAATTTATAAACATATAATTGTACAAATATGGTAATCCATATGCGTTTAAATCGGAATTTGTAAAAAATCTACTACGAACAATATTATCCATTAGATTGAAATGAAATTTAAGATTATTATTGTTATACTTGGAGTTTTTTGATTTATTCATACTACTGATATTATTTGAAGATGAATTATCAGTAGTTATAGTTTGGTTTAGATTTAAAAGGTAATCAGAATAGGTACCGATTAATATGATTGGACAATTTGGACTAATTGACTGTTAAAGAAAAGAACAAGGAGGAAGAAATAATAATTAAGGTAATTCAGTTAAATGTGCAGAAATATATGCTTGTTATAATCTTTTTTATGGTCTACATTATGGATTGATATTAGTTAGATCATATTTCAAAGTATTAGATCAGTATTTCACTCAACAACAAAAAAATCAAATTCATCAGTAGTGAGTACCAATGGGCTTAGCGGAAATCGAGTCTACAGGATTGGTGTGAACAAAGAAACAAGAAACATTGAGGAGGAAAAATGTATTTGTAAAATCTCAGAGAATGAATTTTGAAGTTTCTCCTGGAAATCTGGTCCAAGCTTTTTCAAGGAAATGTTGGATTTAATTCAAAATTCATTCGCTAAGATTTTACAAATACATTCTTCCTTTTTAATATCTCACATTAACTCGGCGCCCAAATATTGTGAGACTATTCGATCAAATTTAGACGAAAGTTCTTATTTATTATAGAGAAACAAGAATCCTTGACAAACTATGGAAGCTATTTTGAGGGGTACGTTATTTCATCTAACTCAAACCTTGTAAAATAGTAACATTTATTTTTGTCTCTAGTCTATTCTACAGATTATAAGCTTTCGTTTCATATATGACTCACTGCCATAGCCCTTTTTGTTTCAAACCTATTGTAATTTAAACGTAATAATTTCTACACTATTTTATACGCTAATCTCCAGTTTTCGACAATTGTATTTTCCTAATTCTTGTGCTTTGTGGTCTGGTTACCCATCTATTTATTCATCATGTATCTTTTTACACTGATCTGAAATCGGGAACCACATCGCAATTGAGAATAAATCGTGTAGTGTTCCAGTTGACTTGTCTTCTCTTACTCATGTGCTTGTCAGCCAATCACGTGATAGCATAGTTTTCGTCCCTCTTCTCCACGCAGTTGATCTCACTTCGAACTCATGCATACTAGCCTCAAGGTTAAGTCGGTCATCCTATCGCGTCAAGGTCTTAATCTAGATTAGCCAAGTTATCCTCTGCACGAAAGTGGGTAGAAAGATCAAGGATGTAACAAGGACTATCAGATCTGGTGGTAAGTACTTAATTGTTAAAATAGTAAACTACTTACCGATGTATTCCTTTTTCAATATTTAAGTATATTTTCATGATGGTACTTGTTGAAATATTAATCTTAAACGATTTCCGTTAATCATTGATAATTTCATTAGATAAAGTCGTATGCTTTTTATTAATTTTACGTAGCTACTAAGATTTATTGCCTATTGGTTAATTGAAAGAAACCATTTTTGTTTAAATTATGCTAATCTATGATCGGCATGATCGGCATTGTGCTTGGACATTTCACATTTCGAGGTCTGTAATTTCATAATATTAATGTTAAGTTTTCACTAAGCGAAAAATCATTTTGTCAAAAGTTTCACTTTTGCCTAATTTTAGACTTTAAACTTAGCATGACCGTTGATGTGAGATCCTAAAAACGAAATCTTATGTCTTAGTTATGCTTTAAAACCCCAATGCGAAAATATCATCACACAATATAGAGGTACGTAACAAAAAAGATTGTTGCGAAAGCAGCTTTTTAACTATCGATAAGTGAATTTTCGATTGTTAAACTCAATGCGTAGAATGTTTAACGACAGATGAACGTAATAATATGAATTTTAGCCAAATGGTGACTACTTATGAGACTGCATTATTGACTTAAACCTCCACATCAAAAAACAAGACCGCTAGATAAATGAATTGTGACAGAATAGAATGTTTATAAACAGAATATGGTCACAAAATAAACGTGGTAAAATTTCATAGGCTATCGGAGGAAATGAATTAATGGGTTACTCATTCTTCAATCAATGAAAACCTAACTAACTGCAAGGCATAATCTTTGGGAATCGTGTACAGATATGGAACATGAATAATACTCAGGCAAAAGATATATGTTGAAGACCGAAATATATACACATACACAAATGCACAGTTACAACGTTAAAGACAGATATTAAGAAAAGAAATTATTATTTAATTGTCAATTAAAAATTGAAAATAAATATTACCTTGATTTTCATTAACCATGGGGTAATACGATTTAATCCTGATAAACCATCGACTGTATTCCACAGAACTAAATATATCGTTAATTGACAATGTATACCCAATTGAGTATTAATTATTACTTCTGATGGATAAGCTAATTCAGACGACATATCAGATATGCTACTTCCGAAATGATCATTATCATTAGTAGTAGTATTAACAAAAGATGATGTGGTGTTCACCCTTTTTTCTAAATCCCAAATACTGAATGATAATGTCTCACAGAAATTACGATTACTATCAGTATTAGTATTAGTAATTCCACTTGAAACATTCTGTTGAATTAAAGAAAGAGATGGAAAGGAAAATGACGTAAACGATATATATATACAGAGGAAGGTATATCGTAGCAGTGATCTCTCAACGTCTATGGAGAAACAATTCATGGAGTATAGAGTTGAAACTTTAGAACTAAAGATAAAATCTTTTCAGAAATATGATCTACCCGATCAACATCAAGTGATCATCATCAACTGTGATTTACGGTCATATATTTCTAGATTGATGAAACAATCAATAATAATCCGATTTCATTTTAAGTTCATTTGATTGTAAACAAATTGTCAAGAGTACACAAAGACGTAGGAATAATTTTCTACTTCATATATTAAACTTTTTTATATCTCTCTATAATCAAGCTGTCCTTTTTAGACTGTGTTGGTAGCCTTCAAGAATTCTTCAAAAGATGGGGAAATGCTGAAAATATTTTAACCAGTAGGCGTTCAATATAAACTTCAGAGAGAGAGAGAGATTGTTCAGAAGAACAATGAAAGCTCCACAACCAAAACGTCCAGCTCAACGAATATAACTCCACATAAATCATCCATCTGAGCTACAAATCTACTCCACCATCTTACAAAATTGTATTTCTGACGTTTTTTGACTTAATGTAAGTCATTTATTCTACCTAATGCTGAGTTTAATTGAAACTATCAAGTCTAATCTTGACATTGATACCTACAAGCTCTAAGCGATCATTTGTATTATTCTCTCAATTGTGTTATCTTACATTAATTTCGTAAAAGCCATTTAAGATCTTTTGATGATATCGATTTTGGTGTTTTGGCTTTAGGTATAGCACTTAATTGGTAATCTTCGTTGCCAGAATACTATTGCGTTATTTGGTTCAATTTAATTATTAATGCACAATCCTAAATGCTTGATCAAAAACGTGTGAAAAAAGAAAACGGAGAATTTGTGGGAATCTATATTCTTAAAACTTAATAATGATTATGCTTACAACTACTTCGTGTTCAGATGCTTCTAGAGTGACTTAGATAAAGGCATGTATGAAGTGGTCTTGACTAAATGAATCCTATGTCTACTTAATTGGTTAGGACAACCGAGTGTATGTATCACCCTGCTCCTAAACACAAAATTACATAACTCGAAATCCAAATTTATAAACCAATATTTGGCTAGCGGGTTAAAATATATGTTGTAATTATGACTAGTGCTGACGTGAGAATGAAAGGAATACGTGAAAGTGTGATTTAAATTAACATATCAAGCATATAAATAAATTACGCCTGTTACCCCTTGTGGAGGAGTATAAGCCGCCAAGTAGGATTCTCCAACCAACTCTTTCCTGGGTATGTATTACAAGGTTATTACTAAATTTGGATAGTGACTAGCTAGTGGTATCCAGGACGTGTATCTCCTTTTATTCAGAACCTAACATCAACAATGTGTAAATACAAATCCTAAAAAATAATTTCTACACAAATACGGTACAAGCATGTAGCTATTTAAACTCGGGTAGTTCAGTGAATTATACACTGAAGGTTTGAAATGAAAGTTACTGAGTTTTTAATCTTAATGTGAACATCAATACTGGGAGAAATTGGTATATCCATCTGACAAGTTCTAAATAGAACAAAATATACGTCATAGATTCCATTATTAGCCAATATCCAATTTTCATAAACAAACATTGATATAACTCTTCAAAGACTATCAATATTCATTCAATTATAGAGTTAAAATAGAATATATAAATGCAGTACACAAGAAATTTGTCAAAACACATAACATTTTTTTTCCTTAGTACTTACTGAGTTAATAGATTCATTAGGTTTACTGTTATTATGACGACTTATTGTTAAATTTGTAATTTGAACTGAAGGTAAGAGATGATCTGGTATCTTATCAGTTTCATTAGATCGCAATGATGATGATGATGATGATAATAATGTATGCAAATCAGTTTCGAATGGCTACAACAAATAAGCAAAATCAGTTTAAATGTTTGTTGATAAAGTTAAGTTCAAATTCAAGAACAATCAAGAATCAGACATAAGTTAGCAACACCGTATTATTCGCCTGTGATGTATAAGTTTTAGTATGAGGGTGGTAATTTGAAAAGCCAAATCAACAGTTGGAAGTATCATGTACTCAAACTATTGAACCATCTCTTCACCGTAGAACAGAAATTACAAATCATACATGTACATAGTACTTATCATAGATAATAATCGTAGTTTGTGTACCACTGGATATTCTTGAGGGCACGGGACAGCTATCTTATCTTAGTATGGGACTCGTAAACAATGTACGCTGACAATACAACTGAGGATTATAAAAAGGAACCTAAAGGTTTACGATGAACGGTTTAACAGACCGAATAATTTCAACTTCATTGTATTTGCGATAAAGATCATCAATCATCAAATGTCTTTCGTAACAACTATCTCACTCACAACATGAGTGAACTCAACAAGTCATGACTCCTTAGAAGAATTCACAGAGCATGTTGAAGGAAGTCACTAGTAAACTAACTAGTATAGTTTAGTTAAAAGTCAATTTGTAACGCTTACAACATACAAATCAAACCACTCTTCAAAAATTTCGTCCAACTAAATAGTTGATATATACATATATATGACTGACTAAATATTTTTTTATAAAATTTGACCAAATTCGAATTGATGTCAACTGCGAAGATTATAATTTATTCCAGACTAGTTTAGGCTTCATTATAATTCACTATATCGCTTGACAAGAAGAACTCGAATTTCGACTCTAAAAACAGTTCAGAAGCATTTATGACTACTTTAGAAAGTGTTCATCAAGAATAGTTATTTTATTGATGTAGAATCTTTTACAGAGTTTAACCAATAAAGAAAACGGAAATCACAAAAGACTTGAACAAAGATTTTGAAAGTGATGAATTCGACTTCAGTCATTGTATAAAGGCAGTAATACTCAGTACAGTGAGACGAGGGGAATCCAGCATATACCGGCATAACCATACTAAACAAAGTGAATAGCTTAGTTTGATGAAAGGTCAGTTGAGAACTGAAATGACTTAGCGGCAGCATTTCAGATTGCAAAGCTGAGTGACGTGGGGTTCCAATCCCACAAGGAGCATCTGCTTTCTCAAAGTTACACCATATTGACGAGTATCAACCGCATGAAACTGAAGCCCAAGGATTCACTGTTGACCATATATGTACAATAGTGGTAAAAAAAACAGGGGAAAAAATAAAAACAAAATCACATAGGAACTTGCATTTTCATTAAAGTTAGTTTGAAAAGAAGATTTCCCAGTTTCAGATGCTTGTAACAAACGAATTAATGTAGTTTTACCCACTCCTGTTGGACCGACAACCATTACACGAAATCGAGTATACGGATAGGATCTTTTCGAAATTAAATCAATCGAATGTGCAATAGAATTACTAATTATTAAACTATTAAGAATGAGTGAGAATAAAATCATTAAATTTAGTTCAATCAAATCATAAAAAATTATTATTATTATTATTATTATTATTATCATAGCCGCCAAATGACTGAGAGCGGGAAGAGTCAGCTCTCCCTCTCTAAATGCTCTCACACGGCCATATGCATACAACCACTGACAGGGAAGTCCTACTCACTACCTCCTCGAGGCGGGGGTGTTGTTTACGAAATTGATGAGACGGAAGACGAATGTCCGGCGCTTTAACCGGGTTGGTGGATATGAAGGATCCACCAAGGGAAGTTGGGAAACCCTGATTCCAAACCATTGGTATAGATAGGCTCCAGGATCTTTAGGAAACAAACCTAGTATGGTCACCGGCTACCATGGGACTGCATCTCCTGACGTTGCCCCACTGACATATGAATCAGACTTTTGAGTCGAGGGCTCCGGGCGTGACTCACTACGAAAACCACCTGCTTCGGTTTGGGCACCCGGAAAGTATCCCAGCCCTCACAGGAATCGAATGATTTGTGTGGCGCATATTTATTTGGTGCCTCCTTGTACCAATGTTGACGTGTTTCAATAATAAATAAATAATTAATTATGACCATAAAACTGACGAATTTACTATTGAAATGGATAATTTATTATCGATTTTTTTATTCATAATGCATATGATGTAATTACTCATTAAAATTATTATTAATAAATGATTCATTTATCTCAAATACAGATTTATGTACTCAACTTAAAATTATACTTGATGTGGCACTAAGTGGCATTTACTCAGATGCTTGCATAGAAACAAATGAAGAGGATTCGAGCATATGACCAATTAGTTGAAAGTCGAATGAAATAGCAAACGAACTACGACTGTATAGTTGTTAGTATACTATGAACAGAATGTTAATTGGTAATTAGACTACCTTAATGCATACACATCCGATTCACTCAGTATCGTAAAGTAATATATATATATATATATATATATATATATATATATATATATATTATTCGTACAAAGAAACCTAGAGAGAATAATTAAGCAACTGGTATAATGAATAAAATTTAACTCCAAGTTTGTATCTTAACGCGAGATGATCTAGCATGGTGCTAACAGTATGTGAGCAGTTATCACTTTCCAGTTGTTCATAATACAAACAGACATTCCTTCTCGAGAGCTCTGAAATTGAGTTGAGTATGTTTTTGACTACCAGAAAGCATAAATGCAGACCCCAAGATCTGCATGAGGCGGATCATACACGGCCGTTTATGAGTACTTCATGATGTATTAGATTCGAATTTGTATGTCTCTACTGATGAAGAAGGAAATCAATAAGGCGTATTGGGGTGTGCTACTTTTCGGTTAGTAATGCTTGAATTTTTGAAAAACGATGTTCAGCTAACATCAAACCACTAATCAAAGAAAAAACAATTCCAGATAAAAATCGAAAAGAAGAGGCTGAACAAGAGATCAATATTTTTGATCATTAATGGTCCGTTGAACGGAACATTTTCTAATCCAGACTTTCTATTATGTCCCGATGAGAATAATGAATGGTAACTGTTGGGATCTATTTATGGACTAATATTATTCGTATATTTTTTATTGTATAATTGTTACGCAACTAAACTATGTATACTCATATTCCCCATATCATAAATTTGTTTTGACCTATAAACGATTATTATACGGTTTACTATTCTTACGTCATACCCAGTTTATTAATTACAGTCCCCACAACCGCAGGCACTTTTGGCTAGATCTTGTACAAATATTATTTCCTACTTTATGGTGTGATATGGTCTGTTTGGCCTGTATATGAGCCCAGTATGTTTGAAATACATGATTCATATTGTGGAGGCTGAGACTGGTGTTCTGAACTCAACAGGAAGAAGGACCGATGAGGACTTTAGACTGTTCATATGGGTTTATGTGTCATTGGTTCGGTCCATAAGTCACTGTTCTCTAACTGGCAGTATCATCAAGTTACATATTAATATGGCACAAGGCTACAAGTCATAACTCTTTCATTCACGTTTCTACATAGCTGTCGGAACAACATTATTGGACAATCTGCTCTGTTGACTAGCGGACCAATCAGCACAAACAATTTAATCATTTCTCATTGTAATTGTATATTGATTATACATATACAAAAATAAACATTGAATTTCTTCCTAATTAATTATTGATAAATCTTTTGACTGGACTCTAGAATACGTTCCTAAGCTCTTCTAATAGCCATAGGCTAATTCTAAACGACAACTTGAACACGAGAGAAAAGGCGCGAAATATGAAAAGAATGCTTTACTCCAATGTTACTTTATGTACAGAAAATTTGAGATATATATAGCATTTCAGATGGCATAGGGCGTCTGAAAGGTTCCGTAATCCTACAGAACATAGTAGCAGAATAGGTAATCATCCAATCAGAAATATGACACGCGATTCCTCACTTTCTGGATGTTTCTGAGAAACCTCCATTCAATGTTAATTGGAGAAAAATGTCTCCCAGAGTGTTCAGGGCCTCTTTCGGCTTCCTTCAAGGAATTTTCTAGGTTTCCCCACACAATCATTCGTTTCAATCACAGACCAGATTTCGTTTTTCGATACTTCGTGGCTCAGTAAACAATAAAGATATAAGAGTAACAATTATATCTGTTGTCAGTTCGTGTAATCCCACTTCAAGCCCATTTTTGTTTATCGTATGAAATCGCGATGGTCAAATTCAAAACTTATCTTCACAAATACACCCAGATTACTAAAAATACAACTTAATCAGATGGAAAATCACAACACAGTGTATATGGGAAGTGATCAAAATGAAACAACAAAATACAAAGAATACTAGCACAAACACACATAGATACATACTGATCTGTTACTGATTTCAAACATGAAAGTATACGTCGTGTGTATATTTTTTCATTTAAATTTGGATAATCATTAACATCATTATCATTATTGTTATTGCCTTGTATTCCAACAACTTGGTTTAGTTTTAAGGTAGGATCGATCAGTGTTGCTAAATGTTTAACAAATGGTGTTTTATTTAGTAAAATACTTTGTAGATTTGGCAAACGAAATAAATCACCCGGTAGCTAAAATTTAAAAAATAAATGTTATGATGGATCTTTTAAAAAAATCAGTACATGGTGATATGTCAGCAGGAAAATTGAAGGAATGGTAAATCCCAAAACTGACTTATGAACTATTATCATTATATATATATTCGTATTGTACAATTATCCAGTAACTAGATTACTACGTCTATGTATCCCGTTAATCATAAGCTTTCAGTTGATCTGTTGAATAACGTTATACGATTTATTATTCTTAATATTTTCCAAGTCTATTATTCACAGTTTGTCCATTTCACAATCAGTTTTGACTTGTTTATGTATAATTACTTTTCAGTTTATGATGTGATACTGTCCGGTATGTATGTAGATAAACCATGTCTGTTTGAAATATTAATATAATAGAGGATAGGAACTGACTTTTGGACTCAAAGGCAGGTCATGGAGAGGAGCTGGCGAATAGTGGACCAATAAGAATTTAGTTGTTAACTCAAGTATATTAGCGCTGGTCGGGTGAGTAATTGGCCAATTTAGAGACACTAAGCTATAGAGTACATAGTAAATGCGAAAAATACCAACTTGGATTACATTGCAAGGGTTAAACTGTGATATCCAGATTAAGCGGCCTATGAGCTAACCCTGGGTTTGCTTCGACAGATCGGAAAGCAGTAAGAATGAATGAAAGGATTATAAGTGAATATCAAAATGAACTTTTAAAGAATAGAATCCATTAAAATTTCTAAGTTTTTATGAGTTATTAACCGTTACAGTTGAAGATTAGTATCATGGTAAAGGCTTATAATTTAAGATTAGTTTATAAATACACTTACATTTGTTCTAACTCAAAACCATACCTTAATAATAACTATAACCTTAATTCCAATTTTAAACACGACCCATAACCCCAAATCTAAACTTCAGAAGCACTGCAGACAAATATTATATCGCTCTGTAATTTTTTGAATCATTCGCAATCATTTCATTCTCTTCGTTCAGATGTGTGTATACTTCAGGAAACTAAAGTGTTATGAGTATCTGCTTCACTAAAATTATTCATTGTAACTTCGATATTCAACATCCCGATTTGACGTTGATCGATAAACATCTCATAACCCTGAAGTCGGACTCCTCAGTAATGCACGTCCAAAACCTCAATTACGATAGGATCCAAAACCATCACGCTCCGAGTTGACTGCTTAACATTCAGATCACTGAGTTAGAAACGTATATTCATACACTGATTTCTAGTCTACAAAGTATTGAACAGTTCCAGCTGTATGTATATACGAAACCAACACTTTCGACTGCTAGTATTGAAAAATGTTATCTAAAAAGATGTGATACGAACTAAAGGAGTATTTTTAGTAGAATGTAAATATGCAGCCACAAGTTTGATTAATTTTTCGAAGAAACATTTTAATGGACAAAACTTTTAATTTCAACAAGTGTATATTTACAAACTCGTTTAGAACATTTTCTATGTAGCAACTTCATTGAATCAAGTGAAAATCTAAGCGCAACAACATTTAGAAATCATGACCATATATGAAAATCTTTTATAGAGTTATTACAATTCAATATCACCAACAGTATGATCATAACTTTCTATCAGTGTCGTGATTAAAGTATCTGGTCTGTAATCAGTATACGTGATGTGGACAGAGAAATAAGGCAGCCATGAAAAACAACGGAAGCTATTTTGAGGGATTTTGGTGGAGTTTTGTTCTCTGAGCTGGATGGTTTGGTCGTGGAGCTTTCATCGTTATTCTAAACGATATCATCAGCAAAAACTTCAGGTAGACGTGAAGTGTTCGAATTTGGGGGGGGACGTTATTTCCCTTAATCCAGAGGTGTATTATGATAGATAGTCGATAGATAACTATAAAGTATCTTCAAATACAAAATGAATTTAATTCGATTATAAACACAAAGTACGCTTTATAATCACAGTGATCAAAGGGGAATAAAAGTAGTTGGCATTCTGCCAAATAAGTACAAATCACAACAACGACAATAATAATAAAAAAACACCAAAAAAAACAAAAAATAGTTTTACCTCGCACAATGTTGTACAACAATCCAATGAAAGGTATTGTAAATTAATTAAATGTAATAGACTAGGACAGATACATTTTAAATAAGGATTTTCACCTAAGTCTAATGTTTTCAATTTTGGAAATAACAGTATAATTTCATTTGTAGTTGACATTAAATAAGATGATCCCAGATTTATTTTTTGTGATGGCTGTATACCGAATGAAAGTGATTTGATCAGTTGAAATTCATTGAATATCTAAAGGAATGAATACAATTTAATGATAACACTAATCATATTAATGATGTTTATGATAGTACTATTAAAAATATAAAGGATATTATTAAGTGATACAGTTGAGTGTACACATCATATCAACTAATCAGTTAACTATAAATAATAAATGACTTATGTAATAGACAAACATGAAATTATCTTATTTTTTGTAATTCTTTGATAGTTCTGATATATAAGAAAGTCTATGGTAACTTTTTCTCAATTTATATTTCACACCCCTATTGACCTTTTAATTATCTGATTGGTTGTTTTTAGACTCAACATATTGTCTTGACTATTGTATCTCAGGTTGATGTTTATTGTAATTTATGTACAAATTTGTTCTACTACTGAAACAATGAACAGTTTTTTTGGGGGGAGAACCAATCAGGTATAAGATAACAGGTTTCGGACTTTAGCGCGAAATTCTCCCATCTATTTAGCTAAATAAAGCTTGGACATTATAGCTTATGTCAGTTCGTGATAAAAACCCTAAATGTAATGCCTAATCCTAACCACCAACTGTAAATCATAATTCTAATTCCTCACACTGTTTATAACCCTCATTTTAGTCCTAGCTATAAGGTGAACACACTGTCAAGATCACTTTAGCGTCGCTCAAAGGTCGTCCATAAATTATAGCCTCACCGTTTTTTTTCTTAAAGTAACAAAACCATCTTTTTGAAAATAATAAAATATATTTTACCAACAAAAAAGCAGAAGAAATACTGATTGTAAAATACCTTAGTTTGATTAAGTTTATTCATTAATGTGTTAGTATAACAACAATAAGGGAATATGTGAAATTGATTGCCTCTTAAATTGAGATGCTCCAATTTTGAGTAATAATTACACGTTGGGAATTTGTTTAAGTCCCAATTGCGTAACGAATACGATGTGGGGCTAAATATATGAAAAATAATAATAATAATAATAATAATAATAATAATAATGTTTGAGTAGTGAAAGAAGTTAGACTAAAAAAATATTTTATATGCAATACACATAGAAATATTACATAAGAAATGGTGTATATCATCATTAAAAAGGATTGGAATCGACCTGATGTTGATATTATTGAAAAATGAATTCTGGTTAGTCATTGTTGAGATATGTACATTCTGTGTGCGGACTGCTTCGGTATAACTATTTTGTTACAAGTCTTTGTTCGTAGAATTGATCAATTATGGATGGAGGAGTGAGGTGAAGGACTCACGTTTTGTCCTATTTGAGACTTGCTAGTAAGATGTATCTGCAAACCAGCATTGATGTTCAATTTGGGATTATAGCATAATTCAAGTCATTACTAATAATGATATTGAAATCTGTTGAAAAAATTAGCAATGATATGGGCTCAGTAGTTCAGCGGAAAACACAATGACTTTTGAAGCCAAATACATGGAATTTTAGACCCAACGTAAATGTTAACATTGAAATACAGATACATGCAACTGATGAGTCATAAGTGGTGTGAGGTCAGCATCATGAACTGACATCAATTAAATAAAACCATCGCACATCATGCAACATTGAGCAATGGTTTCCTACTTACATTAAGGGACCCTACTCTCAATAACACTAAACACCCACTCCATCAGCACAAAAAATCCAGGACCCACAAATTCCTCTACAGGACCGTATTACCTATAATCTATTAAATTACAAATTTATGATTCTTATTTCAGCTAATTCATTCAGGTTATACAAGTGAAATTGCATTTAGAACAATGAAATAATTAAATACTTACCTGGATTTATTCTTATCAGAAAATGATTTAAAAAGAGTTTCAAACTGACAAACTATTGATGATGAGGATGATTGAGAATCATATTGATAATGATGATGATGATGATCATCATCATCAGGGATTTTCATATGATTATAACTTAAATCAATATACATCACAGATTCTGGACATAAAAATAAATCGAAATAATTCTCAATAGAATTATAACTAGCATCTAAATATAGAAGATTTGGACAGATTTGAGCAAGACTTATTTTTTGTAATAATTTTGATGAATGTATACGGGTTGAATAACTATTTATTGAATTGGTTAATTGTAATGTTTTAAGACAATTATGATGTAACAAAAGATGTGTAAGATGACTTGTATGTTGTTCTGTAATTAAAATAAACAGATAAACAAATGAATAAATCAATAAATACGGTTCATTTCTTCGTATTAGTCAATGAAAATTGATTATTCTGATTAGCGTATTTTTAGTAAGGTTGTGTTTCTATGAGATGTGGTTACTTACTCGATGACCAACTCTCCTCATCTGCCTGGGTTTATGATCGGCAGTAACATTAGAAGAGCTACAGATGGAATTCGTCACCATTATGAGAAATTGTTTGACATCCTGGATAAGAGAACATTATGGAACCATCTTATTCGACACTATGGTGTACCTGAAAAGATCGACAACATCATACAAAATTCATACGATGAACTATATTGCAAAGTGGTGCATGGAGGAAAGATGGCAGATCCATTCCAAGTGGGCACCAGTGTCAAACAAAACTGCTTACTTTCCCCCTATCTGTAATACTAGATATAACTTATTATGTATTGTTTAGAAGAAATGTATTGTAACTAACAATGAAATCTAGGAAGCGTTTCTCGTCCTACTTAGGACTTATCGGCTGGATGAATTTTCATCTCAATGTCAATGTCTACATCATTAAGGCTATAACCCGGAAAAATCTGCTTCAAATGCCTATGGATTATTTATTGAGCTGCTGAATTCCGAAAGTCAGTAATTCATAACCAAAAATACTATTCATAATAGGAATCATTATAAGTGCTAAATCTTCATTTTACATATATGATTGTACTTGTTAACAAACTGTAACCTCGATTGAATGTAATATACATTTTAGAGGATTACACTGACAGAAACAAATATATTTCCGTTAGGACTTATTAGATAGGGAAAAACATAGAAGCACAAAGAGATGGTATAAGGATTTTAACTGAACTCATTGAAGTATTCGAATAATGCAATGTAATCAACAATGTATAATTGAAATCACGAGGTCTTTTAATTAATTGTTCGTCATACTCCATCATGATTTGAGAGGATAGTGTGCATTTCATAAGACTAGAGTACAACAGCAATACTTCGACTGAACATCGCTCTCAGAAGCAATAACTTGGTAATCGACAGAACAAAAACTTTACACTTACAATATTGAATACCTTTTGATAGCACACCAAATATACTGGTATTAGTGATGAATGATCTCATTAACACAAATCAGTAACGAAATACAGAAACGTGCATTCGGCTTTGAGTCATTTTTAATGGGATCCCTAATAGAATTAGGTAGATAATCGATTTGCACATCATTAATTGACTTGTCATCCTTTATAGTTTACATTACAAGCTGATATTGGTTAGACAGCTATTGAAAATCAGGAAGCGTTGGACGAATGTTTCGTTTAAGTATGGAACACCTCAATGGAGCTTACCAACGACCCCACTGGAGCAAACTCAGGATTTCCAAGACTAACAAGTTCGCAACTAGCAGCTTACAAGTTTAAATTCAATCAATTAGCAACTTTGCGTAACCATCTTCCGAATCCGTTGATGGCCGAGAGTGGGGAGAGTCCGCTCTCCCTCTTCAAATGCTCTCACATGGTCACGCGTATATAGCCTCTGCCAGTGAAGTCCTAATCACTGCCTTCTCGTGGCACCGGTGCTGTTTACGAAAATGAGAGGACGAAAAGTGAATGTCCGGTGCTTTAACCGGATTCCAAATCAATGGTGCACATGGGCTCCAGTATCCTGCGAGAACAAATGGCGTATGAACCAATCATTGGTCACTGGCTTACATGAGACTGCATCTCCTTACGACGCTCCACTGCCTTGTGGATCAGACCTTCAGGTAGAAGGCTCGGGGAGTGGCCCTCTAAGAAAACCACCTGCTTCGGTTTGGGCACCCGGGCAGTATCACAGTCCTCACACAAATCAAATGAGATTTGTGTGGCGCATATGTATTCGGTACCTCCTTGTATTAATATCTATGTGTTAAATAAATAAATAAATAACCCCCCCACACACACACACACACCATAAAAAATTATAATTTTCTAATCAATTAACAAATTTATCCACATACCATATTGATAAAAACAGTCAACAGATTTTCTTTTCAATAATTTATCATTATAATTCTTCGTATGATTAGTAGTATAATTTTCTACAGGTTGATAATAATTTGTTATTGTAGTAATCAATTGATCAGTTGGTAGACATGAAATACCTTCTGAATTAAAATTGAATACAAATTCTTCAAGATTGTTTGGAAATTGCATATTGTAATTGAATTCATTAGTTGCTTTTAAGCATTGTGTCTATTAATTAAGAAAAAATATTACATAATAATAATAATAATAATAATAATAATAATAATAATAATAATAATAATAGTATAACCAGGTAGAAACAGTAAAACAAATGAAATTTTAAAAGTCAATGACAGTGAAGTGAAGTAATAATATGACCTTGACGAGTTTTTTTTTCTTTCTAGATTACTACAAAATACAATGTCTTCAAAGGATACATTCTATATTGATTCATCTTTCACTGAATATTCTATATTATGCATGAAATGACAGAGTTGTATACAATGCAATTGAACAACTACAAATCAATACATTGACAATCAAGTGGACTTCTATGTTTTATTATTTTATAATGATTCCTTAATTATAAATAATGAATAAATTAAAAGAATATATTCCTTAGTATAAATAATCTCTAACAAGTAAAAATTTATGTACATGGTTACAAGCTAGTAATACTAATCAATTAACAAAAAAAGGGATTGCCTAAACTGGATTTTAAATTTGCTACATGTTGTTCACTAAGATTAATTGTGAAGCAATGGATGTTCAATTTTTACATATGAAACTGCATAAGCACTGGAATCCAGGACGTGCATTTCGTCCTATATTATTTGTTGAGGCGATATCGAAGTAACCCGTACAAGATGCACATGCGCCAATAAAAGACTGATCCAATGCAGTACTAAACATCAATCGGAAAATTCAAATAAACAATATAAAAATGAATTATTAAATTGTATGTTTGAACTTTGTTTCATCTACATTGGTTTCAGCAACCCAGTAGTATCATTAACCTTCAATACTTAGAGTATGACTTTGGAAACCAGTACATGAATCAATAGATAATAACATTGGGCACAGAGGATATAATTCCAAAATCAAAAATGAATTCGCAAAACAAACTATGTACGATGGTTTAAAAACTCAAGATTTGAGAGAAGAGAAAACTGAATGTATCAGTGTCATTGTGACTGACTTGATGTTATGTAATCAAGTGTCTCTAACCATTGATTACGATAATCACGTGGACACCTACACATAAAACAGTGTAGCGCACAAAGCTGAATGTATTTACCGGATAATAACGTACACCATTATGTAGAAAATTGAAAGTACTATTTTAATAAATGATTACATTATTCAATTTTTATCTATTTATTTATTTCATTTATTTGAACACATAAATATTAGTACAAAGAGGTACCGAATAGATATGCGCCACATAAGTAGGTCAATATTCAATAAGACAAAATTAGTCTATTTTGAGTATACAGTTAAAAGATATAACTAGAAGCAAATAACATATCAGAGCTTATTATCAATCTGTACAATCGTTTATATGTGTGAAAAATTTTCAATTATTGAGATCATGAGTCAATAACTAAATTTACCAAAATCTCCACAAAACCCAATTCTGATAATAATCAACATATGCCCACTAGTGACTGGGTTCAAGATGTATAACCTGGAGTTCTAGTGATAAACATTGACCAGTGGAGTTCAACCGGGTCTGTTGTGAGATAGTAACTCACTGATGACAATCGTGGATGTGTCGCTCAGTTTCGTGGATTAGTTGAAATTAGGCATTATCATCCGTTGGATGCCGGCTAGCTCACTGGTCTAGTGGTTAAGTGTTCGCACGCGTAAACCAGTATGTCCTTGGCTCGAATCCCGCGAGGAACACTGGATGCGCACTGCTGAGGAGTCCCACAACGAGACGAAACAGCCGTCCAATGCTCCCAGGTTTTCCATGGTGGTCTAGCTTCAATCGACACATGATCTCAACAATTGAAATTACTAAAATCTCCACAAAATCCCCTTCTAATAATAATAAATTTTGTTAAAGTACCAATTCCATGAGGAAATGTGAACACGAATAACCAAGATGACGTAATAGAAAGATTATAATACTACATTACAAAATACCAATATAACAACATTAGATTTAGTGAATATAATAAGATGCTTAGAATGTTTTTGTTACAATAATTAAAGGTCATTAAAGGTCATAGAGGTGTAAAAATAAATAAGGTGATATGATGAGTATTTAGGAATAAAATAGTAAGAATGAAGTAATAAAAATAGTAATTAAGGTCAAGGTAATGATAAAGATAAGACGTACTACTTTTGTATGCACAGTTCTGGTTTGAGCTCATGGATGGCAAAGAGCTTCGGCTAATTTTAGGAGTTGAATATGAAGAAATCTAGGTAGATTTGAACGAATCATATAAACAACCTTAAAATCAAACTGTGGATCCACAGAATGATTACAGTCGAACTCCTAACTGCTTTCCCTTCACCCCTGTAGAACCAAACTGGGATATTTTCCCATATCCGAGTTGAAATCGAGCGCTGACCGAAAATGGCTATTAAGACCGTTTCATATATATACGATTTTACAGCTTCATAACTAATTCATTAAAAAGAGATCCCTTCGCTGAACTTCGTGTTTTAATTTTTAATGTTTAAATCAGAATTATCTGACAATATCAGAGCATATCAACAGGACCAACTGACAGTGATGGCAAAACATCGAAAGAGTAACACGGACGAATCTAGAACGGCTAAACTGGAAATACTTCAAGATTACACATGCTTATTTTTCTGTCATTTTTAGCATTTTGAAGCTATTAGATGTGTTAAGTTGCATGGAAACAGAATATCAGCTTAAGATCGTGACATTTGTATATTAAAATTATATTACTTATGAGTAACAGTCCATTTATTCTGCAATTTTCTTGTCAGTCAGTCAGACTTCCTTATTTGTCTGGTCATACTGAAATGGACGTTTTCTACCTATCTGTACTAAACACCGAATGGTATCCCCAGTCTCTCATCCAAAAGAGTCACCGGTGAAGTGAATACTATTTTAACTATCTGAACAAACTTTTTAGTCAAATAAGGGCTCAACACCCATAGATAGTTCGAATTGCTGGTGGAAAGCAATATTTCCGTTAAGTCAGCAAAATCAGAATGAAATTGAATAGATATTAATAGATGACGGTCGCACTATACAGTAAAGTTGACAAATCCGAATTATGGTAAACCAATTGAGACCAGGAAACTTGTCCCTCTGTGTTCTTTAATACTGGGCAGGTCGTTTGGAGAAGGGTGAGACTAACATTAGTAAAGTTTATAAGGTCAAGACATACAGGAAAAATTGTTGAAGTTTCCCTCAGACAAGCAGCATTTGTAACGATCCCACTTTCCTACGATGAAAGGGGAGTTTATGAAAGATCGACCTCAAAGACGGTACAGCTCAGTTTACCACATGGATTTCCGTTGGCAGCACCAAGGACAACCAGGAAATAATAACCGGCTCTGATAAACCTTTAAGAACACTTGAAATCATCTCGTTCACAAACCGAACCAGAACAAAATAGTGATCAAGTACATTCTCCTACTGATTTCCGCTATAAGCAATGACGACTAGTTTGTTGATAAGTAAAAATCAAAATATCGAATAAATGTTGAAAAATGCTATTAAATTATAAAATTTAATTGGAAAATACATCATTATGAAACAATTATAACTAACTTTTATATATAATGATTGCTTATACATTTGTCGTGAATGTTCAAATTGTACTTTTAATAAATTCGGCATTGGTAAGTAAGCAATTTCATTCCAACTTAAATCAAGAAATTCTAATTTACACCATAAAGAGCCTGTCCATATTTCCGGTGGTAGTACACGTAATTGATTTTTTGACAATAATAAATGTAATAGATTTGGTGCAAATGAATCATGCATCACTGTTGTATGGTGTAATGAAGAAGTAGTGGTATTGACTGAGGTCTCTGAATAACATCGACGAAGGGGATGGGAATCAATGAGCTTAGTCTTTTCAGTAAGAACATGTGCATATTGTTCTTTTAGATTGTCATTATTATTATTATCATCATTGTTTAGTTTTCCTCTACAAGAGAACGATATGATGCCTTGTTCATATTCATACATATTGACAAATAACCATGATGGCAAATAGTCCAAACAATTCTCTGATAAATCTAAATAAATCAAACTAGATGTCCAACAAGTAGAGACGGATTGACATGATCGATATGCCATTGGAACATTCGGTAGTTGTATAGGTAAATTTCGAATACGATTTTTACTTAAATCCAATTCCTTTTAAAAACATTTATGAAAGAGAAAGAGAAAAAACCTTTCGTAAAATAATAACGAAAATATAAACACGCAATATTGTGAATTGATTAAAGTTTGCCATTAAAAAACGTCGAATTCCAGTCCAGTGATCTAGAGGTCAAGCATCCCCACATGTTAGACTGAAAGTTCTAGGTTCGACTTCTATATAAAGTGTCGTGGATGTGTGTTGATGAATCGTTCTCTACTAGAACGAAATGGCTGACCAGAGCTTTTAGGTTTTCAATAGCGATCGAACTTAGATCAGTTCGTGATTGAAAAACTAAATTCAATCAATTATTCAGTCAAAATCAATGTACGAGACCTGGCATAAGTGTGCAGAGCAATGACTCAATTTACCGAAATTTCTGTAAGTGAAGCAAGATGGGTCAGTCAATCAAAATCAACATACAGCCTAGCGTACATAATTGCATTGACTTAGTTCGTCATACCAAAAGAGCAAGACGAGAAATTAACACGGTTAATAGTAAATAGAATCGAAATGATGTAGTTGCATTGATAGTGTCAAAAAATAAACAATCAACAATGTGGTAAGAAAAGACAATCGAAGGGTATGTATAAAGGAATATCGGAACATAAAGTGTGCGTACGAAAAGTACTATAATAGTATGTGTTAACACATAGGCATAACTATTTAAACAACCATTTCGAATTGGTTTATAAGAACTTTCATCATTTATTTGAACGAGTAGCTCCACAAGATTTTAACCCTGGCTTATGACCTAATCTTTTATGAGTTTTTATATAATATGTTATTCACGTATACCAGCCGTATTTTTACTTGCTAAAAATCAGTTCAACAGCCATCGTAAGTCGTCAGTAAAGAATAATTACACCGTTTATAATAATTTCTAAATTAACTGAATATAAATCCATAATGAAATAGAGGTATTTGTATTTAGCTTCGAGTGACATATCATTTGTTCGAGTTGTGTTAAAGATGCTCACTAATTCAACTGCCCAAAATTAAATTTAAAGGATCAGGATTTCAAGTATGTAATCCAGTAATTAATTGAAAGTTGAGTCTTTTAACTATAGAGATCCCAGTTCTAAAATAAAAGTGTTAGCAGGACATAGACTGGATTAAAGCATGCTCAATGCACGGCTGCTTTGGTGCACGCTGATTGGATAAGAATTAGCCAATCAGCGTTAGCCGATACTTAGTGAACACTAGAAATATTCTCATGTGTAAAACTATAATTATACTAACGTTTTCCCTATTGCGCTTACCTGCTTGCTTGCTTCTTACTTCCATCTAACCTTGTTATTTGCAATATAATCTTTCCCTGTTCAATCGTGTTCTGATTTGGGGGACTTGTCGAATGAATCGGTGTCCGAGAATACTAAGCAATAGGAATAGCTGGGTTATAACCGTAAGAGAGAATTATAACAACAAGGTCCTATATTGCTTATCAGTAAATAACTTTAGATAATGACCAAGTAGTCTCTCTAATTTCGATATAGTATTTTAAAGGTACTGTATTCACAGTAGGGCTTGCGGTCCCAGGCTCGAGATCTGATTGGATGACAACTGATTAATATTTCAAAATTATGACAAAACAGTTGTTCAATGATTTCTCATTTTTATTGATTATCTAATTAAAATCAATTAATGATGTTAACTAGACTCATTCTACTATTTTTATTAACGTACCAAAAATTCAAAACTGTTACCTTTAAATTTTTAACACAATTAAATAAACACCATGGAAGTGTTTGTAAACCACAATTTGACATTGTAATACGTGTAATTAACTGATTGGATATATTATTGAAAATATTCATAGTGAATGTAGGACGTGGAAGTGATAAAAACAGTTGACTAATATATTTATATAATTCACGATTATAATGATTATTATTATTATTTTCATTCACAGTAGATTCTTGTTTTACTGATGTTGATGAGAATGATGTTGACATTGACGATGATGATGACGAATTGAATGAGTTGATATTATGGAATTTTGATAGATCATCCAAAAGTTTAATCCATTGTGGTATAATAGAATTTAATAACCAGAATGAATTTGATATGATTGAATATTGAAGAGATTTCATATTGGATAAATTCAAATGTTTTATAATAATTATATAATCATTATCAACAGATTTATTTAATTCAATAGATTTAAGTAATATCTCATGAATAAATAATAAACCGGCAAATTTATAAAAGGATTTTTTCATTGTGTATACAAATAATTGATTGTTAAAATCAACTGCACCAATATTCAATAGAATTGAAGCTATTTCAATAGCTTTCTAAATGATACAAATAAAGAATAAATACAAACAAATAACACACTTACTCACTTATCAAATATGTATTCATCTACTTGAGTCATTTAAACCAAATTAAAAAGGAGTGGAAAATTTTAAGCAGCAACTAGTGGATGACAGATGAATGTTTAATTTGATCGAAATCATGAATCGACTTAATTTAAATCGCCTCAAAATGCCCTGTTACGGCCGAGAGTACGAAGAATCAGCTCTCCCCCTCGAAATGCTCTCACATGGCCACGTGCATACAACCACCGCCAGCGAATTCCTACACACTGCATTCTCATGATGGGGGTGTTGTTTACGAAATTGAGAGGACGAAAGGTGAATGTCCGGTGCTTTAACCGGGTTAGTGGACACGGAGAGTTCATCCAGGGGAGTTGGAGAACCCTGATTTCAAACCAATGGTACACACGAGCTCCAGGATCTTGAAAGAACAAATGGTGTATGAACGTATTGTTGGTCATCGGCTTCCATGGGACTGCATCTTCTTACGATGCTCCACTTCCTTGTGGATCAGACCTTCAGGCCGAAGGCTCCGCGTGTGGCCCCCTAAGAAAACCACCTGCTTCGGTTTGGGCATCCGGGCAGTAACACAGCCCTCACACAAATCAAATGAGATTTGTGTGGCGCATATGTATCTGGTGCCCCCTTGTACCAACATCTATGTGTTCAAATAAATAAATAATAAACTGCCATCGAAAATCTCGAAGCACCCGACTGTTATTTCATCCTAGTACGGGACTACTGAGAAGTGAGCATCCACGAACCACCACCAAAGGGGATCGAACCCAGAATCTTCAGTCTCGTACGTAAACGCTTAAACTCTAAACCACTGAATTGTCATCTAACTATAATCAATCCACGATACTGTGAGACCATCTTCTACAGACATTAGTTAAGGCATCACTAAGAACTGGGGAGCACTGAAAAGCTGTTTCGACCTAGTAAGTGACTCTTCAGCATTGAGTCTCAATGACTTCACAAATATTGATCTACTTCGGGTTGTCTCTGAAATTACAATGAGAAGTGATGACTGGTAGCGTTCAAATATATTGGAAGTGAAATAACTATCATCAGTGGCAATGAATGAACATCGTGCTATATTGTAAATCGATTGTATTGTTGGACGTCGACTCAGTGATTCTAACAGTTCAGTTTTTGTTGGAAGACCTAAAAGTCATGTGTTCTATACTTAATATCGCCATGAATGTGGAATGGTTATTATTATTTATTTATTTTAACACATAGATATTGGTACAAGGAGGCACCAAATTCATATGCGCCACACAAATCTCATTTGATGTGTGAGGGCTGTGATACTGCCCGGGTGCCCAAATCGAAGCAGGAATGATAATCAATGTCAGTTTAAGATAAAAACAACTATTCAGTGATCCCTAATATAAATGACACATAAAATAGGATCGATTAGGGACAAATAGAGCTTACAAATTACTGATTTATTTTCTAAACTGTAAATTCATTATTTTTTCATATATGATAACTTAAAGAAATATGGAGGAAAAAAATAGACATACAAAAGGATGAGCAATTAATTTAAACTAACATACATTTTCATCAGTTTCCGCTAGACAACATGTTAAACCAAGTGGAGTTGTAATAATTGATTGTAGATTTGTAGAATTTAAATTAGATGACATTATTTGATTAGTTAAATGAGAAGTGTAACATATGGGATTCGACGATGACACCTTGGATAATGCAGAATTATCTTGAGGAATATAACATTGACCATGTATACAAGATGTACAGAATGTATTCACTTCTCGACTGAGATAATCTACCAGAATTGAAACTGTATCAATATTTCTTTTATACAATTGTAAAATAAATAAAATGTAGTATAGATTACAACTAATTTAATTTGATTAAAATGAGTTGATATTATTCATTAAAATGTATATTTTGTAAATATTCATTTGAAATAAAATAAGAACTTCATTCAACCAATTTAATCTTATAGGTTCAATTTCAACAACTTATGCTGCCTGGGATAGGAGTGATATCTACGTATACCTATCAAAAAATGGGTAAAGGGCTTAGTAACTCACTCTATCACACATTGCGACTAGGAAATATAAGCCTTGAGACGAAAAGACATGAACAGGCTAACAGCATTTATTAAAGATGTTTTATATGAGTATCTTAGGACCACCGAATAAGCAATTCTAAAGTTAGGTAAAGATGGTAAATCAGTTGGTAAGTTAGTGAATCTTCATTGATTGAGATGGTTAGGAAATATATGACGTATCTCCAACTACAACTTACCTTCACATGCTATGTTCACTTGTGTGGGAGTAGATCGAAATAAAGATAAGAGAGATCAAATGAAGAAGTGGCATCAATCTATGAAACCATAGACTGTATGAATTGGTCCTATTGATAGATTTAAACTGACTCTTTGAGGCGCTATTGATAGCCATGATCAACGATTAGAAACCATAAACATAGAGCAGAAAACAAGATACGCATTTTAATATCACAATGATAGACGTTACTGTAAGGCTGTTCTGCTTAAAGTCAACATTCCTAATATTGATGATAGTCTCCAAACTGTACTGAGCCTAATCATCACATTTAATTTCGTGAAAATAAAGTGTAAGATCCATTTTAGTATTGATATGGAAATTTTGAGTAAGAAATAGTTACAAACTAAAAAACCTGAAGAGTGATTTACAAAAAAGATTATTAGTAAACGAAGTTTGTAGAGATTACTGAATTTTACAGTCTTCATCAAGAACTGATTTTACTAAAACGAGCACTGAACAGCTGTTTTATATCAGTATTGAACTTCTGATCAGTGTCCATCCACAACCCAAACAGGGACCGAATCTAAGACCTTAAGATCATGAGGACAGCACTTAAACTCTAGTCAACTGGACTGAAGTCAATGGTTACCAATTCAAACTTTAATTAGCTCACAAAATTGCGCAAAAAATAATTCCAATCCCATAAATACATTATTGTCTCACACCGGACACGGCTGAAATCCATTAGTGACAGCTCCTCACTAGAACTTCGAGAGTTATCTTCCAAAAATAGCCACAAGTGAGTATACGATTATTAGTACTATAGGAGATTTGTGGAGAAATAGTTGTTTAACTAAAATCATTCCGTAATTAAAATTATGAAGAAAAAATTTAGGAGAAACAAATGTGAATGTATTAATAAATGCAAACAATTTAACCTACCCAGTCATTACAGACAATTGTAATGCATTAAAATATCCACAAATCGCATGGTCATCTAAACTTTGATGACACCGAGGATTAATAATAATCGCTGGTCGTTCGTTATAATCCAATGAAACAGAATTATTATTATTATTATTATTAGTATTATTATTATTATTATTATTATTATTATTATTATTATTATTATTATTATTATTATTATTAATTGAAGTAACGAAATACCAGCAGGCTGAAATTTTTCGATAAATATCAATTGGACATACATCATAGTACACATTATGATCTATATAGTTATCAGTTAATGGCGAATTTTGATTGCCTAAAACATTTAGTTGGTTAAAGCAAGTAAACTTATCAGTATCAGTAGTATTAGTAGTACTAGTATTATTATCATGAACAGTTGAATGATGTTGATAAAGATTATCAAGATTAATATCAGTGTTGAAATTATTTAATTCTGTCATAGAGTTCATTAATCTTTTAGTTTTCACTGTAAATTTTAACAACTGACGTACAATATCCACATGACCATGTATTACAGCTAAAAGAAAGCCAGTCATATTATAACTATCCATTTGATCAATACTGAAAATATAAAAAAGAAAAATACAAAACAACAACACATTTGAGGAACCAAATTAATTAGTGTGCACGTACACAAATGTAAACACACTGTATGTAAAAAGTTAACCAAAAGTACAATGAATAAAGTAGGGTATACTATCTATATGTGAATTCTAGATTTGGAAAATCAATCATAACAGGAATGGTATTAAAGGAGGTTTAAATTTAAGCTCAAATAATGTGATGTACGTGAGATTTATCCACAAAAAAGAACTATTGATTTATTGTTTAGTAAGTGTAATAAAGATTAACTAGTTCTAATTGGTTTAAAGCCATTTTATAGCTGTATAAATCAAAACATTTGAAAGTGACTGATGCTATGTTTACTTATTCTTTTAGTTTCACAAGTGAGTTCCATCGAACAAGATGCAATGTAACCACTAATCTAAGTGATTCGATATGGTGTGTACTTTGTTAAGATGTTAGATGGTGGGAGGTAGTCAGTATGAAACCCTGCAAAAAAACTGAATGACGCAGGTTAGAATCCAACAGAAAGTATCATTTCCCTCGAAGTTCCAAGTATGGATTGCTGACAAGTTTAAACTAGCACAAAACATGGATCTAGAGTTACCTGATAAGTACTTTCAACTACCTAATGAATCAAAATATGTTCTATCGCGTGACATTTATTTTTTGATATTCTTAAAACACATTGAAAACCTAATTTACAGTTCAGAACTTGTGAGGAATACATCTTAACTACAATTATGTATTGGTGGTACCGCATAAAATGTAAATTCATAACCAGTATTTTATTTATTACACAGAACCTATTGCTTCAAATGCGTTAAGTTTTCTTCAAAATATCACTGGAATTTACTGAGTTCATCTTAGAGTACACATCGATATTAAGATTAAGAATACATCCAGTTTATGAGTTCAACGCAACCTAAATTCCATTACTAATAACATACTAAATATACAGAATATTCGTGACACAACACTCTATATTGAGGCGATCCAAGTAGATTGAAAATATGGCAACAGAGACTGATCAATTGCAATGTGGAAGGAATACCAACAATAACTTGCAGCAAAAAGCCTTGACTGGTACAAAAAAATATAAAAACATTTTTATATATTATAACTGTAACTAAAACGTGTACCAATTAATTAAATGACAAAGAAGAGAATGTTACCTAAAATATTACAAAACAAATTTCTAATAACTTATAAAATTTCATAAACATAGTTTCCTTTATCATTTTGAAAAGAGCAAGAACAAACATTCTAGCAGAATAGCATGAATTCATTTTATTTCGTCTGATTCTCATCAGCTGCTTACAACTTGTGACATTTAAAATCATAATTACGTAATGGGTTTAAATTACTTGCATGAAAGAATCTGGCTGGAAGTTATATTGAAGACACATTACTATAGTATAGCAAGGGTGTAAATAAATTGAATAGACTGAATATTGTAAATATATAACTTATGTGAAAGAACATCCTACAACATTGATTGTGACAGTAGTTTAAACAACCAGAAACAGTCAATCATTCAGCTACAACGTAGGACCAGGCATATGTATGCAAAGGCCTGGCTTGTGTTGGTCCTTCTCGACTCCCAGGCTGGGGTCCGAGAGACGGTGCAACACAGTGGCTAGAGACGTTATCAGATATGGTTCAGAATAGAAGCCAGTGGTGATCCTGCTGTAACCTTCTTTTACTTTCTTCATAAAAAGTAGTTGTAACTTCCTTGACTGAAAGAACTCTTCAGGTTGTACCTTTCCGTTTCCCCCACTATTATTATTAATATTACACTACCATACACTAATCTGTGGTCGTTATTGTTCTTTTTATTCTTATACGCGCCTTACATTCTTTTTCTCTTCCCATTCTCATTGTTTTGTGTGACGCATATAAATCTGGTGCCCCCTTGTACCAATATTTATGTGTTTAAATAGATAAAAATACTATTCTCGCGGACCCCAACCAAGTAGTCTACATCTACCAACATGGCTAAGACTAGAAGTTAATGACTTCAAGCACTGATGCCACGTTTTTATTTGGCCGCCCTTAACTTTCTTCCAACCATCACCAACACTAGTCAGCAATGCATGTCGTGGTAATCGGTAAACGGCCAGAAATAAGTGATTATAAAAATGAGTAAACGTTGATAGTAATAAAATGAATAAAGTCCAGTTGATAAAATAAGATTACGAATTCGGAAGATCGTTGAAATAAAACTCAATGATCTAAGAAATGCAAGAAAGGGTTAAAAACTTATAAAATAAAAACAAATAATCAAATATAATCAGAAAGGGTTTTGTGAAGTTTTCAGAAATTTCACTAGTTGAAATCATGAGTCAATTGAAGTTAGACCACCATGGAAAACCTGGAAGCACTGAGCGGTCGTTTCGTCCTAGTATGGGATGCGCACTGCTGAGGAGTCCCATACTAGGATGAAACGACCGCTCAGTGCTTCCACGTTTTCCATGGTGGTCTAGCTTCAATTGACTCATGATTTCAACTAGTGAAATCAAATATAAATTAACTTACCAATAATAATGTTTATATAAACCTGGTGATTTGTTTATTCGACAAGAAAATAAACTAGAATAATTTGATTCAATACTTCTAGTATTATAATAATGATTACTAAAATCGACTATAGATGTATTCATTGTTAACATTAGTTGTAAACAATTTAAACGATTCAAAGCGCAAGCAATATGAATTGGTAATACACCAAATGATAATTCATTGTTACCATGAATTGTAACAGCTAATGAATATGGTTCCCACTAGAAGGGTCAAAAGAAAACAAAAAGGTGAGAAAAATTATAATAGTGGATCGTATGGAATTTGCATATTCATGATTATCAATTGAAAATAAATATAAAATAAAACGTGGCTAGTTATCCTGGGAAAATTGTGTAATAACTAGAAATACAATCGTCATAAACTCACTATGTGCCTATCTATTCTTAAATGATGTGTTAGGGATGCAGAGGACTTACTTACTTACTTACGCCTGTCAATCCTCGTGAAGGAGCATAGGCCGCTCACCAGCATTCTCCATCCAACCCTGTCCTGGGCGATCCTTTCCAGCTCCTTCCAGTTGTTATTCATCCTTTTTACATCTGCTTCTATTATCCGACGTAATGTGTTCTTAGGCACATGCAGAGGAATATACCAATAATTATGTTATAACGTGAAAATAATTGCTGATTAAGGGATAGCGAATTATTGATCGGACCAAAGACGCACAAACACGTAGAACGACCTAGGGTTCTGATTGGTCTCGCTTCCCTGTACAGCCCAGCCAGTTAAGTCCAGAACGCAAGTCACAGCCTCGGATATATGAATCATCATATTTCAAACATGCTTTGTTTATATACCAGTCAAGCAGTCCACAACGTACCATAAAATAGAAAATAACATTGTACAATATTGGCCAACAGGAAAATAACACGTTAAATAAATATTAACCAATAAGATGATACCATTTCATGTCCAAGGATAGCATTAGGCTTAACAGGATAATTTTTGGGATATTTTCCTGAATATCCCAACAAATTATCACGTTAAGTCTAATGGTGTCCTTGGACTTTAAAAGGACATTTCCCATTGGTCAGTATTTATTTCACTTGTCAAATATTGTACAAATGTTGTTTTCTATTTTATGGTACGATGTGATCTGGTTGATTGGTATATAAATAGAGTATGTCTGAAATATAATGCGTTCTGGACTCAACTGGCTGGGCTAGACAGGGAAGCGAGACCAATCGAAACTCTAGGCCGTCCGTACGTGGTTTACGTGTCATTGATCCGGTCAATAATTCGCTACCCTCTAATCTGCAACATCACAGTCACAACATGATGCTAAATAGAAGTTTTTTAGATGGAATATCGTTTGAAAAAGCATTTTTTAAAGAAAATATTTAATGATACAGGCCATTTTATTTATTTCTTTGAACACACAAATATTGATAAAAAAGGGCATCGTATATATATGAGTCACACAAGTCACTTGGTTTGTGTGTGAGCTGTGATATTACCCGGGTTAGTGCAGGTAGCCGGTGACCAACAATTGATCTGCACGCCATTTGTTCCTTCAGAATCCTGCAGCCCATGTGCAACATTGGTTTGGAGTCAGGGTTTTCCAACTACCCTAAGTAAACCACCCTTCGTGTCCACCAAACCGGTCCAAGTGCCGGACATTCGCTTTTCGTCCTCTCAATTTCATAAACAACACCCATATCACGAGAATGCAGTGACTAGGACTTCCCCAGCAGTGGTTGTATACGCGTGGCCATGCGAGAGAATTTCGAGGACAGCGGGCTCTATTTAATCTCGGCCGTACCAGGGCACTTATTTAAAATTATAAATGTTAATAATATGTCTGGCAATTGAACCACAATTAGTTCGCGATATTTTGCAACCATCTGTCAATGCAACTGGTCGATAACAATTTCAGCTCCGGTACAATTCAACTTCAGTAAATCACAGCTTCTTAGTAAAACTCTGACGATGTAGGGTGTGTCGCTATTACCCACCACCAATGGCATTTGGAAAATGGTTAAACAATATTTTTAATTGATTAAAGTTTGAAATCTAAAACTCTGAATTCTGCGATTTCCGCAGGTCCTCTATTAGATACTTAGTGGTTTCATCAATGTAAATCTTTAAGCGTCCCATGCTAGAACGAGACATTTGTCTGATGCTTCTTGATTTTCAGTTACTGTTTAACTAAGATCAGTTCAATGATACAAACAATTGAGACCCAACAATCTCCATAAGCCTCCTCTATATTAATAATATTGATTTTCATCCAAAGAATATATAATTTTACAAAACTGTTGCTTTAATCACATAAATCACCTGAATTATTGACTTGACTGCTTCTTCTCTATTTAATCGTACAGCAGTATGAATAGCACTTTCTTGATTGGAACAAACTGATTCAATCCATAACTGTTGTTTTCCAACAGAGTTAATATCTTCAACGAAAATTCTCAATCCATTATTAGACTTCGAATAGTGATTGATATTTTGGTTGTGATTTAACAACTCTACACTTTCTTCAGATGCTGAGAAGGTTGACGATAAAGAAGAAGAATTCACTGGGATAACTTCAAAACCAACTTGTAATAATTTGTTAAGACATCGTATGTAATTATTTTGTACACATCTATAATTGAATCAGTATGAACATGAAAAGTGTGACTCACTTGAAAATAAAAGAACTAAATAAATTAATAGATAAACTCAAGTGTCCTATTAATTTTACATACTATCTAATCAGTCAGTTAATTAGTTATAACGAATGTAGAGACTTGTAGATATGTTTGTTGGGCAAAAATACCGCACCACATCAACATGATGGCATGAAAATAACAAGACGAATAGTAAAGGAACAGAAATAACGGGGTGACATTGATAATGAGAAAGATTAAACATTTGAAAGGATAAAATGTAAAAGGTATGAATGAAAGAATAATGGAACTCAAAATCTAGACTAAAGAGTGAATTTATTTGAGCTTATTCAACGTCTTCAACCACTGATCAAGAGTTATAGAGCAAAGTCCAACCAAGTAGTTTAAATCTAATAACAAAGATGATTCACAGAATAATAAGTGACCGATGCGTTTAGTATGCTTTAAACTAATTACCCGAAAAATTACAAGTGTGATAGAGGAAATATTGTTAACTCTTGATTTATTAAGTGATAGATAATAGTTGAATAATAATCTCCACCTTAATGACTTCAAACCATTTGCTACTTTTACATGGATTTTGAATTGACTGAACATTTTGAGATTATTACTATTAATGGATCTACTCAATATTATATTTTTGGTACAATATGGAATACTCAGCACAGAGTATTTCAATAATTTTCCTTTTCTTATTTCTTGATCGATCCTGTCGATAAATATTGAGTAATTCCCAGTTAGAGGTTAGCATTTCAGGAATCGAAATTTGAATAATGTTGATTCTTTTCAATGAATATTACCAACCAGCACGATGCCGATGGTTGTACTTTTTTGTAACTTGTACAACGAAAGGTCGTAAACTTTTTATAAATGCTCCTGAATAGGTCGTGCGATTAGTAAGCATAAAATATGTTAAAACAAACAAAAGCAGATAACATGTTGTAATATCTGATGGCAGGAACAAATAGCTCAAATATTCAAACAGGTCGCGTTACGATGGACAATATTTTTTAGCTTCCGGTGAGGATTTTAGAGAGATTGTATTTTCTGTGCTGATTGAATATTTTCCTTTCTCATCAGTTAAAGAATAAACAACTACAAGGTCAGAGATCAGGACAGAACAATGAAAACGAGAATATGAACAACAGTCATGCAAGTAAGAAAAATAACCCATAAAATTCTAGGTTATCAGAACAAGCTACTAATCGGCTGTGATAACAAAATTCTATTAGCACACTTTCGTTCTCACAAATATATACTAATGATGTTGTCTAGAAAGACGATCAAAGCTTGATGATTATATCATTCAATTCAGAAAAAATACGATACTTCCAAAATGAATGTCGATACTTTTTCTGTATGAAACTCCTTTATCAAATACAGATTTATGTACTCAAGACTTTGAATTATTCTGCTTGTATGAGAGCTAGTACCAAAAAACTTGATCAACTAAACCTAAATGAAATAGATTTTAAACTTATGATAATTTAATACATTTAATTCAAGTGCATTTTATTAACCAACAAAATAACCAGCTTCATCAACTGCAGACGCGTCAACCTACAACTTAGTATCAATGTAACACTTCGAAAAAATATTTTCGGAAATTTATTTATTATTTGAACATATAAAAATTGGTACAAGGAGGCATTAAATACATATGCGCCACACAATAACAATGAGGCCAGTAGTAATGACCACTGATTTGTGTGAAGGCTGGTATACTGTCCTGGCACCCAAACCAAAGGTGATATTCTTAAGGAGCCACTCCTCGAACCCTTGATCTAGAGGTTTAATCCACAAGGCAGTGGATCAACGTCAGGAGATGCAGTCCCACGGTAGCCAGTGACGAACAATAGATTTATACTCAATTTGTGTCCTCAGGATCCTGGAGCCAATGTGCACCCTTGGTTTGGAATGGTGGTTTTCCAATCCTCCTAGGTGGCTCTTCTGTACCCACCAACCTGGTTAAAGCACCGGTCATTCGCTTTTCTCCCTCTCTCTCTCTCTCTCAGTTTCGCATACAATAACCCACCACGAGAAAGCAGCGAGTAGAACTTCTCAAAACAACTACCATGAGAATTTTCCGAAAAAACAACTCTTCAGTTCACTTACATAACCAACAAAGATTTAACTTGACTCCTTGCCCATTCCCATAGATCATTATTCATAGATTGTAAATTATATGATTCAGAATTTTCATCAGAACTCCAGCTTGGAATTTCTTCCAATGACAATAATTCTAATATACTTTGAGGTTGGTCTATATGTTGCTGTCCTTCTTCCTTCTCTGTCTTCTCCATTTTCTCATTGTCTCGATTAGATCCTGTACTCCATAATAGACGTCTATTGAATTTTAAACTTCTCAAACGATTCGATATTAGACTAGTTAATGGTTGATGAATAGATTTAACACTATTAACAACGTAATTGGTAGATGAATTATGAGAGGAATTTGGCGAATTTATCGCTAAATGAAACTGTCTACTAGCAAACCTCCTTACTGTACAACGAATACGTAAACTTCCTGATGATGACGATGTTAATAATTGTTCAACTGACTCATCATCACCTTTGCCACAAGCTTCCACTAGGTCTAATGAGACAAAATATAACAGGATACATACAGAAGTAGTCAAAGTTATATAATATAGACTTGGGTATTAGTAGTAGTAAGAAACGAACAAAATATAATTAACTCAATAAGATTGATTTCATATTGTAGTGTTATTTTTTCTATGTCATATATGTATTTTTAGTACAGGGGGCTTTGAGGAAATGATTAGATTTTGTAGTTTGTATCGTGAACGGATTAAAATAAGAAATGGAAACCAATAAATATGGACTCAGTGGTCTAAAGAACGAGTGCTCGTTATAAGACCTGGAGGTGATGAGTCGGATCACAGGTGGAGTCATCGATAAGCACTATTAAAGAGTTTCACACTAAGACGGAATAGCTGTCTAGTACTTCATAATTTTCAATGTTATTTAAGGTCAGTTCGTGATGTACACTATAAAATACATATTTTTTGTTACTAATAGGAATGATATATCTTATCATAAATTATGCCATCACTGATTTGCATTGCAACAATTCATGACTAACTTGTCAATACATGATGTAGAGAGGATATTGACCAATAACATAGTGCTGAGTGATTGTCTTACTCCTTGATATAATTAGACTCCTTCCGTAACGATTTTTCACTAGAATTCCAGGAATTCATCTTGCAGGTAGTGACCACCACTGACCAAATGATCATTATTTCAATAAGAAATTTATGTAAATCACTCATTTTGAAGTTAAACATCACCATCTCAGGTGTTGTTAGAGGTGTGTAGGAAGCTATCACTTTCTAGTTGACTACAACGTGGAAAGATACTTTTTCTCAAAGCACCTGAAAAATAAATTAAGCTGGAAGTAACTTCGATGATCTTATTCTAGATGCTGGAGATTTATGGGTTGAGATATGATGTGTTATTTGTATATCCAACTTTTTCTAGACCATTCTTTCTGATAGAGCTTTCTGGCATAAGAAAACCAAAATTAACAAACGTCCCAGCAAATATACCTCGATTGTGTTCTCACAAAATCTAACCCTAACCACTTCATCAAAATAACAGTTACAGTTGAGTGTTACCACGCGAATAGATATAAGCTGATGTCAGCAAGAAATAGTTGTATGTTGTGATATGCTCGGAGTTACAATGTTTCTTTATCTAGGGATCTTCGAAAGAACCTTTAGAACTGAATACAATTCACATCGGCCAAGTTCCTTGAATTACATTACTCAAGGCCAATTAATGGGTTGTGAATGAACTATGAGAATAAAGTGTAATCAGCCTAACTGACACTTCTATTACCTTAATAATCATCTTGATATTTTCGTCCTTTTACCAATATCGTGTGGCGAAATATACAAATGCCAGTCTCTACGTTAATATTGTCCCTTATGTTGTATGGCCCCCGAATGCTCCGGTACGGCCGAGGGGGGGGGGAGTCCGCTATCCCTCTCGAAATACTCTCACATGGCCACGCGTATACAGCCTCTGCCAGGGAAGTCCTACTCATCGCCTTCTCGTGGCGGGGGTGTTGTTTACGAAAATGAGAGGACGAAAAGCGAATGTCCGGCACTTTAACCGGATTCCAAACCAGTGGTGCACATGGGCTCCAGTATCCTGCGGGAACAAATGGCGTATGAACCAATCGTTGGTCACCGGCTACCATGGGATTGCATCTCCTCACGATGCTCCACTGCCTTGTGGGTTAGACCTTTAGGTCAAAGGCTTGGGGAGTGGCCCCCTAAGATAACCACCTGCTTCGGTTTGGGCACCCGGGGCAGTATCACAGACCACACACAAATGATGAACTCTTTATGTCTATGGAAATTACTTTTCTCGCTTCGAAAAACAATCAATTAGTTCAAATTATTATTATTACAATTATTGTCATTATTAATACTATTATTATTATTACTACTACTATTATTGTCATTATTATTATTATTATTATTATCATTATTATTATTATTATTATTATTATTATTATTATTATTATTATTATTATTTTCCACATTATTCACCCTCTTTTATACTTATACAGCGGCTCGTCTTTGGTGGAAATTCGACTCTATCTAAACGTTCTCGAGTCACTGTCCGGTTGAAAATTGTATGTTACCACCGAATACGAGGACTGAAGCAGTTTTTCTGAAACCACGTGCACCATTCAAACTGGCTGCCCTCAACGTTCGCACATTTATGCAGGTCGGACAACAGATAGGGCTGGCTATGTCTTTGGAAAGTCTTAATATTGATGTTTGTTGTCTATCTGAGACCCGTATTCAAGACTCTGGCGAAGGACTACAAATTCGATCTCCATCTGTCGCTTCAAAAAGCTTGTTTTACGTGCGCTTATCCGGGGACCCTGTGGCATCTTCGTCTAGTCTTGCTGGTGTTGGTGTCGCACTAAGCCCTAGAGCTGAGGCAGCACTAGTCGATTGGATCCCCATTAACAGTCGGTTATGTGCTGTTAGATTAGAAAGTTCCATCAAAGTGAGAAGAAATCGGCGTGAGAAACGATGTCTTTTCGTCATCTCCGCCTATGCTCCGACAGATTGCAGCCCGGATGCAATCAAGGATGAGTTTTACCACCAGTTATCTGTTCTTCTCCAGAAAGTGCGTTCCACAGATACTGGGGTACTAGCCGGTGACTTGAACGCTCAGGTCGGGCGTCTAGGCACAGAAGAGAGTCGTTTAGGTGGCCGGTGGGGACTCGTTGGTCGCAGGTCAGATAACGGGGACCGTCTACTGCAACTTTGCACAGACCACAACCTGTTTCTGGCTAGCACTAACTTTCGGCACAGTCATCACCGATGTGCCACCTGGCGTCCTCCCTCTGCGTCTCAAGCCTGGACTCAGATTGATCACATCGCGATCAGCTACCGCTGGCGTGGTTGTGTACAAGACTGCCGCTCCTTTTGGAGTACCTATCTGGACTCTGACCATGCCTTGGTCTGCGCCAATCTCACCTTACTTTTCAGTGGATAACGAAGTAACCGCCATCAACGGATTGATATTAGCAAGCTGGTTGCAACTTCTGTTGCAAGTAAGTATCGAACCGAGCTAGCCTCTAGGCTAGCTACCACTCCACTGAAAAGTATAGATGAGCATTGGTTGCAATTGCATGACGCCATGAAAATGGCGGGAACAGTCAGTTGTGGGTTTGCGAAACGTCCCGCTTTTAAGCACTGGGTTTCTTCTGGTTCCTTACAACCCATTGAAGCCCGTCGGTCTACTCCGGGTGACCGTGAGTTTGACCATAAACGAAGGATGTTACGTAATGGAATTGGACAAAGCTTGCGTAAGGACAGAGAAGCCTGGTGGTCGATGCGTGCTAATGAGCTGGAAGCAGCAGCTGCATCTGGTAACTACCGGAAGCTCTTCCAGCTCATCCGAGCCACTGGCAGCAAGAAGTCTGGTGTGAGTGAAACAATCTGCGAGGATGATGGGATGCCAATCACTAACATCCATCGACGTCTTGGACGGTGGGCAGAATTTTTCGAAGGGTAGTTCAACTGGCCTGCTGCTCCGGCAACATCGGTCAGACGGTCCTGCCCTCCATGGCCGGTGACGACTGATCCACCAAATGAGGAGGAAGTCCGAAAGGAACTCCAACTCTTGAAGCGTTACAAATCACCTGGCCCAGATGACTTACCTCCGGCTCTTTTTAAAGATGGTGATGACTTTTTGACTAAGGAATTGACAACGTTGTTTACAAAGGTTTGGGAACTAGAGAGTGTACCAACGTCATGGAATGAGTCGATAGTTGTCCCTGTCTTTAAAAAGGGTTCACGTCGTTCCTGTAACAACTATCGGGGGATAAGTCTACTTCCGATTGCGTCCAAGCTATTGGCTTCCGTCATACTTCGTAGGTTGTTCAAAACCCGAGAAAGATTGACTCGCGAGGAGCAGGTCGGGTTTCGTTCTGGTCGAGGATGTATTGATCATATATTCACCCTCCGCCAAATGTTAGAACACCGCCACACTTTCAAAGGCCAACAATCGTAGTGTTTCTTGACATCAGGGCTGCCTTCGATTCGTTGGATAGGACTGTTCTCTGAGATTGTCTATTGAAGAAGGGTGTGCCTGAGAAGTTTATTAACATCCTAAAAGCCCTATATACAAACACCTCAGGCAAAGTGATGGCATACAACCACCTTTCTCCATTGTTCTATTCGAGCAGTGGGGTTAGACAGGGTTGCCCAATCTCACCATTCCTCTTCAACTTTGCCATCGATGACATTCTGGAAACAGCTCTGATGAATGTAAGTAATGGTGTGGACCTGTTGCCTGGAGAAAGACTTCTCGACCTTGAGTATGAGGACGATATTGTCTTACTGTGCGATAATGCCCAAGGCATGCAATCCGCACTTAATCAGTTGGCAATCAGTGTCCGTAGGTATGGTATGTGCTTTGCACCTTCCAAGTGCAAAGTACTTCTACAAGACTGGCAGGATTCCAATCCTGTACTCACCCTGGACGGTGAACAGATAGACGTAGTCGAGAAGTTCGTGTATCTGGGTAGCATCATAAGTGCTGGTGGGGGTGTGAGTGATGAGATCAATGCACGAATAGTGAAAGCCAGAGCGGCTTATGCCAATCTGGGCCACCTTTGGCGCCTTCTTGATGTTAGTCTGGCTGTAAAAGGTCGGATCTACAACGCGTCGGTGAGAGCAGTTCTGCTCTATGCTTGTGAAACCTGGTCTCTCCGAGTTGAGGACGTTAGACGACTCTCTGTGTTCGATCATCGCTGTCTCCGAAGGATTGCTGACATCCAGTGGCAACACCATGTCAGTAATGCAGAGGTTCGGCATCGTGTGTTCGGGCACAGAGATGATAACTCAATTGGTGTCACCATCTTGAAACAACGACTTCGGTGGCTTGGACATGTTCTACGAATGCCGTCCCAGAGATTTCCACGTCGTGCATTATTTGCCGACTGGGACTGGTTGGAAGAAGCGGAGAGATGGTCTGTGCATGACATGGTGTCGTGGTATGAAAGAAAGCTGCAAAAGGCTGGCTTCAGTCGGGCCATCACGACTCCGTCGTTGGGGTCTGAGAGATGGTGCTACACAGTGGCTAGAGACGTTATCAGATATGGCTCAGAATAGAAGCCAGTGGCGATCCTGCTGTAACCTTCTTTTACTTTCTTCATAAAAAGTGGTAGTGTCTCCCTTACCTGAAAGATTTCTTCTGATTGTACCTTTTCGTTCCCTCGTTACTACCACACTACCTTTACACCAATCTCTTCGTTATTGTTCTCTTCTTTTTTTTCTATTTCTCTTCGAATTCTCATTGTTTTGTGTGGCGCATATATATTGGCGCTCTCTTGTACCAATATTTATGTGTTCAAATAGATAAATAAATAAATAAATAAATATATATATATATATATGTATATATATGTATATATGTATATATGTATATATGTTGGATGGCCTAATGGGAGAGCTGTCATTATCGTCCTAAAAAATACATTTCAAAAAGAATTGATGTATTAGAATTTCTTCGAAATTCCCTGACTTAAAGCCTTTCCTATTGACTGATAATTTGATTGGTTGTTGTCGATAATTGGAAATAATTACCACTCTGAAGTAACAAAACAGTCCACTACTAATTTTCAAAATGGTGGTTTGTGGAGATTGTAGTAATTTAAATATTTGAATTCACGAGTCAATTTAAGACATACCACCATCGAGAACCTGGAAGCACTGGACAGCCGTTCTGTCCTAGTGTGGGACTCCTCAGCAGTGCACATCCACGACCTCGCACGCGGAAATCCAACGCAGAACCTTCGTTTTCTTGCGCGAATGCTTAACCTCTAGACCACTGAGCCGGCATCCAATGATGTTAATATCTAACTTCAATCGTGAATGCGCACTGCCAAGAAGTCTCACACTAGGACAAAACGGCCGTCCAGTGCTTCCAAGTTTTTAATAGTGGTCTAGCTTAGATAGACTCATGTATTCAACTATTAATATTACTAATTTTTCGGAACTGCAGTGTTAACAAATCACACAAAAAATACTTTTGAGGAAAAACAACTACTGTTAACCGGATTGAGACTTACTAGTAATTAGTTTGTCTAAAATGATGTAAAAGAAAAAGACAATTTGGAATGTAGACTGTAAAAAAATAGAATAGTTAAAAAAGATACAAAATAACCTATTTGTACATACCTTAATCTAAACTTAAGTAGAAGTACTTAAAAATATATACGAGTAAACACTAAAGTATTCATGAAATAAATACAACTCAACAAATTAAATATAAACCAGAACGTAATGGATTAAATCATTTTTTTGCAGATTGGAGGTTTGTGTATATTGTAATTTTAGTAGTTGAACTCATATTTATTTTAATAGTTGAGATCATAAGTCAATTGAAGTTAGACCATCATGAAAAACCTGGAAGCACTGGACGGCCATTTCGTCCTACTGTGGGACTTCTGAGCAGTGCGCATACACGACCCTGCTTCGCGAGATCCAAACCCAGAACCTACTAGTCTCGCGCGTGAGCGCTTAACCTCTAATCCACTGAGCCAGCACTCAACGGTGTTAATGTCTAACTTCAACTAATCCACTAAATTGAGTTACATATCTACCATTATCTTCAGTGAGTTACTATATCACAACAGACCCGGTTGAACTCCACTGGTCAATGCTTCTCACTAGAACGCCAGTCACTAATGAGCATATGTTGATTAATCTCAGAAGCGGTTTTGTGGACATTATAGTAATTTTAATAGTTGAGATTATGAATTAATTGAAGCTAGAAAATCATGAAAAACCGTTCTTGAAAGATAGACAGACCAGCCGGTCAATCAAACCATAGATAATTAAAGTTTGATTCGAACCTGAAACCTAACAGTTGGAAAGTACATTGAACAACTAATTACATCATGAGCTATAAAAAAAACAACTAGTTGATCAAGGACACATTAAACAATTATTCATTAAAAAATGTACAATTTCGAAAACAAGTATTAGCATGTTCAGTGGAAATAATTCATGGCTTGATTAGTGAGTATAGACAGTTATGCTTTACGCACTACATTTTTAATAAACTATTATATATTGTAAACGATTTCATCGTTCTTCTGAACGACATCATCAGCACAAACTTCAGACAGATGTGAAGCGTTCGAATTTCTCCACATATGGTTCACAGCTTATCCTGTAGACCTCGATGTTGATTGGTTCTTGTTGACCTTAAATCTGTCATTGTTTACTTCTTTATTTTGGTCGTATCTCCCATTGGTTCGATTTGTGTTCCTATATTTGTGCATAATTTTGGAACAATTGTGCCGACTGTGAAAAACGCTACATCGGACAAAGCGGATGCCCTCTACATCTTCGCCTGCATGAATATCAATTAGCAGTCAAACGCCATGATATTTCCACACTTATATCAATGCACGTGGACAACTGCGGACATTCATTTAACTGGAAAAATGTGGAAACCTTGGATAGAGTCATTTCCAAAAACAGCAGAGAGTTTTTGGAAGCTTGGTACTCAGGTCAATCAGCAATCAACAAGCACATTGAAATCGATCCAATTTATCAACCAATCAGGAAAATTATGCATGGTTATTTATTCCTTGAAGAAGTGGCTTACACTGAGTCGCGAAACGTCAGAAAATCTGGTTTTTCTACTCATAGAGATCATACATTATATTGTAATCATTTTTATCTTTATGACTGATGACTTATTCTTCTAACTTTAGATGTTATCGACACTCCACTACGTGTTTTCGTAAACACAGCTTTATATACTATACCTGTGACCACTAAATCACGGGACCTCGAACGCAAAGTCAAACTGCTTTATTAAGAACCGCATATAGACAACGACAATAAGAGTATACTGATACTAAGTACATAACAACTGGAAATGGAAATGGTAAAATGAATTGGGCCATTAAATCCGTTTACTGTATGTGGTCTATTCATTTTTGTCTATCTTCGATCACTGATCAAGTACAAATTCATTTGATAAAGCCCACCAACTATCTGATATACATAGTTCTGCCAAATTATTTTGATTGAATACTTTATGAAGACAAATTACTTGAATTCGAACATTTTAGTTAATCAAACCATTGAAATCATAAACTCCAATATGAAAAAAACATAGTTTATAACAAGTAATCATAATGAATCTCACTAACGTAAGAATGTTTGAAACAATAGTGATATATATTTTCGATTATTTGGATTAGACGTAAAACGAAATGCAAATTGTACGATATCTTCACAGACGAACTCTGTGTCATTTTGCTGACAAACACCAGTACATACAAGAGGATTTAAACCATTTTCCAAGAGTAATTTGAAAGCATTAAAGTCACCCAATCGAATAGCATGATGTAGAATTGGCTAAATTTAGAGACAAAAATAACATGAGGTAGACCAATTGGAAAATTATCAAAAGTATTACGAAAGTTTTAAATCTAAAAATAAACGTGTCGTTTCAATCGAAGTCATTAAGGAATATCCAAAATCATTTGACAATGTCACTTCATTTCTAATAAAAATTACACAACAATTAAAAAAGTAAAATGAACTGTCACTTGGATTGATTGTTAGGAAATGAAAGCGGTGAAATTTGCAAAAACTGAAGTCATAAATGAAGGAAGTAATATTATTGGGTGTCTATAACCTAGATAAAGTGACAGTAGTGTAAAGTCACGAAAAATACTCATACAGCCCGTGAGTTGCTATAGAACGACCACTATGTTTCCAGTAGAATGATTTCAGAGACAATACACTTGCTCAGCATTTCACTAAGCATGATTTATTTTTATTTGAACACATGATATTGGTACAAGAGAGCGCCAATATATATGCGCCACACAAAACAATGAAAATTCGAAGAGAAGTACAAAAAACAAAAAAAAACAACTAAGGAGAGCAAAAGAAAAAGAGAACAATAACGAAGAGATTGGTGTAAAGGTAGTGTGGTAGTAACGAGGGAACGAAAAGGTACAATCAGAAGAAATCTTTCAGGTAAGGGAGACACTACCACTTTTTATGAAGAAAGTAAAAGAAGGTTACAGCAGGATCGCCACTGGCTTCTATTCTGAGCCATATCTGATAACGTCTCTAGCCACTGTGTAGCACCATCTCTCAGACCCCAACGACGGAGTCGTGAAGGCCCGACTGAAGCCAGCCTTTTGCAGCTTTCTTTCATACCACGACACCATGTCATGCACAGACCATCTCTCCGCTTCTTCCAACCAGTCCCAGTCGGCAAATAATGCACGACGTGGAAATCTCTGGGACGGCATTCGTAGAACATGTCCAAGCCACCGAAGTCGTTGTTTCAAGATGGTGACACCAATTGAGTTATCATCTCTGTGCCCGAACACACGATGCCGAACCTCTGCATTACTGACATGGTGTTGCCACTGGATGTCAGCAATCCTTCGGAGACAGCGATGATCGAACACAGAGAGTCGTCTAACGTCCTCAACTCGGAGAGACCAGGTTTCACAAGCATAGAGCAGAACTGCTCTCACCGACGCGTTGTAGATCCGACCTTTTACAGCCAGACTAACATCAAGAAGGCGCCAAAGGTGGCCCAGATTGGCATAAGCCGCTCTGGCTTTCACTATTCGTGCATTGATCTCATCACTCACACCCCCACCAGCACTTATGATGCTACCCAGATACACGAACTTTTCGACTACGTCTATCTGTTCACCGTCCAGGGTGAGTACAGGATTGGAATCCTGCCAGTCTTGTAGAAGTACTTTGCACTTGGAAGGTGCAAAGCACATACCATACCTACGGACACTGATTGCCAACTGATTAAGTGCGGATTGCATGCCTTGGGCATTATCGCACAGTAAGACAATATCGTCCGCATACTCAAGGTCGAGAAGTCTTTCTCCAGGCAACAGATCCACACCATTACTTACATTCATCAGAGCTGTTTCCAGAATGTCATCGATGGCAAAGTTGAAGAGGAATGGTGAGATTGGGCAACCCTGTCTAACCCCACTGCTCGAATAGAACAATGGAGAAAGGTGGTTGTATGCCATCACTTTGCCTGAGGTGTTTGTATATAGGGCTTTTAGGATGTTAATAAACTTCTCAGGCACACCCTTCTTCAATAGACAATCTCAGAGAACAGTCCTATCCAACGAATCGAAGGCAGCCCTGATGTCAAGAAACACTACGATTGTTGGCCTTTGAAAGTGTGGCGGTGTTCTAACATTTGGCGGAGGGTGAAGATATGATCAATACATCCTCGACCAGAACGAAACCCGACCTGCTCCTCGCGAGTCAATCTTCCTCGGGTTTTGAACAACCTACGAAGTATGACGGAAGCCAATAGCTTGGACGCAATCGGAAGTAGACTTATCCCCCGATAGTTGTTACAGGAACGACGTGAACCCTTTTTAAAGACAGGGACAACTATCGGCTCATTCCATGACGTTGGTACACTCTCTAGTTCCCAAACCTTTGTAAACAACGTTGTCAATTCCTTAGTCAAAAAGTCATCACCATCTTTAAAAAGAGCCGGAGGTAAGTCATCTGGGCCAGGTGATTTGTAACGGTTCAAGAGTTGGAGTTCCTTTCGGACTTCCTCCTCATTTGGTGGATCAGTCGTCACCGGCCATGGAGGGCAGGACCGTCTGACCGATGTTGCCGGAGCAGCAGGCCAGTTGAACTACCCTTCGAAAAATTCTGCCCACCGTCCAAGACGTCGATGGATGTTAGTGATTGGCATCCCATCATCCTCGCAGATTGTTTCACTCACACCAGACTTCTTGCTGCCAGTGGCTCGGATGAGCTGGAAGAGCTTCCGGTAGTTACCAGATGCAGCTGCTGCTTCTAGCTCATTAGCACGCTTCGACCACCAGGCTTCTCTGTCCTTACGCAAGCTTTGTCCAATTTCATTACGTAACATCCTTCGTTTATGGTCAAACTCACGGTCACCCGGAGTAGACCGACGGGCTTCAATGAGTTGTAAGGAACCAGAAGAAACCCAGTGCTTAAAAGCGGGACGTTTCGCAAACCCACAACTGACTGTTCCCGCCATTTTCATGGCGTCATGCAATTGCAACCAATGCTCATCTATACTTTTCAGTGGAGTGGTAGCTAGCCTAGAGGCTAGCTCGGTTCGATACTTACTTGCAACAGAAGTTGCAACCAGCTTGCTAATATCAATCCGTTGATGGCGGTTACTTCGTTATCCACTGAAAAGTAAGGTGAGATTGGCGCAGACCAAGGCATGGTCAGAGTCCAGATAGGTACTCCAAAAGGAGCGGCAGTCTTGTACACAACCACGCCAGCGGTAGCTGATCGCGATGTGATCAATCTGAGTCCAGGCTTGAGACGCAGAGGGAGGACGCCAGGTGGCACATCGGTGATGACTGTGCCGAAAGTTAGTGCTAGCCAGAAACAGGTTGTGGTCTGTGCAAAGTTGCAGTAGACGGTCCCCGTTATCTGACCTGCGACCAACGAGTCCCCACCGGCCACCTAAACGACTCTCTTCTGTGCCTAGACGCCCGACCTGAGCGTTCAAGTCACCGGCTAGTACCCCAGTATCTGTGGAACGCACTTTCTGGAGAAGAACAGATAACTGGTGGTAAAACTCATCCTTGATTGCATCCGGGCTGCAATCTGTCGGAGCATAGGCGGAGATGACGAAAAGACATCGTTTCTCACGCCGATTTCTTCTCACTTTGATGGAACTTTCTAATCTAACAGCACATAACCGACTGTTAATGGGGATCCAATCGACTAGTGCTGCCTCAGCTCTAGGGCTTAGTGCGACACCAACACCAGCAAGACTAGACGAAGATGCCACAGGGTCCCCGGATAAGCGCACGTAAAACAAGCTTTTTGAAGCGACAGATGGAGATCGAATTTGTAGTCCTTCGCCAGAGTCTTGAATACGGGTCTCAGATAGACAACAAACATCAATATTAAGACTTTCCAAAGACATAGCCAGCCCTATCTGTTGTCCGACCTGCATAAATGTGCGAACGTTGAGGGCAGCCAGTTTGAATGGTGCACGTGGTTTCAGAAAAACTGCTTCAGTCCTCGTATTCGGTGGTAACATACAATTTTCAACCGGACAGTGACTCGAGAACGTTTAGATAGAGTCGAATTTCCACCAAAGACGAGCCGCTGTATAAGTATAAAAGAGGGTGAATAATGTGGAAAATAATAATAATAATAATAATAATAATAATAATAACAATAATGACAATAATAGTAGTAATAATAATATTAGTATTATTAATGACAATAATTGTAATGATAATAATCTGAATCAATTGTTTGTTTTTCAAAGCGAGAAAGGTAATTTCCATAGGCATAAAGAGTTCATCAATTTGTGTGTGGTCTGTGATACTGCCCGGGTGCCCAAACCGAAGCAGGTGGTTATCTTAGGGGGCCACTCCCCAAGCCTTTGACCTAAAGGTCTAACCCACAAGGCAGTGGAGCATCGTAAGGAGATGCAATCCCATGGTAGCCGGTGACCAACGATTGGTTCATACGCCATTTGTTCCCGCAGGATACTGGAGCCCATGTGCACCACTGGTTTGGAATCTGGTTAAAGTGCCGGACATTCGCTTTTCGTCCTCTCATTTTCGTAAACAACACCCCCGCCACGAGAATGCAATGAGTAGGACTTTCCTGGCAGAGGCTGTATACGCGTGGCCATGTGAGAGCATTCCGAGAGGGAGAGCGGAATCTCCCCACTCTCGGCCGTACCTGGGCATTCAGGGGAGTAAATCATGATCTTCGACTTTTCCATCAGTGGTCAGCTTTTACTTATATCTTTAAAGGGCTTTAAAATACATCTTAAGGTGATTATGAACAAACAACTCGCATCCTCATATCTTTCGATTGTTTCAACCTAACAATGGTGATAGTTAAGGTTGTTTCATGAATGATACGGAATGGGCTTTATGGCCACGTATAATAAGAACAGAAAAAGTGTCATGTTTTGCCTTCGTTCCGTGCGAAGAAAGATGCATGGGGTTAGTATCTATTGGTCCATTGCGGCTACCTGGATGGGACCCTAGAGATCATCAAACTAGGTGGAGTGGGACGATATCAGGTACTGATTCAAATAGAAGTTGGTGGAAATACTGGAATCACTTTTTCAATCATCATCCATAGAAGTGGCAATAAAATATGCCCTCCTTGTTTTGTTTATCATAGAATATGTGTGATGCTTTAAATCGACTCATAATTTTCATATTGCTCAGTATCTGAGTATGAGAAGTACAATTTTAACAACCTGACTGATGTAAATTTTTATCATTTGCTCATTTATTTTAAAAATGCATCTTTCCTCCGACCTTTCTTAACAGTATTACCATTTTAATTTGTGTGGTAATTTTTTGTGCCTCATTATACCAACTATTGAGTAATATAAATGAAATAAGTAAGCGATGATAATAACGATACAAGAATACCCTATTGAACCGACTAAATACTTCGTGTACAGGTCCTAAACCAAGTCTGAGAATAAGAGACACCTACGTGTTCACTGTTGATGGAGACAATATACACCGAGAATATCTGGATATTGACGTTAAAAAGGAAAACTGTATACTATTTTCGAAAATAAGGATATTCAGTTATTGAAATCGGTCAAAAGAATCACACAATTTTTATAATCTTGATTAGGAGTTTCGCATCGCTGAATTCGCACGGTTTAGTGGACAACTCATCGGAATCAGTTAACATTTAGGTCAACTAGTTAATAAAACTGATATAACGAACAAGAATTCAGTCTAACGACCAAGTATTAATTTCGCAAACAGGCTGTGCCGCATTTCGGTATGAATGCATAAGCCAGTCGTGTAGTATGAATATTTCACTAACTGATCGACATCCTATTTATTCTAACAAAGCAAAAAGTTTTGAATGTTCACTACACACTGAAAACTCATTCAAAGTCTATGTTTATACAATTACTGAAATTGTAAGATTTTATACTGACTCTAAACTATTTGTAAACGTTCCTTGAAATATAAGGTCGCTGGTAATATGCAATAATATGCATTACTTTTGGGAAAACCCTAAAACTTCTGCAAAATCGAGAGATTAGTTAGTTTTCACACTGGCATAAATACTTATTTAGGTAACTTACCAGCCGAAACCCATCTGCTTCAAAAGGTTCATAAAAGTCTACTAAAACACAATGTTACCAGCAAAACATTATTGCGACATACATTGTGAATGCTTCAAAAGACACTGCAAGCAACCATATTGTTTATTAACGATTAAACTGTACAACTGCTGATAAATTTCAGAATTCGATAATGAACCACTCAACACTCTTATGAGTATTTCGGAGTCGTTTTCTTTCACAATATCAGCATGCATCATAAGATATTAACATTCCTTACGAGTGGCCTTGAACTCCGATATGTAACACTCGATTTTGTATTGCCGCAAGAAATCTCCAATTCATAGGGAAATAGTTAAGAGCAGAACAAAAGTACTTTCCTTTTAGCATGCCTCAGTGTCTTTTGGGCTCGTCCTGGAATCAAATTTTGAAAGATTCTCTGCAGAATTTCGAGAAATGTCAAGATTATTTCATGTTAGTCAGTCTTCCATCAAAAGGATGATGTGCCGGTAAATCTGTGGTGATACTTGCAAATTGGTTTTCACTTGAGATCTAACTTGAGCGGAAGTGTCCCTTAATAGACGTCTCATTCCTTGACCACACAATGAGAAAACAAAGTTTTACTTTGAGTTGATTTGATTGCGATTTTTGAAACGAATTCAGGAGTATTTGGAATTATTTAATTCAGAAGGATAAGACATGTCAACGCTAAAATCAATAACCGAGATACAGAATTTCAATATGAGGTCATCGTTTGTTCTACAACAAGATAATGAGCAAAGACTTTGGCGTTCCAAGTGCTTACAGTAGGAGAGTTTTGCAAGACCCTTCACCATTGTGGTTGGTAGAGAATGTTGGCAAGCACGCATTGGCATGTGAGGAAAATGTGTAAAAATGATGTTCCATGTCCTAAGTCGATACGTGTCACTCTGGTAAGAAATGTGTAGGCGCGCACTTGTTAGTATTTGACAGTGGGCTACGATCAAAACATCTGTCTAACAAATTTATGTATAGAGTGACAACACCCTTAACGATCAGACAACCATCACTACTACTCTACGTCCACATAAAACTTATGACAAATTAGTGAGCAAGATAGCTTGGAATATGGTAGGCAGTATTCTCTACAGAACCAGAATGGTGCTGATTAGCAGAAACGTTCATACGCGACTGACGGTAGACCTGTGCACATGTCATGGGACCGTCAATATAACTCTCGCAATGAATGCCATCATCACCAGAGAAGATAAACAATGATTGAACACACCGATGACTTTTAATGAACAGCTAAATCAGTATGCTGAGGATATAAACAAGGAAAAGTTTAGAAAAAAACAAAGCGTAAGATGGAGAACGATAGCAGTTACAGATGTACTTAAGGAGGTATAACAAAAACGTTAAACTCAAACTGAAGAGATAAAAGCATCCAGCACTTGGGAGCAATTAGAAAAAAACGAGAAAGAATACATATATTGTGGTGTTTCATTGCCGTATATCTGATTTCATTTGGATCGTTTCTGACTGCTATCAAATAATAATAGTCGAAATATACATCCCGACTATTCTCGTCTATAATCATACACCTAAATCGCGTTAGGTATTAACGGAATTAAATACGTCAAATACGATAATGAATTTTTAAATGCATATGTTTTGCACACTCACTGGTCTGGACCTACAATCAGAAGAATAAAGCGAAGAGAAGAGAGCAAATCAAAATGACGATAGAAGTTTTGTGAGCCAACTCGATTTGATCAAGCGTTAATGGATATTTATGGCCTAACAAAAGTAAGTTACGGGCATTTGATGAGTAAGATAAGAAATCCACACACATACTCTCACATAGAAACAGTCAAGGTTGATAAGCGAATGATTAACAAGGTCAAAATGTGACTCAAGAATATTCTGTTATTTTTTAATCGACAACAAATTGGTTTTCCACAACTGAATTCCCATCCGCTACAATATATGTGTACAATTATGGTCTACTTCGTTATTGGTACTGCTCTCATAGTAGACCTAATCCTAAAATTGCAGATTTGTAATGATGTGACTGTCTAATCTATAAGATCTCACGTGGAAGTCACATAACTGTCTACACTGACTCGTTCTATGTAATCATTGCCAATATATAGTGGTGAACACATTAAGGCTGGAGATAGATCAATATGTTTAGTATGAAAAAAGAGATAAGTTACACGAGCAAGACCACATCTGCAAGCCTGAGCCATGCCAACTGATTGGAGTAAATTAATCCTTCTCGCCTTCTCCATTGTTGGGTTTTCCTCCCCGTTAAATGTTTAATATCTATTCCCTAACTTGGCTCCTTTTCAGCTTTGGGGATTGTGTGGTTAGAGCCCAATGCCACTATATATGCACAAATGAGGCTTCAGCTAGTACGAGCTTAAGTAAGAAATGTATCGTTAACAACGTTAAATATGTGTTTGAATCAAAGTTTTTGATACGACGAATGAAACAGAAACCAAGTATGGCAGTGCTTGAAAAAACTTAGTCCTCCTTATTCAAGTGTCTTCTGCTCCAGAAGGTAAGCAATCTGCGATTTAAAATGATCATCCGAACGTTTGGATTCTAGTAAATTAACTGATTTTTTTACTCACCTTAGATACATTCCTGAGTGTTTTTACTCTTTGAAAGTGAAAGAGGAAACACCAAATTACCATACCTTAACTGGGATATTAGGAATTTCTGAAGATTACATGGGAGGTTTCTCTATCTTTCTGGTTAATGTATGTTCTAAAAGACGTACTGTTATAGTTGTCGTACGGCTTTAGTGTATAGAGTACTAAGACGCCTTTTTCCCTCCACAGCATTTTATTGGACAGTACTGTCATTTATATGCTTCCTCTACCTGTCTGATATTTTAACCTTTGCTCTGATCTCTTTTTGACCCCCTTTATGTAATTTCAGTCTTCCATGTCAGGACCTTTTTATTTGACCTTGTTTGGAGGTTCAGCTTTCACTATTTAAGTTAATGTTGCATGTTACCGAACGACTGACTTTTGACTAATCCTAAGGTCACGGTGTGATTCACTGCATCTATCAACTCTTCATCGTCTGCTTGGAAGTCTTACTGGAACCCTTGCAGATAAATATCCGACCTCATCTTTTTGGAAATATTGTTACCAATTCTAAGGTGTTGAACTGTTCTTTACTAACTATTTTTTGTTGTTGTTTGGCACATTATTCTGTGTTGGAGAGTCTTGACTGTATAGCACAGGTTATACCATTTGAAGCATTGTTTTAATTTTGATATAATATGTTTCTTTCTTAAAATCAAAACAGTTTAGGTTAAACACAGAGCTTATCTTTTGATATAATTCAATGCTGACAACTCAAAAGCTCACAGTACGCTATACAGAAGAACATCATCCGGCCTAATCGAATGAACTTTCGTCCGTAAGTTCTGCACTCAAACCGAATGTTTGGATTTCGGTCGGTAAAATGCGAATTCGGGGATGACAATATGTCCCTCAATTGTCGAGTGAGATATATGATGTTTACGTGTTAGTATATACCACCCATTTTATCTGTACATGAAGCCAGACTTGTAGGTAAATATATCTGTATTCAGATTGTGGCACAGAACAGTTGGAGCGCGAGATTATATTTCTTGAGTACATAACGCTTTCAACATTCAACATAGAATTATAGAAAACATTATGCGTACGCCAACTGAAGAGTTAAATGAATAATCTGACTATAATGTTCTGACATTAGCCGGACGTTTTCAGTCAACTATTAACTACTAAGTCTTGATTGTTGCGATGTCTCGAGACTATCTATGATAGTTCTCTATTCTGACTTGTATCGTGACACGATGTTTAGCACTTTTGAAGAACAAATTTGAGCTAGAGGCAGAACGATTGATTTTAATGTAAATAGGGAATCGTTACAAGTATGGCTACACCTGTCAGGCTGAGCTCTGGCATCCCGACCTCCCCTATATGTTATACGTTGAGTGTAAATCTTCCCAGTAATTAAGTGTTCAACTTCCAGAATCGTGTGGTTAGAACTAATAATACTACAATGTTCTCCCACTGAAATCAACGTGATGTTGGATCGATAAGATGTTTAGTGGAATTGTCGCGCGCAGCAATTTACCGAAATAAATCCTCCGCGTACAGATGGGCTGAGAGATAAATGAAAAAGACGGCGGCAAGTGGTCGTGAGATACATGTAATAACTTCGGAGTGTTTGGTTTAATTCTTAGCACGCGCAAAATGAAATTTCACGTAAAAACCATTCGAGCGCTAAACAACAAGTATAATGAAGAGTGATTTAGTTCAGATGTTCTAACAAATCACGTCAAGATGCATCTCAATCACCGTTGGTTAGGAGCTTAACATACAGACTTTATAAGAATTACGTGCGCATTAATAGAAAATATTAGTAGGTTTTTCGTGCCTTAAGGTAATCCTTGTGCTATTGATGGAAGAAACCAGACAAGTAGTGAATAGGTCTTTATTTCGACCTTCGCGCAGTCACAGTGGAGCGTGGGGTTATTTAATTAGACAAACAAAGCCTCTCAACATTCAATGTAAGATAATAGGGAATATAACGCTTATACAAAATAAGGAAGTGGATAGATATTTGAACTATATTGTTTTGGCATGTGCTTGGCTGTTTGAGGTGAACTCTTAACCGACCAACCTAGGCTGTTACCTTAGCTTCCCCGTAGAATCGACTTCCGTAGGAACGTCGGTTCGATTAACATATCTATCAAAAACACCTTAATTCTGTTTTTCCAGCCCAAGCGAAAATTATCAACCTGCTCACTTTTTGACTTGTAATCAGTGACGACTAACTCCGTCGGCAATCAACGATAGCCCATGGATGTCTCTTCATTTGCTAACCTGTCATCTTATTTTGTAGCATGTGATTTCTTCTACAACTATCTCTGACAGTTCGCTACGTGCCCTCAAGAGAAAGTGTGAGAATGTGGAACAAGAATATCTGAGGAAGTAACGCTAGCGGGCTACCCAACACCATGTTGGTGAGGTACGATTTTTTCATGCTCAGACCGGCTATCAGGTGTTTACTCACCTACCTCTTAAGTCGCCCCCAAGTAACAGGTAAAGAAGAATCTACTTCAAAGGTAATGGTGAAAATCAATCAAACCTGAAGAACTGCTCCACTGCCTGCATAAAATAATAAGATACAAAATGGAAATACATAAATGTAATTGATTATTGTTCGGTTCCATGTAAATGCTTGGCCTCCAGAACGGATTGGTATTCTG